ATGCTCACTTGACTTTAGGTTGTTGAAATCCCTGTAACATTAACTTATCTGTCAGTATCCTTCCAAGGTTTGAAAATTACTTCTATTCAGATCATGCGCATGAATATTGAATAAGTTGCTCGATGTAATTTGAAAGCGGAATATAACTACCTAAATAAGTTATACTGACGATTGTTCATCGATTGTCATACAGAGCTATATAAGTAGAACCTTCTCGACTACTAGTATCGTCTGTAAAACATCCCAATTCTGAGGTGTCACCAATTTAGAAAGCAATGGATATTATCCATTGCTTTCTAAATGGATAGATGAATTTATCGAGATTTGATGTTACTGACTTCTAAAAAAAAGTTTTGATTTAAAATTCTTAGGGTTCATTGCTGTTTTTTAGAATCCACATTATCTTTACACCACTTCACGAATATGCTGTAGAACAATACATCTGAATATTTGTATGCTATTAAATCATCTTCGTTAAGACTGGAGAAGGAAAGTAACAAAACACAATGTAATTTGCACACTTAACCTGCAAACTAAATCCTTTCAAAAGGTCAAAACAATCAGGGGATGATTTAAAGGATTCAGTTCTAATGTACGAACCATCATTAATTAAGCATCTTAAAATGAATCATTAGAGTAATTACTTTTTTGTGTCAAGAAATTATACCTTTAATTGCAGAACATTTGAAAAAGTAGATCATTTGTCATAAAGACGTGATGCATGTAGATATTAGTAGATCATTTGTCATTCGGACGTGATGCAGGGATATATTCGGTGTAATGTTATTTTACGGAGGGTAAGTGATACATGTTGCATTTTGTCAGAAATATTTAAAAGTGGTTTGCAAATATTCTTGGGAAAAAAATTAAATAATAATCATTGCACTTGTACATTGATGACCCCTTAAAAAGGGTATATCTTGCCAGTTTTCCATGTAGACATATCATGCTTTCTTTTCATAAAATATTAGAAAAATAGAACGGACAACCATCATTTGGCTATTACTCAAGAAATAAAGAAAGTTTTATCAAAAGCAAGGTCGTTCAAAAGACCATTTTCCTAATTTCTTTTCTATTAATGCACTGTATGAGAGATTTTTCAGAATGTTGAATCTGGGGAACTTTTTATTCTCATTATAAAGTCCGAAATCCTTTCATGAAAAATAATAATAAATGAAAAAAACTGTTATTTTTACTTTTATCATATTCTCTGTCTACGTTTTAAACAAAGAAAAATATCAAATTTGTAAAGATAATTTACACATTTTAAAAATTAATTGATACCGTGAACATTTACGGGAAAATTGTTAATAATAGAATTTTTGCACGACTCATGCAAGTTTTGTTCAAATTGTGAAATTATTAGGTTTAAGAAAATTATAGGTTTCAGAACCTAAAACCATATTCTTTTATGGTAATAAATTTGCCTAATTATCTAAGACGAAAATATTGTTTAACTAAATATATACATTGATCTGACCTTTCAGATGTTATTTAGTGAAGCTAATCACACAATAGCAATGGAATAGACTGAGAAAACGAACAGTATTCATGCCCAAAATTCCAATAAACAATACAAAATACAGTAATGTATATTAGCATCTGAACAGAGAAAACTAAAACTTCTAAAAATTCAGAAGTGAGATCAGGTGCCACGGTTAAATGAGCATCCCCTGACGACCGGGCACACCCGCCATGCACTCCTTGTCATGATCTAGAAATAAAGGAAAAATCAGTCGACAAATCTGTGTTTAAATAATGACCTACCAATTAGTATGAAAACATATTTGATGTATTTGACGTAATGATAGATTGCATTTGCTGACATGGTCATTTTGTAGACCATATAACTTACAAAACGAAATTAATGATCTTGTTTCATCATCTCGTTTTTCAATAACTTACCTCCTTTTAGAAATTGTCATATGAAGAGCTTGTTCTTGCGTATCGAATCAACTAAGAGATATAAACCCCGAATGCAGGTGATGAAGGTATAATATCGCTGCATAAGGAAGGGAAGATGACGATTGAAAAGTTAGAGCCATCACGTTATTAAAAAGCTTTATTGTTAGATTAATATAAACGTCTTTTTCTAGCAAAATATCCAAATATGAAACAGATGAGTCAAACTCTGTAGTGTCTTTTATATCAAACTCACAGGGGTATATCGTATCGACATGAGAATGGAAATAACTATTGTTGATGGACAATATATACGTCGTCGTTATACATGTATTAATGTCAAGTGAATTTAAGGCCACAGCAAGTGTCAGTCGTCTGTTTCCAAGTATAAGCTTTTGCACAAATTCTACTTCATATGAACACAAAACAGGTCTGCTAATAACGGGGCACAATTGGTACCTATAGAAAATCCAATAGATTGTTAGAAGACCTGATATCTAAAAACCATGTCAATATTGTCAATCAGAAATTCAGGTACCTTTTTAATATCAACTTCAGAGTGCTCGTATATACAAACAAACGTTTTTAACAAAATAATTTGGAAATGACCAACGACAAAATAAGTAAATTTACAACTTCCATTTTTATTTTTAAAAAGAAACAGCTTTTAATGATAAACGTATTCACAAATTAAAATCAAATGGGATAAGGTTATCGACGTGCACTCTTTTTTCCTCACTGTCTGCTGATCATAGTTTATAGGTCATCAGCTTGAGTGAAAATAAACATGATTATGATGCATATATTATTATATGAGAGACATGAGAAACAAAAAACTGAATTTCTCAATACATTCAATGATTAAAGTTAAGTTAATGAAGGAAAATGATCGATCCCATTATAAAAATTCAGATCTGTGAACAGGGCGTAATCACAGACCTCGGGACTTCCCCAAAAGATCAAGTGATAAAGAGGAGCGACCATCCCCTGCTGGTCGGTCACATCCGCCGTGAGATTTTTTTATTCATAATTTAGACAGAACATTTCGTCTATTCCGAATATTTATGAATTAATGTTTTGTTTACCTCTCTTAATTAAGCTTTTAAATAGACCATTCACATGTATATGGAATTTAAAGTATCAATATTTACATCAATCAACATAAATACAACTTACTACAAAAAAGTAATTGAAAGGAATTATGCAAATAATTCAATCGGAAGGTAGATTAAACAATATTTTTTTATATTTGGTTTTCAAATTATAATTAGTTCCTCAAATAAGAAAATTCGAATATAGTGTCTCATACATAAAGCAGAAAAACAAGTTAGATTTATAGAGAGGAAGTGGTTTTATGTCTGCATTTATTCACAAATATGGTAAATATTAATATTAAATTATTACTAGTATATATATGTTTAATTGTTTTACATATGAGCTCTTTGAACTCAATGATGATGATGAACATTCATTTCCTGTTTATTGCAAATTCGAAATTTGAATAATGGCTGCTGTCAGTACGTCAGAATAAACTGTGTTTTTTTCCCTTGATACTAGTAATCTTTTGATATATCATGTACCTGTAATTTGTTCTCTTCTCCGACCCTTATCCAAGCTGGAAGGATTTCTCTTGTATTCTTTGCATTGCCTTTTAAGATTTATGTTGAATATTAATTAGATTCACATGCAGCTGACATAACATTTTGACATTTGCAAATGCACAGTTTTACAATTATTATTTTGTCATTTTAAAATGTAAGATTTCGGTTTGGACGACAAGGCTTAAATTAAACTAATGTTTGTAACTGATTGTCTCTCTTAAAGCAAATTGTAGGACCATACAAGGTAACTACTGAGTCTTTTTTGCTATAAAAAACTACAAACACTCAAAATATGCATTTAAATGCTGCTTCTTATTCATACACCATCTCAATGACTTAAGTTCAAGACAGGTCGACAGCTGTAATAGTTTTTTATTTGACATTTTTTTCTCTGCATATATTACAATTTTGATAACGTCAGTATTTTTCAGCAGAAATAGTTTTAAATCATCTAACTTTGTTGTTTTTTTTTTCCGACTCTCATTCTCAGAATGAATATTACTAGTATTTAAAATGATTTAATTCTCCTTTCTTTTTAGAGCTAAACAAGGGAACTATTTTGCCAAACCAAGTAAGTTTTAAACTTTTTTGTGGATACGTTATCAATTCCTGGTTAAGACAAAATCTTTGAAAATGGAACCACCCCAAAAAACAAACCTCAAAAAAATCTTTTTCTTCAAACTGTTTGCTTAGAAGTAAAACCTTGAATCTGTTTCTATTTCCAACATGAAAAATCAGCTATTCTAAATATAAAATTAAAATTGAATGAGTAAAAATGTGTTTTGCAACTGTAGAATTTGTTCAAGAAAAAAATTCTTGGAATGATTGGCATGACCTTTTAACAGGATGAGAGATTATATGAAAACATATAAACTAAAAACTTCAACATAAAGTGAAAATCTGATTCATTGCCTAACTAATAAAACGTTTTTAAAAGAGATTTTATTTATTAAGATACACTGTATTTATTAATCCCTAGTGGAGAAAAGATAGATGAATGGTTAAACAAAGAGCAGATCCACGTACATTTAGATCATAGATACATATAATTTTATTATAATTTTTTCGATGAACTTATATAATTAGAATGAATAAATAGGTTTTCTCCCAACTATTGGTCCCAAACGGAGCTTTAGTATAATTTTCATTAAGATGTTTCTGTAATAAATGTCAGTTCTGACAAAATCCCGAGACAAGCATAAGCATGCTGACAACCAATGAAACCAATGTAAATGTAAAACAAAAATAATGTCTCTTAAATAAAAAAAAAGTACCTACATTTAATTATTTTTTTAAATGCAATCATTAAACAAAACAAAAAGAGCATGTAAAAAGAAAACAGAAAAATTCAAAAATTTACTTTCTGCTTGCATGGTTTTGTAAAAGTTTTAATTGTCGGTTTTGTGTAAATGATCTTGAAGCCACAACAGTCTTTATTATGTCAACCAGAGATAGTTAATAAATCAAAGCCTTATATAGACTCGGAGGTATATTCAAATAACCCTCAGCATATAAAAACAGTACCACCGACTTTGATGACATTTGACAATGTGAATGTTAATCAGCGAGAGCGTTTTTCTCTAACGTTACATACAGGAATGTATATTTCTCGTAGAATACGAATGAGATTCAACCTAACATTTAGGGAAGAGCAGGATCTCCTTCTTCGCGTTGAAAAGGACTTTGACGAAAGTTTTTCATTATATTGAGCATGATTGCAGATAAACATAATGAGGACTATCTTGATGACGGAGTTCATTTGTGATATGAGATGATTATTCCTACAAATAAGAATGACGATCCTTTATTTTTATTGGCTTTCGATGGTATCGATTTGTTTAGGTAAGATTTATATATTTTTTTAATTAAATCTTTTTTTATTATATAGTTTTCTCTGAAATACTTTTTATTAAGGTTAATTATGAAATTCTTTAGAATTTAATGTGCATTTTGAAGGAAAAAACTGGAATGGTGATGTATTTCTATTGCTTTTAATGTTTGCAGAAATCAATTAGAATTACAGGAGTATTCTTTACTATAATTAATTTTTAACTTTTATCTGATCTTCTTTATATTATAATATCGATCTGATAAATCTGAACATTATTTTGTAGGTTGTAATGAAGTTGCAGATGTAATATTTGTATTAGACGGATCAGACAGTGTATCTTCCACAGACTTTCTTCATGAAGTTACCTTTGTAGCATCGGGACCTGCTCAATATGAAGTGCCCTCTGCCAATATACGTTTTGGGGCCATCCTTTACGGCTCCCAAGTGTCTAATAAAATAAGCATAGTCCCAAGCACAGAAAGCAATCAGTTTGTGAATAAAGTGACAGAATTCAAACAAACAGGAGGAAAACCATTACTTTTTCGTGCCTTAACAGAACTTCGAAGAGAATTTTCTAATAATTACTGTAAAGAAAGTAGGCGGGTGGCTATTGTGATTGTAAGTGACAAACTGCATAATAGGAGTGTTGTGTTACGAGAAATAAGATTCTTAAGAAGTGCAGGAGTAATAACAATACCCATTGGTGTGGGAGTAGAAGCTCAGGAAAAAGATTTAAAAGACTTGCTGACCTTTGAAAATCCAATATATCAAATAAATAATTTTAGTGAGATATATCAGCTTTCCCAAGTCATTTACAACACTGTTTGTGAAGGTAAGTAATTATACAAAGAACACCTTTCTTCAAACGGTTAATTTGTGCAATAGATTATGAATATGATTGATTAGTAGTAATTGAAATGATGTATTTCCTTTAGGCAGGCAGTATAAAATCAATTAGAAATTATTCTTTAATTAATTTTGGTATTTCGTCCCCATATTTTTAAACAACCGAAGTTTTCATCATATCATTAAACTTTGTGAATTCTTAAATCAAAATATTAATTATCAACATATAATTGAAATTAATTACAGTAGATCGTGTAGTAGCTTTTTCGGTTCAATGACCTCAGCAACAAACATGGAATTTAAATTGCATCAACTTTTTGAATAAGAGGAAGACTTGATCATAAATCACTGTCATGTGGACAGGTTAAATGATAGGAATATCATCTGGTAAATTAAAAGAGTTTATAATGTCAACATTAACGGACACATAACTTTATCTTCTTATAATTCTTACACTTTGTTTGTTTGAATTATATTTTAGAACTATGAAACATTTAAATTTCAGGGAAAACAACATTGTCTTGGACAACTTCATTACCACTACCCGAAAGTCAATTATATGTCGAAACCAATACCAAGGAAGAGCATTCCAAAAACGATACTTTTTCTGCAAATCAATTGTCAAATGCAAAGCAACTGAAATATGAATTACGAAGAGCTAAAAACCCTTCATTGGATCGTTTACAGATAGAAGTTCCAGAACTGAGAGAAATGGTTGACAAACGACCATCAATACGGCCATATTTCATAAACTATTCACTGCTTGGCACCAGAGATTCCAAAAGGAAAAACAAGGAATTAAGACATGGTAATGTTTAAAGACTTGAGCATTATTTAGCAAAGACTGTACATTTAGAACATTATCCATAAATAGAGACTGTTTAAATCTTGATTAATAATTCCACTTTGTTTACATTTTATTTTTAATAGTGTTAGTCTTTTTATATAATGTAAAAAATTAAGAAGATTTCAGCTTTAGCATTTTAAATTTTTTTTTTACTTCTTGTAGAGTTGTTCCAATATTAAAGCAACTCAATTTTATCTGTAGCATGAAATTGGAAAAGTTTAACGATTGAGAATCTATTTCAAAATTCTAAAAAAAAAAAAATATATGTCTAATTCATTCGAAGGACATCAGATTACATAAATTTAAAATATTACATTATAATTCATTTAACCTTGAGTTTTAACGTCAGTAGCATAAATAGATTTAAAAGGTTTAAAAGAATTATTCATTTCTATGATTGGCAGAATCTTTATATTCGCTTATCTTAAATTATGTCGACATGACATATTACAAGAACTAAGACAAAGAGTAATAGTTACATTGGCTCATGTGGTTTCAAAGAAAGAGCGAAATTACAATATTTATAATTAATCAGGACAAATCTTATCTATATATGTCCAATATGTAAAGCACCAAAAACAAATGCTAATAAAAACATGATTCAACATTAATCTGGATGAATGGCACGCATTTTGCTTCATTCATTGCAATCTTTACCTTTATCTTATAAAATATAACATCTTACTTTTGGTTTTTTAAAAAAAATAGAAAGTGCGATCTATTTTGTTTTTGAGAGACAAACATTTGCATATTAGTACATAAATCACAAATGCAAATGAGAAACTCATATATTTCACCTTTAAGGTTTATTAATGGGTGATTATCATAAATTATTTATCTTCACAAATGCATTATTTATGTATTTTATGATAATTAATATGTCGGATCTCTTTATTTTTATTTCAGACAGTGCCAAATCATTCAAGAAAACGGGGAAAAAAGTAACAGGGATAATTATCAAAAACGAAATTTGGGCATCCACATCAACTCCTGCAACGAAAACTTTTGCTCGAGAAAAACCATGGACGACGAAAACAAGTGATAAACCAATGGGCAGAAAAAAATATATGGAGTGGATGGCGAAAGGTGTTGATGATTTCAAAACGTTTCTTAAAAATCTTGAGAAACCAATACACAAAAACACAGGTGGCTCTAAACTCAACTCACTGTTCACTACAAAGAAAAACACAAATGTAGATGTTAGCACTCCTAGCAAATCAAAAACAGACATCAAAAAACAAGTCACAGATACTAGAAAAGTTAAAAGCTTTGTCATAACTCATTACAATAACAGTTTTTCTGCTGGAAAACCCACGAGGAACCCAACAATAAGTAAACACAGAAGTAGCTTGAGGAAAGTTACTGGAACTAAATCTCAGGATGGAACGAGAAGTTATCCTAATCCTACTAAGCAATCCATGCACAATAAGAAAGTGAATAGCAATATAACTACAACGCAACAACCCTCTCTTCGAAGACATAAACATGTAAATCATAAAACTCAAAAACCTTACACCAAAAGGTACAGAGAACTTCCAAAAAGAAATCGACATGTTTCAAATGTCAATACTGTTTCAAAGTTTTCTGGAAATAGTATTTCTTTTGAAAAGACTGACAGTGCAACATTTCACGCACAGGTTTCAGAAGAACGATCAGTGTATACAGACAACATTGTGTCGGGTAGACAAGTGAGACCAATTTTTACACTAACTGGTTCGATAGACAGAAATGTGTTTTCTGGTGGCAATAGTCTCCAGCTGCCATCTACAGATGACAAACAAAATAGAGGCAAAGTATCTAAGAATGGACTTAGTCAGAACAGAATAGTTCACGAAAGGCCTCAAATTTCCAGCAAGTTATATAGTCCATCTAATGAATTTTACATTGAAAATGGAGTTAATTCAATATCATACAAACAGCACTATAAAAAACTCTTGAATCAAGATGCAAAATCTGATGATTCCATTAAAGCACCATATATTTTTGATGGTTCCAAAATATATGCCACTGGAACCACTGGTCCTTTGTTTCTCTCACATGAGAAGAACTACCATGAGTCTTTTCCGACACAGTTTCCCACTACCCCTGTTACACAGAGTCGGGAAAATAAAGAGCCGTTTTATCTGACCGGACCAAACGATGGTCACCTTACTCCGTCCATTATAGAATCTTCTACCCAAGCAAGCATGTTTAATACAGAAAAATTGACGACCAGACATGCTAATACTTTTCCGCCAAACTTTCTGGAGCTGCTAGGTATTTCATTAGAAGGAACTAAAAAACAAGCAGGAAATTTAAAAAGTTCTCCGTTTTCTTCGTTGCCCCAGAAAACAGAGAAATATCATCAACAAGACATTAACGTTCACTTTTACCGCCAGTCCTCGTATCTTCCTTCACCGTGGGGCGAACCTTCAGGTGTTATTCAGGATCTTCCTCTCCGCCCGTTTCGACAAATGCCAGGAGAAATAGGATTGAGTTTCAGTGGTGGTAATTTCAATTGCCAATTTCCTGATTGTGGGGATGGAATTGTATAGCGGAAAAAAAATATTCGCGTTTTTTATCACCGCGAATTTTATTTATCGTGTCAGTCACTCGCTTGATCTAGGGTACTAATCTATATATGTGTGCGTGGTTATATGTTGAATTGATTCATATATTTATTTGTATTTTTCTAGTCCTATTGCTTTTTTGAAGTGTATATACTAATTTTCATGAAACATATTTATTTACGTATGATGTATTAGAGTATACATCAAATGTGAGAATATAAAATAAAAGTTGATTACATTAAACATGATTTTGTTCCAGTGTGTTTTTAAAAAAGTTTAGACTTTCCGTGATATACCGGTATTTCCACATTATAATAATTTTAATTGCAAAGTCCAATGTCTTCGAAATTAAGAAGAAAATAAACAATTTCAATGAATTGAATTTAGAGAAGAAATCTTTAATGCATAGACATATGTACATTAATTTATAGATAAGACAGCTTCTATGTCTTGTTTCTGCTTAATCGCGTCTCTTTGGAAAGGGATAGAGAAGATAACTGAAGGCGATCTTTAAAAATTCCACAAATAATGCAAATCAAAAAATAGGGCATAAAAAAGACCCACTGATAACTTGAGAGAAAAGATCGGGTCTCTTGAGGGAGTAAGCATTCCCTGTTGAACGTAACGTTATAGATTAAAGTACATATTACCATTTCTAGTGCATGAAGAAAGATTTGCTACTAGACTAAGATCAGACACCCACTTAAACTTATAATTTGGTAAACTTTCAGCCATTAATTTTGGAACTAGTAATTATACTATAATTATATTATTTGAACTATTCCGACAAATCAAGAATCAGTTTGATTTTTGAGTTTCAAATGCATACCCTGTTATCTGATATTCATTAAAATGAATAATGTTAAAAGAAACTACCGTTTCAGCTTTCAGTGTCTTTGTAGAACTGAAAAAGAAAGAGAGGACATTTCAATAGGTAGAAATTCTGTTGCATAAAAGTATTATAAAGAATTCGATATACAGTAAAATATTTTTAAAAAATGCCATTATATTACATAATTATGTACTTGACAGGATATGCAAATTTTGTATTGAACGCATTTCCAATTATCAACCACCCGTTTTTAAATTGTGAAGACACATACTTTACTAAAAAAAACATTTATAATTGTTTTAAAACTCATAAAGAATTATCCGTGAAATGGTATTAACGTAACCAGGAAATTTTTTCGAAAGATTGCTAAAAAAAAAATGTCGTATAAGGAAAATCATTCAATAACTCAAAGGGTTTTAAGGTAGGGCCGTACTTTTAAAAATTTCTGTCAAACTAATATTTTTTTTATTTAAATGCCTAAAATAACTCATAAACAAAGTAAAACACCCATAAATTAGACATCTTCGCAGGTTAATTTGCATACAACATGTCTCAGAGTACCTACCTTTTAAGAGTTAACAGCCAAAAATGAACATAAATAAGTATGATATCATATTTTATTTCACTATGCACCAAATCACATCAGATTCATGTTAAAACTTGTGAAAATCAAAAATAATTAATTTTCCAGGAGAATAATTGAACATTCCCTCCGTACAAAGTGTTAATTTCCATATCAAATGTAAATCAAATGATTTGTATGCACAGTGACACTATAATAAACAAATATATACCTGCTATTTTATTATTAATTATCAATCATCAAGAAAGATTTTATTTCTATAAACATGATAAAGAAGTGATAATCAGAATTTTTATTGGTGTGTAAAATTAAAACCGGATCCGTAAAAGTATGGACCTTCCTTAATCTTCTTTTCGAATAAACACTTCATAATAGAGTTCTCAAATGATAATTAATCCAACACTTGTGTAAGTAATGCTTGTTATTCTGTTGTTAAGTATGAGGAATTCATGACTAATCTCTATTTTGAATGGAGAACTCTAAAAATGGAAACATTAAATTCTCATTTTTTCTCTTTTTATTATAATACACAGGTAGGATCCAGTGCAAATTGCATTTCTCCATTTAACATATATTATACATTGTAATCATTGTAATCATTAATAGTTAAGCTGAAGATTAACAAGATTTTTTTTAATTTATAAACTTTTGCCTACCTGTGCGTGGTGTGTCTAAATTCATATGTATGCTTTAATCTTGCAGATCTTCAGAGATCTTCTCCGCATCTTGAACTCTTTCATAAAGTTTGTTTATCTGTAATTCAATTTCTCTGGAGATATTACGTGGGTAAATTCTACAAGTTTTCAAAAAATATGATAAAGTTTAAATTCTTCATATAGTAAAGTATAACAACAATAAAAACATCTTTTGAATCATAGATATTTGAGGATTTTGCAGAAATATATATATATATATATATATATATATATATATATATATATATATATATATATATATATATATATATATATATATATATCACGGACACGTATTCAGGTTCCATTTTGTTTAATTTACCAATTGAACAAAACTTGATGACGACAAGGGTGTAAATTTTGATCAAAGAATATTCAAATGTAATGGAATGCATCGTTACGTTTGAAAAGAATAGAAACAATTTACGTAAACTCACTGACAATGGTGTAACCCTATTTACTACAACATGTGCAGTCCGTTAGAGCGTTTACGTTACTTTTAGCATAAACCTCTAAATGTTTTTCCTATATAAAAAAAACAACACAAAACGTTAAACTTGTTATTAATTCTGAACATCATCTACATTGAAATCGTTTTTGTACTAATTACCCATGATGAAATAATTTTTTTTACCCACCGATAACACAAGTTTTAAAAACTCGAATTTACGTAGAGTTCTTTCTTTCCAGAATCACATATTAATTTATCCTCACAGCGAAAATGCAGTATAGTAAATTGTTAAACAGCGTTCAAACTTTGCTCACCGACTTTACACCACGAAGCACTAAGTATTATCTCACAGAGTGTCTGTTTGGACTTTGATGGCTTAATTCACCGGCATATTTAGAGTTTTTGAGTCCAAAATATACATAAGATTTAATAAATCAATTTTTTGGTTGTGGCTGTGGGTCCCTACCCCGACCCAAAACTGGTCGCCCCCCCCCCTTTTCAGAATTCCTGGATCCGCCACTGTAACTTTTGTTTCTAAAGTTACATCGGTAAAATTTTTCATTTGTATTAAGCTTCTGGTTGGAATTATTTCCAAGCTGATTATATTTTTTTCTGTTCGAAATAAGTACATAACACTTTGTAGTCCTAAACGATTTCTCCCATCGTAAAGCAAAGTTTTTGGACGTAATTTACAGAGATAGTGGAAAACAAAGAAGGGCATGCCATATATTGCATAGATATAGCTTTGTCTGGAAAAGAATGGTAAATAAACGGTTAACCTATAAACTTTAAAGCCAGTGAACGGGTGCATATTGTGTGTGTGTACTATATTCATTCTGTCTCAGTTTAAGGTGGTAAATATAATTATGGATATTTTAAAAAAAAAGCATGCAAGTCATTTAATTATTGTTTCAACAAATTGTTAAGAAATCAAATCGACATTTTTTATAATCATATTTTAGAAAACTTTTCATAAGATAACGATGAAAGTTTTTTTTTAATTACAGTGTCTTAAAATACATGTTAATGTCCACTCTTTAAATGTGAGTCTTTTAATAACACCACTTTATCAACCAGATTCGATCTTGCTCAATACACTGTCCTTATTTTATTATTTGTCTTGTTTGTTTGTTTATTCAGGAAATTGCACATAGAACATAAGTTGGCACATGAAATCCAAAGAAATCATAAAATGTATATAAAATAAAATACATTGTTCTTAAAACACTAACATTATATTATAAAAGACGGGTACAGGTATTATAGGCCATAAATATCGGTTTTAGTTTTGATAAGTAAAATCAAGTAAATCTTATCAATGGCTGTGTATTGTCAGCACATTGCGGTCCCAGATTTCAATATATCAGGGCGCTTTTTACTTATTTCTTAATATAGCAGCTTGGTTTTGGGTGTGTTTAGCTTTAATTGTTCAAAAGACGTATGCAATTAATTCAAATTAATGAATTTAATAACCAAAAGCGAGTGACATACGTTTCAAATAACAGAAATAGTAAAATCCATCCATCGCTCATTTTTTTCTGATGATTAAGCGTACAGTTCCATTCCCAGTATTTTGCATTATGTATAGCCTCTTGATAAATGTTCTTCAGAGGTAAGATAGTACGTCCTTATCGTTAATTAAAAACTCTTCGTAAATGTGGATAATTAGTGCAAAAGTCATTACTTTACTATGTTGTCTCTCGAAACTCTTTTAAGTTTTTAGTTTTTACTTATCATATTTTTATTTATTATTTTTTTTTGTTTTTTCCTACATATTAGGATGAAAACCACACAAAAAGGACAGTCTAATCACTTAAAACTTGTTCATTTTAGATCCAAGCTGTACAAAGAGTACCCACCCCAGTGACCCCAGGTTTTATGTCGAGAGCCTGCCAATGGGGTCTGAAATCAGACCATGTCCGCCGGGGACGATTTTTGACATAGAAACTTGTGGTTGTACTAAATCGTTTCTTGTCATTAAACAGTTCGGTAATGTCCTCTTCTTTTCTAACAATACGCCAATACAAGATCTATAGTTAAATACAAGTATAAATTGTGTTAAAGCTTGCTCATAAAATCTGAGCATATACGATGATTGATATTTAGTCAAGATAATCTATTCTCAGTTGATTTCTTTATGCTTGTAAAACTAATAAGCCTATAAAATTAGTAAAGTGAAACCAATATTGCATGCCTTTAATCAGAAGAATACGATAACCATTACCAGGACTTAGTACTAATAGCTTCTGTTCGGTTTATTTAGTAGCAAAATATTGAGGATAAGATGGAATTTGAATAGGAAAAGAAATCAAGTGGATTTTCCAAATCGCTAGAAGTTTCAATACTATTAGACAAAGGCAAATTGGTGCATGTACATCAGTTAACAAAAACCACATAACGTATATGGAAATATGTTGAGAGTTCAATTAGTTTTTAAAAACTACTAAATAGTATATCACATTCATTAGATTTTTTCCCCACATAGCTTATATTTCCTTTTGTTTTAGATTGTACTCCAGAATTGCAGTTGACCTTTGATAGTGACTTCAGTGACGTTACTGGAAAAAGCACCGTTGCCATTAACAGAGTTCATCTTCAGAATAGCAGTGCTATATTTCATGGCGATGGTGAACTTCGTATATGGCGATTTAGTGGCGGTTATATAGGGAACCATTTAATGATAAAACTGAGATTTAAACCAACAAAGTTTCAGGAACAGAAGCAGATTCTGGTTGGCAACTGTGCCAAAGGGTCGGCGATGTCTTACGGGGTTGAAATTGATACAAAAACCCGCGAGGTGGCCATGACCATTACAACAGTTAATACAAGTGTAACAATTAAAATACATTTTAAGGTTTGTTTCAATTTGTATTAAAATAACAAATCCTGTATTTTAAATTTAAATTTTGCCAATTTTGGTATAACTGTATTTTTGTACATTCAACACCATCAACAAAAAGTCCTTTTTTCTTCGGACTTTGAACGAAACCTTAAATTGGACGGATAGTTATAGAATTTTGAATGTTTTTAAGCAAACTTCTTATTCTGAACAAAATGCATATAAATAATCAAAAGGTTACAAAATTTCACGATGTAAATTTCTATTCCAGATGTTCCATTGGAATGATCTAGTTATGATTTATGACGGGAGCGAGTTTAAAGCAATCCTGAATGGCAATAAAGAAGTTCTGCCACTAACTGGTATATACCTTTAAAACTGTTATTCCCTTCACGTGCAGCCAGTTTGATTCCTATTTACATATTTCATTTTCAAAGCATGGTTATGTTATTACTATTAATTATCACTCATTATGTATTGATGTAAACATACTGTTAAACAACAGTAAAAATGTCTCCCACTTGATTCGATACTTTCTACTAACATGAAAGTTGATATACTTTTTCTGGCTTCATTATTTTGGGTTTTGTGCATAATCTCAGAAGCTGATTTATATCAATGTTTGAAATATATTACGATAGAATTAATAACAGATGCCGGGATCATTCAGTAATTTTCATTAACCTAACGTTTGGAGAAATTGGCCACCAATAAATACCGGTATTCGACTTCCAAAGCCACCTTTTATTTTTACGTAAAATTTATAAATGATATAAATGCTGGTTTTGAAATACGTATGAGTGCATTATTTATGACAACTTAAATGACCCTGAATCTTGAGACAATGAAATTATCCCATTTCACATCAACTTATAAGTAGCAATTAGGTATATAAAGAATCTAGTACTAGCTGTTTATTCTTCCGTTGTTGTCAAAATTAGCATAAAATCAACTAACAATTGTTATGAATCAAGGAAGTCAATATACGACCCAATGATAGGTTATTTTTGCTAACAAGGTCATTGTCATCGTTATGACCACAGAATTTATTAAATGCTGACTTTCAATGAGGATGTTAAAATCCGTGTACCATCAGGTTACATGAATGGTCTGCTTTGGTTTAAAAAAAATCTATCGTTTTCAAAGCATGCTTCAAGGTATCGAAGCAGCTGAGAGACGTTTACACCGTATGCAGGTGATAGAGGAATATACTACATAAAAAGGAATGAAAAGTGAAAGTCATCTTATTTGTCATAAAATTTAATTGTCAATTGGCCCTTATTGCCTATCATATTGCAGACTCTGTGGTGTCTTTTATTTCAAGTTCACTGGCATATATCGAGTCGACATACTAGTATACTACAGAAATTACTATTGCTAATTGATAAAACTTGGTCGATATATGAAGGCAAGGTAGTTGTTTTCTCCTAATATATTTTTTTTGAATAAATTCTGCTTCATCGGATTTCCAAAAGTTTGTTGGAAGATCCTGGTCTCCGAAAACTAGTGAATGTTGTCAAAGATGAACCCAGCATCTTTTAATATCAACTTTAGAGTACTTATGCTTAGTATCAGAATAATTTAAAACAAAGTAATCTTGTTGATGACCAATATCATAAGATATGAACATTTCCATGTTCTGTTTTTTTTGAAGTAGTTGTCTTTGATCTTTAAAAGCATAGTTTTTAATTTATCGTGAGGAAATGTATTGAGTGTAGAAATACCGTACGTTTTGATGTTACTGACTACAAAAAAAAGTTTATATTTTTAAATTTTCTAAAAAGTCCAAATATGAATAATTTATACCACTTTTGGAATATACTGTAATAAAGTCACTTAAGATATAGTAAAAATTGAAGGATATATGGTCAACATAATGCTTGTCAACTTCCTAGTACGATTCTTCAATTTATTTCTAAATCAATTGATCTATTCTGACAAATTGTTTGTCTTACACTTCCTATTTCGCCTTGGGAGTTCTGTTTGAAATAAATAAGAATCTAACTCAGGGACCATGACATTTCAACCTTTGAAATAAGATTTTAATTTAGAATTTTGAAAAAAAAGTCTTTGTTTTTTCCCAGGAGTAGTGGAGGAACGTTTGAATCCATTGAACATAGGAAGGTGTGACCAAACTAAGCCGGGATTTCAGGGATACATTGATAATGTAAGTTCCTGGTGCACAAGATCAAGTGATACATGCATATTGTAGCAGAATCGGTGGTGATCATGTGATTCAAAATTGATCACTTTCTAAGCATACGGCTCACATGACTATCAGATAGAACTGCAATTTATATATGTTGACACGCAGATGATTGATTGCAACTTCTGTAGTTTTCTACTAGTATGATTTAAAGCAACATGAGCTGCATTTTTGAGAAATTTATTTTGCTATTAAAGTGTATGTAATTTAAATCTTTTTGTTTAATAAAAATATAACAAAATTTTTAATTATTTCAGAAGAAATCGAATATATAGTATTATATTTGAAATCAATATTGTACAGGACGACAATAATGTAATTTTGCTTCAATCAAAGCTTATAAAGAATTCTTCCATTGCAAATATGAACAACAGAAGTTTATAAATGTTCTATTTTTCTGACATTGAAATAGTTGATTACAAATTTGCAAAAAAATTAATCATGTCAAACTTGCAGCTCATACATGTACTTTAAAATGTATTATTATAATACTAGTACTTATTTGAATTAAGCATACAAGGATGTCGAAGATATGAAAAAGGATTTTCAAAAGTACAGACTTTGATTTTTTTTTTTTTGATAATTAATTAAGTCAAATAAGACCTAGAAAGAATAATCACAACTTCATTTTAACTGTCATCAAAGCCTGTAAATGTCTGTCAAGAAATTCATTATTTACATGATCTTTAAGCGTGTCTGCTTCTGAATTCAAATTCTGATTGACGATCAAAATTAATAACATGACTCCACAGAGATAAAAGAAATAAAAATGTGTCAAGCAACGTCTTTTCTCAGCATTTCCGAAGCGGAAATAATCTCTATTTTAATTCATCAAAGACTTTTAAAAATAGAAAAGAATGAAAACTTTTTATTCTCCCTTGAACCAGGGACCTAAATACTAGTATATAACTCCCTGCTTAGCTACCAAACAGGTATTGTTTCTGAAATGGTGGGACAGCCAGAAAAAAAATGACGTGCAACTTTCCTGAAAACAATTTAGACAATTTAAGCAAAAAAGAAAAGAAAACAAATTTTAAAATTGGGATCAGAATGTACTTCAAGTATAATCTATTTTTTATTTGTTATATACACTGTGACAACGCACTTTGAAATCAAATTTTCAGGATGCGTCAAATTTGGGACAAAATCAACACTTTGAATTTTTCTTTTCAAGGGTGTACATCAATTTCTTTTTACCATGGAGGCACTTAACGCGTTTTGAAAGGTGTGTTATTTTTTAAAGTGCGTTGTAATAATGCAACCGCACTGAATCGATTTTAAAACTGTAGTTGAAGGATGCTATATATTTCAAAAATTACTATATAGTGAAAATAAAAATGATGAAAATTTAATTCTGATGTCAACTGCACATTACACATTGTTTTCAATAACTGTGAGAAGACGAATGTCTCATTGTCTATTTTTACTTTCATTACAATTTAGCATGCATGCTGATTTGTCATATTCAAAATAGTGATTATTTTTATGCACCTTTAAAAACAGAGGTAAATCAAAATATTCATGTCATTAAAACTGCGTTTTATTTCTAATTTCAGGTAGAGCTTTCGTTTTGCGTGCCAGAGATCTGGAAAAGTCTTTGAATGCATCAGTTTTTTGTTATTTATCAATAATTTTTGTAAATATATAGGAGTAATTGTGAATGTGATGTAAATGTCTTTGATACAATAAAGATTTTTTTTCAAAAAAAGAAAGAAAAGAGATCCACCCTTTCATACTTTTCAAGATACAAAATTTTTCCTATATATTCCTATGTAAAAAGTTCGATCGTCCATTGTGACCTAAACCAACCCCAGGGGACATGGTTTGACCAAATTTGAATCTACACTACCTGAGGATGCTTCCATATACATATGACCAATCATGGTTTTGTTGTTCTTGAGAAGATTTTTAAAAAAAATCCTATATATTCCTATATAAAACTTTGATCGTCCATTGTAGCCCAACCCTACCCCCAGGGGTCATGATTTGAACTAATTTGAATCTATACACTACCAGGGGATGCTTCCATATAAGTTTCATCTTTCATGGCCCAGTGGTTCTTGAAAAGATTTTTAAAACATGCCACCAAATTTTCACTATTTCCTCATTATCTCCCCTTGAAAGAGGGCGCAGTCCTTCATTTGGACAAACCTGAATTCCCTTCACCTTGCTTTATGGCAAGTTTGAAGTTGGTTCAGTGGTTCTGGAGAAGAAGTCGAAAATGTGAATACTTTACGGACGGACAGGCAGATGGACAACGGACAAAATGTGATCAGAAAATCTCACTTAAGCTTTCAGCTCAGATGAGTTAAAAAGACCTTAAAGGTAATTTAACAAGGAAGCTCTATAATACTAGTAAACGTGACGACTTTAACTTTTCAATCGTCAGTTTCCCTTACTTATGCAGCAATATATCTTCATCACCTGCATGCGGGTTTATATCTCTCAATTGATTCAATACGCAAGAGTATATGCTCCACGTATGTACAATTTCTAACAAGAGGTAAACAAATTGATGAAACAAGAATATTTAAAGTCATCAATTCGTAAGTTCTATGGTCGATACAATGACCTTGTCAGCAATATAATTGAGTCAAATGATGACTGACTTTTTTTATACTAAATGTAACATCACTGCATGCACCTTTTCTGAAGGACTTGAGCAGATTCAACATTAATTGGTTGAAGTTTTCCTGTACAAATCTTCCACAATTCTCTTAGCAAATTAGTATTTTTCATATTTTAAAAGTTTTAATCTAAATATTATGTGTTTTTGAGTTTTTGTACATAACAAAATACTAGTAAAATACATGTGTATAAAATCACATTTCTTTATGTTAAAATTTGACTGTTGAATTTTAGAGGTTTGTGCTCTGAGACATGTTGTCTGACAATAAGCATGACCTTTATCGGTTTAACGTTATAGTTTATGAGTTATTTTAGGTATTCAAATAAATAAAATAATAGTTTGACCGAACGTTTTGAAAACTCGGACCAACCTTAAAATCAATGAAATACTTTTGTATTTTCAATTGTGGTTAGAAGTACAGCAATGTACATGTATGCATACACATCAGTCCATATGTCTTTGAAACACGACACTTGTTTTATATCCAGAGCATCCCAACTTATATTCCAGCACCACATGGGACATTTGATTTGAATTAGACATGAATTTCCAACGCAATTTTTATTCAAAATTATCTTGATTTCCTGCAGTTTAATGTAACACTGATTTTGTCTATTCAAATACAACTTTATTTCTGTTTTTTTGAGAGAAATACACGAAAAATATAATCATAGTATTTTTAAAGAAGAACCGAAATTCTATGTAAAAGGGTCACATGGCGCTGTGGCAACGCACTTTGAAAAAACTACGCACTTTGAAATTTTTTTTCAAAGTGCGTAAAATTTATGCACTTTGAAATTTTTTTTCAAAGTAAATAAAATATTTTTTACCATGTGGACATTTAACGCACTTTGAAAAAAATATGCAACAAAAATTCCTTACATATTAGTAATTGAAATCAATTTTTAATAATTATATTCCATTTAATTTATATGTATTTATTAACCCTCAGAAGTGCAGCAATGTATATAGTATGCATCACACAACTCTTTTTTAGTACGCAAATATGTATTTTTAATTCCTATATTATGTATTTCTTTGCAAAACAATTGTGTGACTAACCCTCCCCGGCACTGATGCCTATGCTACACCCAAATATATGTATTTGCATAGCTGCTATATGGAACATTTTCAATAAATGATTGGAAAAAATTTAGTACATGAAAACATTTCCAGAGAAAGAATTTTCAAAGTATGGAAAAATATCTTCTCCTTTCCTGAAGTTTAATGTTATCCAACAGGTTCAATTATTTATCATACCTAAGATTTTCAGGAATATTGACCAAGCCATACACATTTTTAAAGTGAGAGAAATACACAAAAAATATAATCATAGTATTTTTAAAGAAGAACCGAAATTCTACGTAAAAGGGTCACATGGCACGTTATTATAAATCTTATTTTAGTAGATGAGAAAAAAGAAGTTATTAAGGGGTTGACGTTTATTAGTAAAGAGGGGCTCCAATTAGCTTTTAATTTATGCATCATTATTATGTAGTTACTCAACAATTCATTTTTTTTTTGTTTTGAAAGAAGTTCATTTCCAATGGAAATTAGAAAGCATTGTCATATAAAAGTTCATTACCTCGCATCCGTGATGAGGACGACTTTAGGGAAAAGGCTAAAATAGGCTGAGACTGCTGCCCAATCCGATTCAATTCTAGATCTGTGAATAAAACATTGCTTAAATTAACAACTTTCTGATTATTGAGTCATTTTAGAATTTTCTCACAAATTTTTTATACCTATCCTCTACATCACTCAGTAAATAAACGTAAATACAATATAGTATTGAAAAAATTAAATCAGTGAAAATGTGTATTTCCTATAATTAAACCCGTAAATGAGTGTTTTTCCTAGGAAGAATAGGAATTTCACGCATTTCCTTTATTTCAGGAAAAGATGAAACTGTTATTTACTGTACTGATAACATTAACACCGCTAAAAATTTTAGACATTCCCTAGCTTAATTTGTGAATAAAATAGATACATGTGTATTCACTTTACTTTAAATGTTTAAAGTATTGTACATATATATGCATTATTTGCAAATTAAGCTGGGGAATGTCTGTTAAAAACTACAAAAAATGTAACAGTAAAGGTGTATTTCTAATCTGTGTATTTAAACAATAAAATGCTTTCTTCGTTTGTTATTACTGGAATTAACGGAAGCAGCTGTTGCAGAAAAAAATACATAACCCGCGTATGCGGGTTATGTAAATTTTTTCTGCAATAGCTGCGACCGTTAATTCCAGTAATAACAAACAAAGAAAGACATTTTATTGTTTATATTTATATCTGTTTAAATAATAATTTAAAGTAGGATTAAAAAGGTTAATTATTGTATTAATGATGCAAATCTTTATACATTTCATTGATGGAACAGCCACTGATCAAGAAATCTGTACAGGCGACATGCCTAATGTAGTTCATGCAGTGATTAACGCAATGGGTTTTCTTTAGAAATTAAGGAGAAATATTCAGTGGATGTAAATACGAGGGGTGATCAAAAAATTCGCAAACTAATTGAAAAACTTCCATACAAGAAACAATATTTGATTTTAATGTTGATTATATTTTAAATTAATCCTCCCCGATTTTAATGCACATCAACCACCGTTCTGCGCATGCGCGAATCACGTGATATTGGCGGTCACGTGACCCCCTCCGTAGCGTTCTGTCACAAAAGTTAAAAGATTTTTCCGAGTTTTATATTTCTTTCCATGTGAGTTAATTTTTATGACAAGAACAGTGAATTTGTCAGAAATGGTCATATCTTGGCAATAGAATGGGTGGATAATAACATCCTTTCCACAAATAAGCATGGCGACCATTAAAACACAAATCTTCTGTCTCAGGAGAGACCTTTATTCAAGGTGGATAGAGAATGGGTGCATCCTTTTTATCATATCTAATATGTTTAAAATCTAAAGTAAACGATATCTTAGGTATTTAATACTTATATCATTGTTCAAATATTCAACTATTTTTCAAAGTGCTAATTGGAGGTCTTTGATAGCAAATTGCTTAATTAAAAATACATATCTTTTCAAACTTGCTTTCACTGGGCAAGATGACAAGTATCATTTTTAACCATCAGCCTTCCTTCACTAAAACGATTAATCCACACACAGTTGGAACTGTATTGGGTTCTTCCCTGGAGTTGAAGAGTTCCACTAAATGAAGGACCCGTGTGCAATACTTTTCATGTCTATATATGGATTTGTACACCTCTTCTAAAACAATTTTTGATGAAAAAAAATCTGGAATTTATGTTTTGTAATTTTTGTGCATTTTTCTTTGAATAAATCAAAAATTTTCACAATTTAATATCTTTTCAAAACCCCTGGTAACACATGCTGGTTTTTTGTCTAAGAACATGTAATGCTATTGTATGTTTAAATTTAGAATATCTTGAAAAATTATCAGTAGGTGAGGTACGTTGCGTATGTCCTTAATTGAATTTATAGGAACTCGTTTATCTCAATAAACTGTGTACAAATTATTATATGATACTGTAGAGGGATTTCTAAAATATTACAATAAATTGTACAGTCGTTTGGTGAACGAGTTCGACTGAGGTCACAAGTGACCTAAATAGTGACGTCATTTTCACATTGTGACGTCACAAACAAGGAGAGAAACTTTATTCAGCATACGCTATTTATAGACCTTGTGTATGGCTATGTGTGTACCGAATTTCATTCTAATCTGAATTGTGGTTTTGTAGATATAGAGATAGTTTGCGAACTTTTTGATCACCCCTCGTATAATGAATGTTATTAAGCTAGCTGCCTTCCGAAATAAGATCTCACACATGCACAGTGCATGTGCAGCTCATAAAAATTAAAAATTATTTGTTTGATTGACATAACATATATCGTGACATATTTTATAAAGTAACAGAAAACTACTGGATAAAGTAGTAAGCTTAGATGCTTAAGCAGGCACCAAGTTTCAGAGAGGGCGCGGGGGGAGGAGGGTTTTTACCAGGCCTAATATTGTTCAAGTTGTACTATTGTAAATTATAAGGGTAAATTAGTGTTAGAGTGAAAATTGGTACCGAAAGAAGTTTGAACTTCAGTAGTCAAGGGAATCACATGCCAAAAACCAAGAATATAAGAATTATAAAATTAAGTTTCATCGACTGAGTATTTGCGTAATATATGATTATATAAATGAAGAAATAGCATATACAATGGATAAGAGGATGTCAACTGCCTACAGTGGATAAATTTTGAGACGTGTCTCTATACCCATCTCGCTGAGATTAGTCAACTGGTGAATACAATGATAACTTTTTTTCATCAATATTTTTTTTTAATTAAAGTTATCATATTGCCTTAAAAAGATAGTGTAAATAAAATTCGTTTGTAATTGCTACATGCTGATTAAAAATACAGTATTCAGTTTAGTTTTCAGTGGGCGGGGGGGGGGGGGGGGGGGGGGGGGGGGTACATTTTGAAGTGAAAACAGGTTCTAGTATTTTTTTCCAGAGTTTACGCCTTTCAAGTTATATATTTTAAATTAATGAAATTCTTATTCAATCTTTTGAGAAAAGAAATCGTCAGTTTTAAAAATACTTCTAGTCGGAAATAAAAATTGTCAAGTCGAAAGCTTGACTTTTAGGTAGCGTTTCTTATTTCCGATAACGTTTTCTTCATAAACACCTGTGACTGTGAGTCTACCAGTTCTTATCTAGCTGTCTGATGTTAAGATGACCCTTATTTCATGGAAATTTATCTTGAACGTGTAATGAGTAGAATTTTTATCATATACTTAAAAATTTTGGAAAAACAAAAAGAAAGACATAAACATGTCACTTCTTAAATCTTTGTTTACATTTTCCATTGTTGTGGGCGGGGTCGCTGTGCTGTTATCCCTGGGTATTTTTAAACAACAGAGAGAACAGCTCTTTTCATACATTCCACAAAGTCTTAGAGACCGCTTATTTGGTGGCTCCAGAGGCCAGTCCAATCCAATGACAAACTTTTCACAGTTGTTGAGTTGGAGAAATATCGGGGTGTTGACGGAAGCGATATTTACCTGGCCGTCCTGGGACAAGTTTTTGACGTCACTAAGGGCAGGAAACACTATGGACCAGGGGGAACCTATCACTTCTTCACAGGTGAGTAAAATTTGACTTTATAAAATGCACTTATCATTGTTTGATGACAATAAGTATCGATCACGATTTGCTGTAGATCACAGCATGTGTCGATATGGTATTGACATTTGTTTGGATTGTTGAACTCATCAGTAATTTAATTGACAGGTATACACATGACAACATGTAAATTAAAAGATTTCTCTTTATTACCTCTTAATCATTTGGTGCATAGTGCCATAAATCAGTGAACAAATGTTATGTGATGCATGATCACAATATATGTGTGAACTTTTAGAATGACTCTCTTAGTAGTCACTTTTACCATTCTGAAGGTAATTTCCTGTCCTTATATTGGCACTAATTATCTTTATCAGAAATCTTTTATGTGTCATGTGTGCAGACAGTTCTGGCATTAAAACATGATACCTAATAACCTCTTGACTTTTCCTCCCAGGTAATGCAGGCACAAGGGCCTTTGTATCAGGTGATTTCACAAAGGAAGGATTAAAAGAGGACCTCACTGGACTGTCTCTCCAGGATATACAGGGTATAGCAGGCTGGGTCGACTTCTACAAACAACAGTATACATATATAGGTAGGAATATGCCTTTATTACCTATCAACAGTACATATATCTAGGTATGATATAACTACATTACCTATCAACACTTCTAATGTTTTTATAATGTATAATATTTAGATAACCTGTCGACTGTACACATATCTAGTAGGTAGGAATATTCTTACATTACCTATCAACACTTCTAATGTTTCTAGGCATAATGTATACTTAGATAACCTATCAACAGTACACATATCTAGGTAAGAATATGCCTAAATTACCTATCAATATTCCAACATTACCCAGCAACAATTCACATGTATCTTGACATAATATACCAAGAATAAGATAATCTATTAACAATACACATATCTATGTATGATGTTACTATATCTTCAACAGTACCCATATTCAAATAAGTATAATTATATATCTACATTACCTGCAATTTAGGATACTTAAATGGAAAGAATGTGTCTTCAAGCACTTGATTGTGACATCCAGTAGAACTATCTTTGACATATAAATGACAGATATGTAATTAAGCATTACTAGTTAAGTTATTAATTTGAGGAAATACATGTTCTGTGAATATAATGAAACATATCTCTTGACATTACAAGAAATATGTTATCATAGATATATCACCCACTCCATATAAGCCATCAAGAGTTCACTTAATTTCTTAACCACAAAAAGGTTAATTAAGACTAGCATTGTCCCAAATGGACCAGGAGAAAAGTTTAACATTATTTTAAATAAGTCATGGAAACAAATAAAAAACAATGTTTTTAGTACCCGATTTGATTAGAAATCCTTTTCAAATAAAATATGTAAGAAAAGCCTAATATTTCAACATAATGTAGTTGAACTATGAAAAATGGGATGCACGTGTCACTTAAAACGAATTTGTGAAACTTATGAATTCATGCACACTTAGTAGTTTCAAATTAGAAAATACATGTACAAATACAATTTTGGTATTTATTCAGTAAAGCAGTTACATTAAAAAAAATAGTCACAGAAATGTGGTTTGATGCTTTGAATGTATTTTATTATATTTGTAGACCTATACATATTTAACACAAAAGAACTACAAAGAAGTTTCTTTTGACGTATTATGTGTGTCAATTGCTTTTCCTTTGTAATTGTGATTTACTACAAACATAAATTTTCCGCAAACACAATTTTAATATTTTCAGTACACCTTTAATTACCATTTCCTAGAAACGCAATAAATCGAACGTAATTGACACTTGTTAATTTATAGGAAAACTAATTGGACATTTTTATGATGAACTCGGTAATCCTACCGAGGCCCTGGAGGAATTCAAGAGAAGATACGTGGAGGCCCAGCAGAAACAGAAGGAAGACAACGAGGACTTACGGAGATTCCCGCCATGTAACTCCGAGACCAAAGTCGGCATTAGCAGGCGGCTGTGGTGCTCAGAGAACAGGTCAGAATAAACATCTCAGTGGTCATGTCTTATACTCTTACATATAAAGAATCTTGCTGTTCCCCTTTTTCTTTCAGATAAGTGTAAAAGCAGTCACGTAATTAGTAGTCTTTCTCAATTCTAACTTCACACTGGCATATTGTAAAGAAATACGAACGCTAACTCTCGATTCCCGCCTACATTTTGCGACCATTTAATTCAATATAAATGGCAATTTGGCCATAAATTCTTTGTTTAATACAAAGAATTCAATGGAAATTGATGAACTGTCTTAATACCAGCTCTAAGTAGTAAATTATCCTTAACTCAGGCTCTTGAAAAAAGGGGGGTAGACGGTATTTTCCATTGAAATCGGACTTTCAAGCATCACCATATTTTGAAATAGTCTTGGATATGATTAAATGTCCCTTATATCTTTTCTTATATTTTAGGCAAATAAATAAAACATGAATATATTAATAAAATATAAGGTTTCAGTTATAAATCGCTTTGAAATTGGTGAAAAATAAGCATTGTTGTCGTTTTTTGTCAATAAACATATGTCCCCCCCCCCATGACACACAAAAAGCTTTGGTGTGAATTTGTGAAATAGCAGTCCATATTAACTGTAAAAAGGAATTTTGTGTCACGGGGGGAGAGATGTTTTAAAAATATTTTCCGTTTTCCGCGTTGATTTCTATAATAGTGAAAAACACAAGTTTTACCAAAATTTTAGTTATCTCTCTTTGTTTTCCCAAATAAGTAATGTTTTATGAAAATCCATATAATTATCTATAAAAAATATTAAAAATCCATCGAATATGTTAACTTTTGAAAATTGACTTGGAGGTAGGCGTGAGAACAATACTATCGTTCGCAGTTCTTTTAAATAAACCGTAAAACAAGGGGCACTAAAACATAATTTATAATATTGTAATTTCTTTTATATACTGCCGACCAGTAAATTCCACATTCCTGTTAATTTTTATATCAAATGTATATTTACTCCGTGCATGTATGGTTGTTTCATTACTTTCTAATCAATCAAATGTGTCAAGCATATTTCCTTTAGTTAAGATTCAAAGTTTATCTCATTGTACTACATGTAATTACTTTTTAATTTAATTTCAGTGGTGGCATAAAAAGAGACTGGATTGGAGTTCCCAGACAGTATTTCCAACCAGGCCATTCACAAGCACGATGCGCATGCGTCAGAGATAGTGGTCCGCCGTCTTTAGGGAGTGGTTCTTCCAACAATGGTGACTTAGATAACCCAAATATGAAAATATATGACGGATGCGAGCCAACAGCAACGTCATGTAACTTTAAAGATTAAAAAATATTAAAACTTACATTGCTTTTTGTCTTTTATATGTATTTTATATTTATTTTAGTACATTTATTTTCGCCATTTTGTTCTTGTTTTTGTTTGAGGTTTACAACACCTAGCTATGTTGTTTGAAATAAGTAAAGTCGTAATTATGTTCCCCAAACGAAGTTGGGGAACATATTGTTTTTACTCTGTTTCTTATTATTATTATTTTTCTTCTTCCTGGGCACTTTTTTGTCCGCGAATGATCTCGTAAACTACACATCCGACTAAGGTGAAATGTTTTTAGGGTCAGTAGACATGTTATGTAGATTTGCGGAACGAAGGTCATTTTGCGCGCACGTGCTTGCAAGAGCGCGCACGTGCAACACGAGAAATGATCAATACAATGAATATAAGCGTAACTTTTTACATTTTTGATGAAATGCTTTGAAACTCATTATATTAGGATATATTAGTAACATAGACAATATGACATGGTCAAAATAGCAAGATCTCACGCGCATGCACGTGCACTTCGCTCTGATTGGCTGAAACTAAAGTCTCAATATCTTTCTTGTCTTTTGACAAAATCCTTTCAAATTTTGAACTTTGCCATGCATTAGGATATTCTACAACATGATGTATAGCAATTTTCATGAAAACACGTGCATGCACGTGCGCTGCAATCTGATTGGCTCAAACTTTAAATAGCTATTACTCCCTTGCTTTTCAACCAAACAGGATGGGATTTGGAACATAGATATATATAATGGACTTCTACAAGAAGGTATGGTCAACATGCACATGCATACACGTGCGTGTACTAGGGCTGCAATCTGATTGGCTGAAACTTTAAACAGCTGTAACTCCCTTCGTTTTCAACCAATTGGGGCGGGATTTAGAATATAAATAGATATAATGGACTTCTACAATAAGGTATGGTCACCATGCTCATGTATGCACGTGCGTGCACGTAAAATGAGTAAATTCAAAAATACACTTGATTGAGCGTTTTCTTTTAATACTTTTGGATAAAATACTTTTAAATATTAAGTATATTGAAATATATAGATTGTGTAGACAAGATGATATGGTTATTAGACACATGCATTCACATGCGCACGCGTGCAGTGCTAAAATTTGAATGAACGTGGTACACTGGGTAAACGTTGTTAAAGTCTCAAATGCATGAGTTTGTCTTATTTAATGAAGCTTACAGGGATTATGGCACCAAAAGGGAGTTGGTGAGCGTTTGGGGAACATCTGTAACGGTCCCCGTTACAATTAGCACTAGTTACTTTTTAACTTTTTAAGGGAAAATATACTTATTAAGTTTTATAAACTTAAGATAATGATATATATATATATATATATAAATCTATAGATAAAACATTAACAATATGCCCCCCGATTTGAAAATGACAAGAAAATGAGGAAGTTTATTTTGTTATTTTTCAAACACTTTTGTCTTACATTTACATAATGCATCAAAATTAAGATGCACTGCGCATTTCCCCCATTAATTTGAATTTTCTTGGTTGTAAACAAAGTTAAAGTAATAATTTCAAAGTGACAACAGGTAAACAAAATGCTCTTCATAAAAATCGCAAACATGTCACTATGATTACTTCGTTGTATTCTATGACATACATGTCCTTGAAAGTACTCCGATATGAGCGAGATAAAGTGTCAACAAATCAAAACTGATCGAGTCTTGTTATAGAAAGATTTTTGAAATGTTAATCTTTATGTATTAGATTACATAAGAATAAATTGAAGAATTGAGGAAAACACTGATTTTTTTTTCTTTGGTGAAATCTGAACACCCATTCTCTGTTAAGGTAAGTTGTGTATTGTGACTGAGACCGTTTACTTACACAATTTTTCAGACAAACGTAGACGTTTTGTCAAAGTTTGTCGCGAGTAGATTAACAAATTCCACACACACGCCTCCTCTGTTACATTTATGTCTTTTGTCCCCTTTGTTGTCGTCTCAGTAAATAAATGAATGTTACAAAGCTAATGATGACTAATTAAATTAAAACACAGTCTGAATTTTAAAAAAAAAAATCTCTCATCTAGGACTTTATCTATTTTTGTGGTTAAAACTTATTTTCAGTTGTTATAGTTTTCGTTACAAGAATAAATAATATAACACACACATATCCGATTCGACATCCTCGTTTTTCACATTACATCTCTGCTTTCCACATTTAAAAAAAAGTGATCTGCGTGGCGCAGTGGTAAGAGCGTTTGTTGTAGAGTCGCGGAGTAAGGATTTTATCTTTACGTCGCGGGTTCAAATCCCACTGTGGGACGTGGAGACCGGTCCTTCCAATGTGACCATACAGACCGAGGTCCTGTGCCGCAGTAGGTGTTGCCAAGAAAGAAAGATCCCTCACTGCCCTTAGTGCAGCTCTCCAACTTCAAATGGAACTAACAACCACACAACAAACATACAATCAAAATTCACATAAAAAATGCATATTCGCTCACTATTAAAGTGAAACAACACGCTAGAATTTCCATGGACATTCGACTTCAAGTGTTTAACTCCACAATTTCACTCAAAGAAAAGAGAGTATTATTTAATGATTAAATAAGAAATTAAAATCTTCCTTTTTAATTCAGGACTCTTATTGCGTCATACTTGTTTCATACACGTGAAGATGTATGTACAAGAACTAGACGATTATTGAATGATTCACAAATTTTTCAACATGTATCTAACACCATGACATGGTCAAAATGCACCACACTCCGAGAAAACAAGACAAACAACAGAATACCTGTCATGAAATGTTCATAAAAGTTTCACCTTTGGCAAGAAAAGATACACCGACAAGCAAAAAGCTAATTTCAGGAGAGAAAATGTGTTGGACATGTCGATACATATCCGATGGAGTGTACTTACCATTAATGGCACGTTTGAAGAGTTTGTGGGTTGGTCAGACAATCACGGTATCCGGCGAGAAGGGGTATAAAATGAATTTGCAGGCCCTTCTTCAGCGCAATTCAAAGCCACTATATTTGCCGAATAAGAAAATTAAAAGGTAGGAACAACATATTATACTGTTGAAGGATTTGTATAATCGACTTCAGTTTGTACAGTTTATTTTGAGCATCTTCGTTTCCAAAATTTCCAAGTGAATGTCCCATGATTTTCATTAATAGTGGACAAATAATTGTGTTTTATACTTATATGGACATAATTTTCAAAATCGTTTTTCTTCATTTGTCTTCTATAACGAATAATCATACCAGAAGGATGTGATTCTAAGTGTATCTGTTTTTTTATTTTATTACAAGGCAGGATGACTCCTCAGTATAGCCTCCTCTTAGTTTTAGCGGCCACTTCTTTAGTTTTTGTGAAAGGTATGTACTCTTTCAATAGGGTATTTAACAACTATTTTTTTTTTAAATCAATTACTTTAAAATTTTACTTTCATAGTTATAATACCAAAAAAAAAAAACCAAGAAAGAATTTAGACTTTAAATAATATATACACTGTATTAGCAACTAGTAAATGTTTATCAATATTATTCATATAACGATGATGTGATGCTACTTGTCTCGTGTTTGTTTAGCTTTACCTCCTGGAAGACGGGGACCAATGCTACGGCCTGGTCCTGCGCCAGAGCCTATGCCAATGGGAAATCAAATGGCAAGACCTGAACCAATGCCCATGGGTGCAATGGGAGGTCCTTCACAAAGAATGCCGATGGGGGCAGCACCTATGCCAATGAGAATGATGCCCATGACGATGAACATGCGCAAAGGTGCCATGGGACAAATGCAAATGGCTAAAATGGCAATGAATGCCATGCGGATGCCAATGAGACCCATGTCCATGCCTATGCCAAAGAAACAGATGCCGATGAACGGAGGAGCAAACGGAGCAAGAGGTGGCGCTTCAGAGGGTGCTGGTGCAGCAGGTGGTGAAGGAGCCTCATCTGGTGGTCCTCCTCCACCCGATGATATCGAGGGAACGGCCGCCGCCCCTGCTGATGATCCACTCCCACCTTCAGCTGGATCTGGATCCAGTGCTCAATCTTCTATGCCTAGAATGCCCACACCAATGGTTATGATGCCAACCCCGATGATGACCCCAATGACCATGATGACAATGCCAGGTGCCATGGGAGTTCCAATGATGCCAGCACCAGGAATGATGCCCGGTGCCAAAGTCATGATGCTAGCACCGGGAATGATGCCTGGTGCTGGAGGCATGATGATGCCTGGTGCTGGAGGCATGATGCAAGCACCAGGAATGAAGCCTGGAAACGGAGGTATAATGATGCCAGGAGCAGGTCTTACGATGATGCCAATGATGGCCTTGATGCCAGGACAAGCAATGACTCCAGCTGGTGGCATGAAACCTGCCTCCTCTGGAATGATGAGTGGAAGCAGTGCAATGCCAATGGTAATGATGCCTATGGGTTCAATGATGGGTGCCGGAATGATGTCAATGGGGATGGGAGGAAAACCATCACTTATGCACAAAAGAAGTATAGCATTTAGTCTATTTACTGTTCGTTAATTTGGTAAAGAATTACAATATTGATTTTTTCTTCTTTATTGAATTTCTGTTCATTGCACTTTTATTATTTATTTTATTTTCAGGGTACAGGAGAGCGGCGCCCGTTAACGGTGAGTGACCATCTTGCTACTACATATCGAGACCAACATACCTAATCATCAAATTTGGTTTTAATCAATTATTTCGTGTTCACATTTGCAATTACTCCAGTATGAATATCTAACATTCGAATGATTGATAGCGTTTGTAGAACACTTTATATATATATATAGGATGTTAAAAATAATAGGATGGATTCAAAATCGGTTTAAAAGGTACGGTTCATGAATACTTCCGAAATTTGGATTGTCAATTTCGACAAATATAATTGCGCATTCACTTATTTTGTCAAAAATTTCTTTAAAAAAAGTTCCTTTGATACCGGTATGTTTTATTGGTATCTAAATGGAATACCATTGTATTATCAAAATTCTCTTTTTTTCAAGTCTTGAGAGCACCGTTTATTGAAAGTTTTGCCAGCCAGATAGGGAAATCATTCGCTAATATTAACATGTGTTGTCTTAATATAGGGTATGCTCCAATGCAAGGAATGAACATGAACAATAACATGGGTACTCCCAACGGAAACACAGGAGCTATGGGAAATATGAACATGGCAAACGTAATGAATACAATGAAAATGTCCCAAACAAACCAAATGGACGATATGACAAGACAGATGAACAACATGATGAATGCAGTCAAGGGTTCACAGAACATGAACATGATGGGCTCACAGATGGATGATATGATGAATCAAATGAACATGAATGCTAATAAAGGTTCACAGAACATGAATATGATGGGCTCACAGATGGATGATATGATGAATCAAATGAACATGAATGCTAATAAAGGTTCACAGAACATGAATATGATGGGCTCACAGATGGATGATATGATGAATCAAATGAACATGAATGCTAATAAAGCTTCACAGAACATGAACATGATGGGCTCACAGATGGATGATATGATGAAACAAATGAACATGAATGCTAATAAAGGTTCACAGAACATGAACATGATGGGCTCACAGATGGATGATATGATGAATCAAATGAACATGAATGCTAATAAAGGTTCACTGAACATGAACATGGTGGGCTCACAGATGGATGACATGATGAAAATGTCCCAAATGAACAAAATGGATGATGTGATGAACCAAATGAACAACATGATGAATGCAGTCAAAAATTCACAAAATATGAATACAATGGGCTCACAGGTGGATGATATGATGAACCAAATGAACATGATGAATGTTGGAAAAGGTTCACAGAATATGAATATGATGAATGCTCAAATAGATGATATGATGAAAATGTCTCAAATGAATAAAATGGATGACATGACAAAACAAATGAACAATATGATGAATGCAGCCAATAATGCACAAAATATAAATACGATGAACTCACAGGTGGATGATATGATGAATCAAATGAACATGATGAATGCTGGAAAAAGTTCACAGAACATGAATATGATGGGTTCACAGATGGATGACATGATGAAAATGTCCGAAATGAAGAAAATGGATGATATGATGAACCAAATGAACAACATGATGAATGCTGGTAAAGGTTCACAGAATATGAATATGATGGGTTCACAAATGGATGACATGATGAAAATGTCACAGATGGATGATATGATGAAAATGGTGAACAGGAGGAATCAAATGAATAACATGATGACTTCTGCAAATGGTCAATCTAACATGAATACTATGATGGAAGTAGCTAATGTTATGAAAAATGCAAATATGGCTCCAAATATGATGAAAAATGCCATGAATATGATGCCAATGCCAAACGATGACATGGGTCAAGGTGCTATGGGGGCTATAATGAGGGCCTGTATGACAATGATAAATGGAAAGAATAATGGTAACATGAAACCAGCAACCAATGGTGAAATGATGCCTCCCATGCCTGAGCCAGTCTCAATGAATGACATGCCTTCATCAATGAATGGTATGAACATGAATAGTATGGGACAGGAAACATCGTCTCCTGCAGAATCTCAAATGAATAATATGGGGAATGGAAACATGGGAAATATGAACATGATGCAATCATCCATTGGAAATATGATGCCCCCTATGCCTGAACCTATGCCAATGAATGGCAACATGGGTAATATGAATGACATGTCATCATCAATGAATGGAGTAAACATGGGGAAAATGCAATCAAATGGACCTAACATGATGCCTATAATGCCAGAACAGATGCCAATGAATAATATACCATCTTCATTGAATATGGGAAATATGGAAATGATGTCATCTATGAATAACATGATGCCAAACTCACAACCAGAGATGATGCCCACAATGCCAGAACCTGCTCCAATGAATGGTATGGGAAATGGTAATATGAATGGTATGCCATCAACAATGAATGGTGTAAATATGGGCAATATGAAAATGATGTCATCTATGAATAAAATGATGCCAAACACTCAACCAGAGATGATGCCCACAATGCCAGAACCTGTTCCAATGAATGGAATGGGAAATGGTAATATGAATGGCATGCCACCAACAATGAATGGTGTAAATATGGGCAATATGAAAATGGTGTTATCTATGAACAAAATGATGCCAAACACTCAACCAGAGATGATGCCCACAATGCCAGAACCTGTTCCAATGAATGGAATGGGAAATGGTAATATGAATGGCATGCCACCAACAATGAATGGTGTAAATATGGGCAATATGGGAACAATGTCATCTATGAACAAAATGATGCCAAACTCTCAACCAGAGATGATGCCCACAATGCCAGAACCTGTTCCAGTGAATGGAATGGGAAATGGTAATATGAATGGCATGCCACCAACAATGAATAGTGTAAATATGGGCAATATGGGAACAATGTCATCTATGAATAAAATGATGCCAAACTCTCAACCAGAGATGATGCCCACAATGCCAGAACCTGTTCCAATGAATGGTATGGGAAATGGTAATATGAATGGTATGCCATCAACAATGAATGGTGTAAATATGGGCAATATGGGAATGATGCCAGCATCAAAAGACAATATGATGTCTGCTATGCCAGAACCCATGCCTGTCAACATGAATATGGATACAAACAACCAAAACATGGGAAACATGGGAATGATGCAATCTCAAATGAATAATATGCCAGCACCTAATCAACCCATGCCACCCACTATGCCTGAACCAATGCCATCAAATAACATGCCATCGTCAGTGAATGGAATGAATATGGGTAATATGGGAAATATGCCATCTATGGATGGAAATAGCATGGGGAATATGGGAATGATGGCAAACATACCATCCATGAATGGAAATAGCAGGGGGAATATGGGAATGCCATCATCTAAAGGCAATATGATGCCATCTATACCAGAGCCAATTACAATGGCAATGAATAACATGCCAACACCAATGAATAGAATGAATATAGGTAACATGGGAATGTTTTCAACTCAGATGAATGGTATGTCAAAGATTTCCAAACCCAGATCTGGTAAGTAGATTTCTAGTATTTCCTGAAATTCATATCAGTAAAGACATATCAATGAAGAATTCAATGAAATATCAGTTTAAGCAATAAAAAAACCAGGCTAATAAACTTCCTTTATTTCAGTCTATTAGAGGTAATGTGTGTACCTGTATTGTACCAAAGAGCTTTCAACTTCTCTACACAACAAAAGGAGCCTTCATAGTATTCTAACCCATGTGTGCATGATGTGAATGTATATATCCCGTTTGTGCCAATCAATGTAAAATGATTATCATTGCTTACAATGTGTGCTATATTGCCATGTGTACCACTGTTCATCAATTTGAACTATGGCTTTTGTGAATAAAGCGTTGTTATTTCTTCTTCTATACATGACGTTGTGTTTTCATTAATGCTATGGAATTCAGTCATATTAAAAACCACAATAGTACCGGGGTATACTAAGACAGTGTACATGAAGCCTTGAAGTTTTACCCAATGTGGAATTTGCATAAAAGTTTGCATTATTTATTAAGTTTAAAAAAAAATATACGCCTCATTTAATAAATAAGAAGTATCAGTTTACTGTTCAGTAGTTTTAACGTAACACAAATGATATGCATTATGCAATATTGCCCACAATTAACTGTTTTTTTTTAGCAAGATCAAAAGTAGGGACATGCAAGGGTTGCTAGGAAAATTGTCGAACAATATTGGTTATCTTACATCCAAGAAATCTAATTTAAGTACATGATCATATGTAAAAATATTTATTTTGATTCCAAATGATTGATTTACTTCTAAAACGAACATGGTTTGTTACCACGGAGCACAATGAATAGCAATAGAGCGTCAGAAACATAAAGATGGGAGTTTCTGAATTCGTTCCTTTATGTTTTTATTCACAGTCAATTTACAAACAGTCTGGCGCCATGCCGACTTCTTTTCCACTTCGCAATGAACTTGCTAACAATGCATTCAGTGGCATAAGTCCGTTTGTCAGCACTTTCCATTTTTCTGCAACAGTGAAGCGTCTTCATCTCTCTTTCCATGACGTTATGAATTCTTTTGATCAGATTCTTGCCAATTATCGTTGTCTCAAGCTACGGTCCATAGTCCACACCTAACTGTTTCCCGGAATGGCGAGGGGATCGAACATATTGACCGTAGTTTGGTACGATGAACGATAATATGCAATCCGGCTCAAAGTCGGACCCTATTTTATTTCCTTACAACGAAGTGAAATAATAGGGCCCTGCTTTAGTCAGACTGGATAACCTGTTTCATAGCAAATCGTATATCGTCTGCTGTAGGCTCTCCAACACTCGAAATCCTCTTGTCTTACGGTATTCACACAGAAATGTACAACTCACTTTTGAAATATTTTCTACTCCCTCAAGTATTTTCTGAGATATTTTTTCAAGTTTTCCCTGAGTGCAACACAAAATTCCTTTTGCTCCTTGACGATCTAACCAAACTGGATTTTAATATTTTTTTTTTGGGGGGGGGGGGGGGGGGTTGTGGGGTTGGGGGGGATAACATCGTAATTAAAGATGTTAAGGCAATTCAGCACTTGCAAAGGCTTCCTGTGGTAATCTGGGAATTCATTTTTTTTTTATTTAATTTGTAACCTGAAGTCAATCCATTACTCAGTTGAAATAGTTAAGGTGGCCAGCACCATAATCAAAATCAGAAGTCTCTGTCGAGACTGAAGCTCTACTGGTTTGTTCTTATAGCAAAGGAAAAGAAAGTTCTTAAGCAGTTGGGAATTGAAACTTTACCACAGCAATAAAAAGAATAATGAGCCTTGATTAAGTCTCTTTATGTTCTTAGTGTAGTCTACTTACATGCCACATTATATTATAATCAGACTTAAACTGTATTTGGAGTAGCATTTTGAGAGTTTTTAACAAAAATTTTTGTTTTTAGTTACCACGGAAACACGGTTCATCGAAATCAAAAACCGATATACAGAATTGTGTATCTTAGTGTAGTCTACTTGTGTGCCAAGTTATATTGAAATCAGACCAAAACTGTAGGAGGAGTAGCATTTTGAAAGAATTTCACAGAAATTTCTATTTTTAGTAACCACGGCAACACCGTTCATTGAAATCAAAAACCGATAAAGAGAATCATGTATCTTAGTGTAGTCTACTTGTGTGCCAAGTTATATTGAAATCAGACCAAAACTGTAGGAGGAGTAGCATTTTGAAAGAATTTCACAGAAATTTCTATTTTTAGTAACAACGGCAACACCGTTCATTGAAATCAAAAACCGATACACAGAATTATGTATCTTAGTGTAGTCTACTTGTGTGCCAAGTTATATTGAAATCAGACCAAAACTGTAGGAGGAGTAGCATTTTGAAAGAATTTCACAGAAATTTCTATTTTTAGTAACCACGGCAACACCGTTCATTGAAATCAAAAACCGATACATAGAATCATGTATCTTAGTGTAGTCTACTTGTGTGCCAAGTTATATTGAAATCAGACCAAAACTGTAGGAGGAGTAGCATTTTGAAAGAATTTCACAGAAATTTCTATTTTTAGTAACAACGGCAACACCGTTCATTGAAATCAAAAACCGATACACAGAATCATGTATCTTAGTGTAGTCTACTTGTGTGCCACGTTATATTGAAATCAAACCAAAACTGTAGGAGGAGTAGCATTTTGAAAGAATTTCACAGAAATTTCTATTTTTAGTAACAACAGCAACATCGTTCATCGAAATCAAAAACCGATACACAGAATTATGTATCTTAGTGTAGTCTACTTGTGTGCCAAGATATATTGAAATCAGACCAAAACTGTAGGAGGAGTAGCATTTTGAAAAATTGTTTACAGACAGACAGACAGACGGACGGACGGACGACGGACGCATTACTATCGCATAAGCTCTTCTTGTCTCTGACCAGTAGAGCTAATAAACAGAGGTTCAAAACGTCAAAGAACAGAAAATCATCACAATTTCTATTTATAAACAAAAAATCAGATTCGTTTACTGTAACATTTATTACTGATTTCATCAAGTGACAGATGATGACAATAAAACATTGAATATTCTGAATCACAATACCATTTTTGCAGCCATGAGAATATAACACATGTAGGCACCATTTTAGACAGTAATCACAGGACACTACAGTTTGAATATGAAAAGGGAAACAATTCATTGAGTTTAATTGATAAAAAATACCAAGCTTTTGTTTACATGTTATTTTCATATTTCATTTTTTATGTTGTCGATTTGTATTTTTTTTTTCTCCAGATTAACATGTAATAAGCACAGAAAATTAATCTTTCTGATTAGTAACATGTGAAAACTTTTGATTTCAATAGAACAAATTTACCAACTCATCCTTTAAACAATAATGTATACCATTAAATATATATTATGTCTGCCATTTCTATAACAAATGTATACAAAACAGCAAGATTAATTTACATGGTAAGTAACCTAATTCATAATTTAGGCCACGTTTGATATATCTTTTCATAATTCATAATATATATAAAATTAAAGGTAATTTCTCTTTTTTTCCCCTTTGTTGTTATTGTTGAAAGAAATAAGGTATGAAAAAATGCATGAAAACTTCTTTAAATGAATAATTTTAAAACATTGACTATACAATTATGCAATGTTTGAAGGTATGCTGGAGTAAAAAAAATTCTCTTTTACACGTTGGCCAAAGCTGACTTCACAATAGATTGAATATTTCCCAATGTTCATCAATAAAGGTAACTAAAACAGTTAATTTGACTTGATTCAGCAGCATGTTGTTTGCAATGTTTAGGGGGAGGGGGAATTTGTCGTGTATACAGATGAAACAGCACTAAAGTTCATTATAAATAAAGCATACAACTTTGGAATTGAAGATTCTTATTACCAATATCATTCTACACCTATTTTCAGTTAAAGCAAGATAACCAAGCAAAAATATTTTGAAACCCATACCAGCTGTGTCTATTTTCTTTTAATAGCTACATTAAACAAACAGTGATGTTGACGATGTAAATAGAATGTTTGGTCAGCAAAATTAAAGGAAAACAAAACTACAAATATCACAAAATTTAGAACAAAATTACATTACAAACAGTATTACATTTAAAAAGAGAGAGGGGGCGGGGGACTGCATAAATAACAATTGTTGTTAAGCTGGGGCTGATAATGAATAAGAAAAATATTTTGCACATGAAATGCATCAAAGATTAATTGAAGTACATGTATAAACTGATTTTTTTCTAATTGGTTAAAAGTTAAATGAAATAATTTTTCTTTTTCATTTTGAAAGAAAAATGTAATTTTGTGATATTTTGTGGGCATCTCCTCTCCCTTGAACGAAAAATTGTGGTAGGGTTTAAACAAAAAAAAAATGGAGTTTAAAACATCGTACAAAGTAAATATACCAGCTTCTCTTTTTCATAGCACATGATGTACAAATATATTTTTAACAATATATAAATAACACACAATACGTAACTAGATTTTGACAAAGGAATTTCATAACATCATAGAACACATACAAAACATAACAAGGAGCACTGAACCGTGACTCTCTGCCAAGAATCACTGAACTGTGACTCTCTGCCAAGGAGCACTGAACTGTGACTCTCTGCCAAGGAGCACTGAACTGTGACTCTCTGCCAAGGAGCACTGAACTGTGACTCTCCAGCAGATTTCCCTCACTCTTTAAGTCAATTACTTTGGAAACAGCCATTTATTTTTAATTCTACATAAAGCCAAAGATTCATGTTTTTTGTTTGCATCTAAATTGTATGTCACATATTAATTTATATTTTTTTTCTAAATATATAAACTTAACAGTGTTTTTTATATGAGAAACTAATTGTACAAATCATGTCAAATATTCAGCTCTTTATGAACTAAAAAATATATAACCAGGAAAATTATTTCCTAATTTAAAGTATACATAATATATCCCATAAAATTATAGATGACTCCGCTGACAGGATGAAGCATTATATAACTTAGTCAATTGACAAGAATCACATGTGATGCATTTTTTCAGACAGGCAATGATCATATCTGGATTCAGTTGCACATTTATACATGTCTACCAATCCTCTACTTAATATTGGCATATTAGCCAGCTGAGACCCATCAGATAGGCATATTTTCTGCATTGACCCAATGTCAAGAAAATACACATTGTAGAACTGTCATCTTCTGTAGTACACCATCTTGTTTTTTTGTTTTTTTTTATTTTCCCTGTTCAATGAAGCATGATGACTGGTGACTGTTTGCAGTCTTGACTCTTATTTGGAACCCACAGATCCAATGTTCTGATAAATCTGTCTACTGTCCTCTGCTGGGGGCAGTCTGGAGAAAAAAATAATAGAAAGAACATGTCACTTTAAGGGAATACTTTTGATTTTAATTTTTAGCTTTTTTTTTTTGAATTTTGAAATTTTTAGAATAAACTCAATACTTCTTTTCACAAAAACAAAAATACAAATACAGTCTCAAACATAATCTTGGACTTTTGTTTAAGTCTTTTAAACCACTAAGACTGTGCTATACATTTTTGACCTCTAAGCTTAAGCTTACTTAGGTAGATCTTTCTCCTTCCTCTTTGTGGACTGTGATAGCTGTGGTACTGCCCCTTTAGTGCTGGCAGACAGAGACTTATTAGCTGACTCCAGGTTAGCTGTGTAGCGAATGTTGGTGTACTCTCTTCCCACGGATTGCTACAGTATATAATGTCAAAGGTATAGTTCTATTCTTAACGAGGCCGAGTCTAATTATTTTTTCTACCCTACGGATTTTGATAATTTTTTGTTAATTAATTTTTACTGTTATATTTATTGTTTTAAGATTAAAAAATCGAATGTTTACCACCCCAATTTCATAGGGGGATATCTCAAAAGTTGTCAAATTTTGCTATTGGAACCTATGGGAATTTGTTGGAAAAGCGCCAAATTATCACATTTTTTCCATATTTTTTGTATTTCTGACCTAGAGATTTCTTCTTCAGTTGAGTAGATGAAAGTTATAGTAAAAAGTCACCAAATTGTGAAATTTCGAAAAAGTTGACCATCTAGTTTGGTCTAGTCTTAATTACAAAGTTTATTTTTTTTTATGCCTAATACCTCTAAAATTGCCATATTGTGGTATAAATACATATCGGTGCAGATGAATTATCGGCGAAGATAATATTTTTGGTAAAAATAACAATAATTAAATGGCTAGTATGCTTCCTTTGATGTTCTGTTTACAGTTTTTAGTATAATATCTATGGACTTTTGCGAACATATAAGCGAGTCATGTGTCATTCTTCAGCGTCATGCACTGGTAACAAAATCGGAAAACAGTGACATCGTTAGAGCCATTTCAGCGTTTTTTCCAAATTATTGTCGTAAAATCACATTTTCAGACCAGTAGGCATGACAGGTAATGTTAATTTTATATTGAAATCACAATATTTGTGCAAGGTGTCCTGTCGCACTTTTGATTGCATGAAATTAAAAAGCAGCCCAAAAGTCATGTCATTCGAATTAGACTCGGCCTCGTTAATGATAACTTATGAGTAAATTTATGTAATATATGTAAAACTATATTAATAGAGAAAATAAGACTAAGCACATCAATACCATACGTATGAAATGTACTCTAAAGCCTATTCCATACCATATCTACCCATATGGGTATATTGGCTGATTAACAACATGTGGGTCTTAAAATTTTTTTTGGCCATTTATAGTCAATGAAATATAAAAGAAAAAGATTTTTGCATAAAATCCCAGTGTATACCTCCTCAGCCCGCTTTCGCTGCTGCTCTGTCTCCAGGTAGTGAAGTACTGCCATGTAGACAAACTTGTACTGCGCCTCTGTCTGCACCATACCTGATCTCTGAGATCTAACCATCTGTATCGTCTTCTGGATATCTATTTCACACTCCAGACCTAAAATGTCAAATAAACTCTTTTGTCAGGCTAAAAATGTATAACTATCAAGATTAAAAAAATTGTGTAAATAATTTTTCTTTCCATAACCACCCCATCCAATAATGCACAATCCCTTCTTTGATTCAAAAGAACTGAAATTTTCCAAACAATTTTAATTTGAAATCTTAGGGTATTATATATCTATAGACTCCAGATATATTACACCAACATGAGCACTATGTCTAAAACTTACCATACATCTTGATCTGGTTGAGTATTATGTCAATAACAATGAAAGTCCCCGTACGACCAATGCCAGCACTACAAACCAAACACAATATTTAGATCACAAATACAAAACCTACAGATCTTTCTAAAAAAATTGTATGTTCTTTAATTCATATGCAAGTTTAAAACATCTGAGAAAAAAATCTTGTTTTCACGGATTCTACCCCTAAACATTTTAAAAATACTATGTAAAAGGAACAATTCCTATCTTGAAAAAATTTTGTGTTTGTCCAGTCATGGTGATACATGTATATACAATATCAACTCTTATAAGGCTTTACCTGCAGTGAACCACAATAGGGCCAGCATCCTTGATCTTCTCCTGCTGGGCATTGACCACATTGAGGAAGTTGAGGACACAGCCAGGATCAGAGGGTACCCCATAATCAGGCCAGGTCAGGAAGTGGAACTGGTAAACTCGTCTCAAATCTTCCTTCTGTAATCAACACAAATACTTTAATTATAATTTAAACATCTTTCTGTAAGTATTCATTGTATGAGTTGTTTTAACATCTGAAGCTTGTTTAACATACAGCGTCGTGCCAAAAGTATTCGCGGAAAAATGGCGGCCGTCGTAAAACGTTCACGCTTCGCTTTTTTTCAAATTGTCCTAAATCATTATGCAATCGCTTTTTGTATTTTGACATCATCCCCGAAAACGCGCAAGGTCAAAGTTTACCGTGATGTCATGTTTGACTTCTGCTAAAGTTAGACTGCCGAATATTACGGACTGTAAACAAGATGGGTAGAAAATCAAAAGAACTGTCACTAGAGATCAAACAGCTGATTATAGATTTGAAAGAAAACGGAAATAAAGTAAGTGAGATCTCAAGAATTATGAAAATTCCTGAATCTACATGTAGATCAATTTTGAAAACGTTTCATCAGCGAAAAAGTTTGTAAAGAGCTCCTCGTTCGGGACGTCCCAGGAAAGTGTCAAAATGTGGAGAAGTAAGATTACTTCGTATGGTTAGGAAGTGTTTTGAAGGACATAACAACTGATTTTAATGATGGAAATTATTGTGAACCTATTAGTGAACGGACTTACATAATAACAAAATTTACAGAAGAGTAGTGAGAAAACGTATGGTTGCCAAAGAAGTAAATAGAAAGAAACGTTTAGCCTGGTGTTTACTCAATGAAGATGGACTGTTGAACAAAACTGGAAACCTATCACATTTAGTGATGAATCTCAAGTGGTTATAGGGCAAAATAATCGTGTGTATGTCTGGAGATCCGCCCAGGAATCGTACCGTCCAGAGTGCATGTATGCGATTTCAAAACCCAAAGTTTCCGTAATGATAAGGGGATGCATCAGCTGGTATGGTCCAGGGACTCTATGCAAGGTACAAGGTAACATTAATGCTGAGAAATATATAAATATCCTTGACAATCATCTGTGGCCTGTTATTGCCCGTCATTTCCCTGCAAACAACTACGTTTTTCAAGACGATAATGCGCCGGTACATAGAGCTCGTGTTGGAGAGGAATATAAACGTGCAAATAATATTCGGGGTATGGTGTGGCCGGCCCAGAGTCCGGACATTAATATCATTGAAAATCGTTGGCATAGAATTAAAAGACAGATCCAAAATCACGCCGGGGATATTACCACCCCTGATCAGCTGTTCAATGTTATTTTACACACTTGGCAGAATTTCACCATAGAATATATTCAAAACCTTTATAAATCCATCCCAAAACGCATCATGGCATGTATACGATCCAAGGGACATTTAACAAAGTACTAAAGGTAAGTATTTGTTTTGTTTTTGTTGTATTTGGGTGACTTTTATGTTGCAAGCGCGATAACTCTCAAATCGCCATTTTTCCGCGAATACTTAAAGCACGACGCTGTATGTTACAAATTAATGTGAATGTATCTAATAACAAGAGTGGAAATTACAATAACAGTCTTCCACAAAATAAATTAGATGATTTTCATTATCTATTTTGTAAAATATCGATCCATTCATGTCCTTCAAAAATCCTTAGCAGTTTCAAATATCATCTGCTTTCTTCCCTTTGTAGAACATTAGTGCTCTCCTCTTACCTTGCCATCTGCATTATTAATTTTCCAGACTTCCAGCTCCCTTATGATGTAATCTGTCTCATTCTTCTGGGAAATGAATTTGACGTAAATCTTGGAATCGTGAGTCTCAAACATTCTCTCTAGAACATCATCAGGGTCGTCAGGAGAAGGCCAGTATCTCACTGCTTTTACCTGTGCAAAAAATGTAACATTGTAAATTTTAGTGGTTTTTTAACATTCAGTAAATTATCTGGATAGTTATCCAATTAAGAATTCCCTATTAAGGATACTAAGGTCTTCATTTTCTCAGATACCAAATTGATTCTCAACCAAATACTTCGAAAAATGCATACAGGGGAATATATTTCATATTTCTTCTATTATGCAGATTATCTGTTGATCAGTTAGTGCAGATTTATCTATTATGCCAAAATAAGATTCATAGTAGACTAAATTTTTTAATGAATGATAGGAATTACATCAAATGGCAATCTACTCAAGAGAAATATTGGTTTTATACCTTTCCCCTTTCGACCTCTTTTGTTGTCATGACGATGACCCTCGTGTTCTCTTGCCAGATCATTCTCCAGAAATCTGCCACTGTTCCAGGGAGGCAACCCTGTGTCGCTATAAAACTCTTCTTATTGGGGTCCGCCGAGTCTTCATCCATCTAATAAACAGTACAGTAAGATAAGCTTAGTAGATCCAATTCTGAAAACATGTACCAATACAAGTTTCATAACCTACTATGCTCATTACTTCTCTCCCAAATTTTAGTGTGAATCACTGTTTATTTCCATCCAGAAATTACCAGATCAAAACAAAATGGTATAAATTGTTTTATTCTTTAACTCATTTTAGCCTTACTGTGATGAAGTTGGCATTAATGTAATCAGATCCTATGACATTTGGGTCTCCATCCTTTAAGACAACCCTTGTGTGATCAACTGAAAAAGAGAAGAATTTTTATTGAGTCAATTCATTCTACTATTAGACTGCTGCATCAGTGGTAAAATTTTCATGCTTTGATATTAAACTGGGTTTCAAAAGTTTCTATTATACACAAGTACAAGTTTTCCCAATAACCTTAACCCCCCCCCCCCAAGTCAAAAAGTGCTAAAAGGATATGTTTTTTATTTTCTTGGCAATATATTTTTAGCCAAATGCAAAATTCATCAAAATTTTAAGTCTGTCTGTAAGATTTTTATCCCCTTTATCATGACAAAGTCCGCCCCTTACATGGCAAGATGTTTTTGTATCTGTTTCTAGGTTTATTTTCTATCCTCTGCCCTTCCTTCCTGCTATATAAATGGCGCACTTCCATTTGTTGTAATTGCTGAAAAATCAAATCATGCTTACATTTTAAAGTTTGTGAAGGAAACATAAGGCTAATGAATGGATAAATATCAATAACTAATTATCGTTAATTCATTTGCATCTCAATACTATCTTCATTTGCTTTTAGAAAAAAAATCTTCCTGCATCATTAGTATTTCCCAAAATTATATGCAAATATTATACATAAATTGTGAAAATACTCCATTTTTCAAGATTTATATCAATTTGATATGCAAACCTCATAAAAAGAACAAGGATGCATGACTCAGAGTGTAAAATCATGTAAAAAGGCTAATATCAATAAAGTCTGCTACCTTTAAATCTTCATGAGTGACATAAACGATGGGTATTTTTTATAATTTAGAAGTGTCCATTTGTCGGTAATTCTGCTTTCCCTACCTCAAACTCATCCCAGAAGCCTCCTTTACTTTTATTGTTCGTACTGTCCTTTTCCTTCTCTAGCTGCCGGACTCGGTTTTCTAATCCTGATGCAGATATTCTTGTGGCATTGAAAGGCTAGGGTAGAAAAGAGATTCAGAGTTTTTTAAAAGATATTCACCTAAAATCTGATGTATTCCTTAGCTAAAAAGCCAAAAGGAAAATAAGTTTTACTACAATTGATAAAAAATGACATATCATTCATACAAAAAGATTTATGCCTGATTCTGATATATTGGTCATATACATGTAGGATATATTGTCTGGGAATACAAGACTCATACACAAGGTATCTATTCCTTTGCTATAATGACCAATGACACACTGCTATCGTCATTAGTCTGCTATTTGTCACACATTAAAAGTAATGAATTAATAATAAGAGGAGAAGAAAATGATTCTGTTGAAGATGTGTTTTACTTAGTGGATGCAGTGGCCCAATTTGTAGGCCATCTATCATTCACACTCCAGACAGTCATGTTTGGTCCCCAGAGTGGGCAATATTTTTTTTCCTTCAAGAAAAACCAAATCATACTCTATTTAACATTTAATTTTACACTTATTTACTTTATTTTTTTTAATGTTTGAAAAATTGAATTCTTATTGATATAAATTTTCTTGTACATACTCTGATCAATGACTAGTGGTACTAGTTCGTGTGAAGATGTGTTATTGATAAATTTGATTGAAAATTCACCTTCAGATTTTTGTCAAGACATGTAATAAAATTTTTTTTATCAGAATTTATATCTATCTACTCATGAATGTATTCTTTGAAAATGGGGTGTCCTTTAATTGTTTTGGAGAACTGAGGTTTGACCATCATCCAAAGGATCGTGTGGGTCTTAAGGAATCTTCCAGCAGAAAATTAAAGCAAGTTGTGCACTATATCTGTATAGTAGTGATGGGACATCGGTTAATTTTCATAATCGATCATCAGTTGGAATCGGTTACTGCTTCCGATGCGATTTTACCGATTATAATCGGATGTCATAGTTTTGTATATAAAAGCAGACTATAACAATGAATTCATATTATTCTTTGTCGCAGATATATAAACATGAAATATATTGTTTTCTTTGTTTTTTATCTTCTTTTCCACTTTCTATATAATGCACCTTTTGGTTCTTAATCACCTCTGCTTTGTGCTAGTTTGCTTTGTAACACACAAGTATGGTGAATGGTGTGATGCCTGTCCATATGAATCATAGACCAGGTACTGTTAGCATTAAAATAACCTGGAGATTCCAACTAATACTGTAAATCACTTTTAATTCGCGAGAACTTTATTTTGGCATAATTACGCGAGACGGTATGCTCGCGAGAATGAATAATAGATTTCCTTAAGATTATATAGAGCAATGACCACAATTCGTGAAAATTCTTGCTAATAATTTGTTGTCGCGATATCTACAGTAAATAAATTAGAAACCAAGAAAAAAGATGTTCCTGTATAATTTGTTGATAAATGATAATTAACACATAATATATTATATTAATTAGTATGTTTCCGATGATCGATTATGAAAAACAATAATCGATCATCGGAATTGGTAGCATTTTTTCGTCGACAATCGATGTTTTCTGATTATCGGTACAACACTACTGTATAGTATACGTATATTCACACTTCATATATCCTCTGTATACTACAACGTATGTAGAAAGTTAGGTACATGTATTACCAGTATATAAAGAGAGACAAGCTATCAAGGATGTTGATTAATACAATAGGATTTTCTATTGGTCATATTGGTTATAGCCACATTTTCTTATGTCTAAATGAATCACAGATAATCAGAGAAAACAAAATTGATCATTGACTTCTGAAAAGGAAATGACTGACTAGCACATGGAAAAGTTATACCACACAGCCAGTATAATTATACTGATATGAAACTGTCTTGACTTACTATATCTAGATAGGAATACTCAGGGTTTATTATATAAGCACTTGTAAGCAGGAAAACCATCACAAAATGATTCACTATCAACAAGTATTTCTTTTTCACACTTGAATTTACAAAATCCACGGGGAAAACAGGTCCTAAGTATTTAAAACTTAAATATGCTTTTTATACATGTACCATACTAACATTTTTATCATAAAACTCAGAAGTTTCATAGAGACAAGCCAAGACTTTCAGAATATAAAATGATGAACGGTTTTCCACATTTTAAAGAATATTTGAGATTTTAAGCCTAGCTATCAATTTTCTCATAATATCATAAAATCAATTTCTACAAAATATGGACTGAAATAGACCTCTATGTTCTGTAAAACCAGGACGACTAAATCTGACACTTAATGTGTTTCCTGATGAATGTTTAAAACATAGGTCCTCAAATAAAAGTCAACAAACTATCTTAAAACTATTCTCGTTCAAGGAATGGAATTATCTTTTAAATTAGAATGTGCATTGTGCACAATTGGTACTAAATTTTAAGCCAATTAATTTATAATCATGCAAAGTATCAAATTCCTGAATTTTACAAACCTTTGTCCTGTTTAGACACTTAACCAATATTTATTATTCTCATTCAGCTTTTAAATATGTTTATTTAAAGCATAATTGGCCAAATTGCTTGTCCATTTCTTTTCATAATTACCATTTTTAAGTGAACCACAGTTCCTAGTTTTTCCACCATGGGGTTCTTTTTGTAATGCTCCACGAGATCTGTCAGGCTTTTGAATTTCTCTCCACCACCGACATCATAAGTTTCATCCTTTTACACAAAAACAAAACATGATTTTAAAATAAAATAAAAATAAAAATTGCAATAACACACCTATTCAATGACAATCAATTACTGGTAATATTTACTGGGATATATGTAACTGTGTAAAACTGAAAAACTACATGTATACTGTAATTTTTCCATTCCCAACCATATTATTTGTCTTTCTAGTATTGAATTTATTCCATAAATGGAAAGTTATTACTTTGTAAATAAGGATTTTGACAGCATTTTTACAGAACTGATGCTCACTTTATCATGGAAGCAGATCATGACATGCGTCACTTTATCGTCTGTCCGCACCGACAAGACAAAATCCCCCGGTTTGCTCTGACTCTCCCTCACTAAGTAGCTACCGTTCTTTCCTTTCTCCATCAGCACCTTTTCTGCCTCTTTCCCAGATATATGACCATGGAACCATCTAAAATGAATGAAATCTGAATATTTATTTTCAAACAATGGACGAATTGCAAGAAACATATCATTTACAATCTCAAACATACTGACCTTAAACCCAAGTTGTCAACAAGCACAATATATGTATTTTAAAATGGCATGAAACTGACTCCATTTTTAGATCAACATCATTTTTATGAATGTACAAAATCCAGTAACATTAACATTCCCTGAATGGACTCGCTATTTCTTCCTGACCTTTCAGTGGTGGGGTCCTCTGAGTTGAGGGGATATTTGAGCTCTATGACCTCCCCATTTCTCTCTTTTAACTGTCCCTGATTCTCCATATAATACTGCACCAACTCTGCCAGGGTGGCAAACTTCTCACCCCCATACAGGTCGTAGAACTCCCCATTGTTCTGGATCTTAATGTGGGTAACCTCCGATTTCCTCCTGAATAAAATATAAGAAATCATGTATTTTGCATGTATATAGCAGTGAAATTGTTATTGATTTTTGATTCCTTTAATATATTTGCATTTAAAGTTCTTTTGGTGATTATGTAATTTAATATTTTTAGAACATTCCTATAACCCTGTGCGTATTTCAGCCTTCTCCTTACAAATAAAATGCCATAAAATGATAAAATATGGAGATCAAGATCTTATTTCAATTCCATTAAACAGCTATGTCACAGAAGATATTAACTATTCCAGCTAACCAAACTAACCAAAACACTCATATGTTCAACCATTTGTTCTGTCTATCAGCTAATCTAAAATATAACCTTATTCTTATAGTCTAGCACTGCACTTTGTCCCTTCTCTTGTAAATGGTCAAAAACAAAAACATTCAGATTGTTGACCTTTCAGACAAGACTGTGACCTCTTTATAAGTCTGGTATGAGCATTATGCTGGTGACTGTCTGTCTATCATTTTCTTTAACATGTTTTATTGATAACAGGGCAGGGGGTCTTCAAAAGATTAAATTCTTCACAATTTTTTTTTGAATACATATAAATGTTTAATGAAGGATAACAGAAATCTTTTGTTAATAGACACTGAAAAATTTCTTTCATCATTAACAGATATTCACCACATGGATCTTACAGGTGCATTTGTTATATTAAAGGGCTGTGGGATTCACATAATGTACTGTATACTGGGACCCCCTCCCCCCCTTTTCACCACTATTGCACTCAAAGCAAGTGGGTGAATTCAAATCTTCTTGGATTAAAAGTGTTTCATGTCTGGAAGAGTTTTAAAATGACCAATATATGTTTATAAGTGTGATGAGAAAATAATCTCAAAACCAGGGACTAAAATAATATTTTTTCATACATATAAGTTTCATATAAAGAATATGCTTATTGCACTAGAGTTAAAGAGGAAGTATGGTAATCAATTTCACATAGTTATTCTCAAGTGAAATTGTAAATTTAACTGGTCAAAATGTTGTTCAAATCTTGGTGAGATGACCCTCTAAGTACTGATTTTCTGACATTACTTGGAATATTTCCAAACAATTTTTTTTTAGCCTACACGAGTTTTTGCACAAGGAAGTAAGAAAACTCAAGTCTCCTCTTTGCAGAACATTCTCCCCTCCAGTGTAATGGCCTGTCTTTTTATTGCTGAAGGCAAACACAGTTATCTCAAACACCTATACATCAAATACAAGGTGGACTGTATTACTTATATAAACCTTGATATAAACCTTGCTATTAAGTTTATCCTTGATATCCTGCACACTAAAAAATCACCATGTTGACATTATCAAGTTTAGACAGTATGATTTCTCTATGAAGCAGAAAAAGGATAAATGTTGGTATCTGGCTTTACATGTACCCTGATAAACATTATTAGGTCATATTGTATCTACGATTTAAAATTTGATGATTTCCCAGAAACGTCACTAGATAAATTATGCATTTATGCGTCAAATAAAACACTTCAGATATTAACACAGAGACAGAAGAAATCTCTGGTGAGACTGCAGCTCTACTGGTTTGCACCTATAAATTTGCTCCTGGGCTTATATGATATTGACTAAATTAGGATTTTGCCTGCCAAAAAAAATTGTTTCCAGTTACAGAGACAATCTGATAAACTCTTTTTTTCATCCTAAGTTAACAGTTCTTAATAGAGGTGCATATAATTTAACAATAAATGTCTATCAACAAGGAAATTGCAGTGCCTAATTTTAGGACACATTATACATCCACTGAAGACTCTAATATTCTTATCTCTTCCTAAGTACTTCTGTAAGGTGTCTAGTTTGTGACTGATACAGACCCCCTAAACATTGAACTAACAACACTGCCAAAAGGAAACAAATCTAATGGAGCTCTTCACACTACAGGATACAACCTAACAGTGACTGTTCAATGCTTGTCATGGGATGTTTCACTTACCAACAATTTAGACAAGACATTCACAATGTTGGACATATGTTACAATTACTAAAACATTTAACATCCTAATGAAAACATTGTCTAAATGAGGTAATGAGAAATTTTTACTTTAAGCTTGGATGCTAACATGGAAAGAAAAACTATGAATGACCTGACTCTAAACCAGCAATACTGATAGAAAGCATCAGTCTAGGAAGACAAACTTCTATTTGAATTACAACTAATCACAGCATGCCTGTGTCCTTAACTAAATTTACATCATCATTTATATCATGTTTCATTTTAGCTTAAGGTGGCTCATTACATCCACAGTTTATTTTAGATTTCAATACAGCAAAACTTATAATGTAGATGTCAAATATCCGGATGGGGGTATTGATATCATAAATATTTTTTAAAGAATTTTTTAGTTTTTGTCTAATTTTAGTTAAATATTTCATTTCAAGTTTATTATCAATAGAATTTCAGAACTTTCAGTGTCAAATGATGGGCATCTTCTTAAGACAAGTACACACAGTGAAAATACCTCATAATACCTTATAATAATTTTATTAGAAAAAATAATTTTCTCAAAAAAACAATTAATGTCATTATCTTTTTAATCTATGCATAAAACATTAATAAAATGAGTTCTGAAGAGACAAGGAATGTATTTCAATGAATTACATGTGTCAAATTGAATGAAGAATGTTTAAACGAAATGAAAAATCCAATTTTAAAAATTTTTGGTATAAAAAGTCCACTTTCAAGAGTTATCTTTCCTAATTACCCAAGACTCAAAACGCTAAGGAACGTTTGACATTACATCTAAAATTCAGAGCAAAGCTTTATACATTTAAATCAATAAAGCAAATATATAAATTAACACCAACACAGTAAATAGTGCAAGTAAATAACTTTTTAATTTCAACAAGGTTGTAGATTTTAACTCGAATTTCCTCTATACAAACATGTCATTGATTGATAGAGCTCACTGCATGTATCGCTATGAAATTGACATTACTTGTTTGGCGAAGATTTGACTGTTGTTTTTCTTTTGTTTCTGCTTAAAAGCAATTCTTTTTGGTTTAGGCATAATGAATCCGTTACTTTGTTTTCACTGTTTATAACACCGCATGTTTCATCTATTTTTAAAGCGTTTTAAAGGTCAGGGTCATATTATAGAGGTACTTGTACAACTCGTCCCCAGAGGAAACCAGTCGACGCAATGGAGGTTTATTTTTTTGTGTAGTACATCATCAAAAAGTGGTGTAATGACTAATGAGCCTCCTTAAATAATGAAGATACTTTACCCACATAATTATGGGCACTTTTGTTAGCATGATGAAAATTCAGCAAAAATTACAAAGTACTGTATAGCAGGTTTTTTTAAGTGGGGTTCTAATTTTGGCCTATTTTGACGTTTTGATGATAGCCCGCTAAAATTTTAATCCTTAAAATAGTCAGTACTCTTCTAATGTCCATCTGCAAAGAGCTAAAACCCTGCGTCTGCTAAAATAAATTACGCCAAAATTATTGGCATACCTTTCAGCAGACAAAACGCCAAATTTTACGGGTGTTGCTAAAACGCGGAACGGAAAATGGAACGGAAAGCGGAACGGAACGGAAAGCGGAAAATTAATGTCAAGCAAATAACCTAGATTTGATATAAATCACACATAAAAATCAATATTCATGATATAACAGGCACCTCGAATGAAAAGTCATCGTAAAATACGATGTATTCATGAATCTGATGCACCCCTCAGAACTGGCACATGTACATGCGATGGTCAATAAATATAGTCTAAGAGATATGGACAGTACTAACTAGACTCAAATCCAGAGTATCCATCTCAAGGTTTCGTTCAAATTAATCTTTTTAAAAGAAAGTTCATTCATAAACGAAAAATATGAAATAGGCGGAAGGAAAACAAAACTACTAGTGTGTACATACATGTATCTGTAAAGACAAAAAAGCATGCACCCGTTTTGACATTCAGATTACCGGTATGCATGCAGTGGCGTATCCCGGAATCTTGAAAGGGGGTGGGGTCGGGATAGGTGCCCTCAGCAACACAAAAATTTATTCAATAATTTTCATGTATATTTTGGTCACCAAAAATAGGTGGTGGGGGGTAGGGGTCTTGGGCCTCTTGGCCACTTTAAATCCACCAATGACATGATATCACTGCTTATTAAGAAATTAAAATAGGAATATAAGAAAAAAGTTCTTGCAAAGGAATTTAATATGCCTGTTCAAGTGTTTACTTTAGGTGCAACTTTCAGATATGCGCGGAAAAATAGGGAAACTCAATATGTTTTACGGGGTCATTCATACCCATCCCCCTACTTCCAAACCCACGTTAACTTCATTGGCTGTACAGATGATACATAAATTTTGCCACAGTTAAGATTAATGACTCTTATCTATATATCCAGGATTTTAATAGATAGAAAGCAGATCTATTTTGTATAAAATTTTATTTAAGTTTACACTCGAGGTGTTTATCCGAGCTTGCCGGAAAGGGATACTCTAACAGTAATCTTAAGATACTTTTTTAGCTTGTTATTTTCCGCTTGTCCAGATCTTTAATTTTCAGGTACTAGTAAATTGATTGTTTCTTCGCCGACACCCCGTTTCGAAAGCGATGCTGCGTTACTGCTATACTTAACATGACTATATCACCTTGTATTTATTAATTAGGGATTAAATATGCATAAGTTTACCGTTTCTGATAAAATTTGTGTATTTTGAATGATTTAATCTGAAATTATATTTTCCGTTTTCCGTTCCGTTCCGCTTTCCGTTCCGTTTTCCGTTCCGCGTTTTAGCAACACCCAAATTTTACACCCACCAAGAAAATCCGCTATACGGTAATATTCTTTTTTTTTGAATCTTTAACCTACATAGATAACAGGAAGTTACAAGGACTAGTAAAATAATATATATACAGTTAAACTTGTCTAATCTGGTATGCTGCCTAATCAGTCAATTTCTTTGGAACCAGTGGTGTCCAGATTAAACAGGTTTTACTGTACATTAAAGACCACACCATAGTTAAACAGTTATATTCCCTTTTCAGATTCTTACCTTACAGAGAGCGTGAAGTCACTAGGACTACTAGTGCTGTGTCTGGCCAGAAAGCTACCATCATAACCACGCTCCTTTAATAATTCCTCAGCCTTCACACCCGAAATGTGGGGATGAAACCATCTACAATGTCAACACACAGAAAATTAACACTGGTAGATCAACTTCAAAATAGATTTTTTTTTTTCAAAATATGTTTATCTTAACTAAACAATTTCTCCTGACAAGTTTCATTTAAATATGATTTTAATTACACTGGTGGGTAATTTGTAAGTATAATGATTTAAAAAAAAAATTATTCATATTTACAGACTGCATGTTTGCACATTAACATTTAGGTACAAACATTTACCCATACAGTGGATCTATGATTTAACAGGCATAAATGCAGAGCAAGTATGTCATATGTTACAGTCAATCAAGACAATGTCTTCTTTAAAACATATTGACATACATAGAGTACTTTACATGTATGCATTCCATGACCTATTTTATATCAAACTGTATCTATCAAAAATAGTTTAATTATAACAAATAGTTAAATACAAACACTGTACTTTTAAAGTATTCAATTTTATAAAACTCAAATTTTAAAAACCTTGGACCTCATGTAACAGATTAAATATTTATTAATAAAGTTAAACTTGAAATTTAATTTTGCATCTTTGCAAGGAAGGAAATGAAAAATTAAAATTTTGTTATGCTGAATGTATTTCTTGGTTCTCACCTTCTCTGTATAGGAAGAGCATCTTCCTTTGTACTACCTTTCTTCATTATTCAAAACATTCAAGAGACCTTTAGAAATTCTACTTCTCCTTCAATAGGCCATAATAATTTAGAACCTTCATACACTCAAGAAACCTTCATTCATTTATACAATCAAGCACAAGGAAACGAAAAAATTTGTTCCAGCACTTATACAATTCCTTCCTAGTTATTGAGGAATTAACTCCTCTGCTGCTGAAATCAGATCTTGAGCAGTGATTATAGCTCCCATGTACCAGTAGTAATTAACCTTTGTCCACTCACTGTTTCCTTGTTTTCCGAAAAGAAAAAAATCTGTATGTTGAAATAGCAATACAGAAAGCAAAATATGTAATGATAAGGTAGAATTCCCTGCCAATTAAGGTTTCAATCACAAAAACCTTGCTATAGCAAACTGATTAATAAGCATCCGTTAAATTAAATCATAGAGGCAAGATATCCCCAGCGGCTTAAATCCTCAGTACCATATAAGTACCTCCAGGTATACCAGATAATGCTATAAATTTTGCCTCACTAAATTACGAAAACTGGTTAATTGTCTTGGAAACATATATCCACCATCATGGTTAGCACACAATAAGAATGACTTGTCCAGATAAGTACATGTAATACACAATTCACCTGATCCTTAACTTCCTTTTGGGCAAGAATTTCACATAGTGGTACACACCTCACCAATGAATTCAAACCTATACTTCATCTAGTATACACCACAGTGTATTAATAAAACAGATCGCTTTCTGTGTAAAACAAAGACTGTAAGAAATATTTGATCAATCATCTAGAAAAACAAAACATTAACTCATGTTCAACGAGCTAATTTAAAAAATGTGGAGAAAAACTTATTTCTGCACTACAGGAAAGTCACTGCATCAAAATGACTATTTTTTCTTCTTACATACACAAATAAACCCCAAATAATTTCCTTGTGATGAGCGATTTTTTTTTCTAAACACAGAATAAGCGAAGGGTACAGGACTATTAATCACGTAAAACTGTACAATCACTTGTTGCTCAACACAATACATCTATAGTCTCCTCTTGAATAACGATGAGTTTACCACAGATATAGAAACTGTATAGGTCCAGAACAATTTAACACGGAAGTTAAAACTACAAACTACTTATCCATTTGGAAGTCAACCCCGATCATTCTATAATCAATAAAACCGTGTCAGGCAATATACCTGTGTGCAGTTTTCTTATCTATTTTTCTGAATGCAAATAAATTTGAAGCATAAAGAATGGAGGAGTTTTAAATCCCAGCTGTCTGACTTACTATATAAATGATTTGTTTTAATGCCTGGTCTATATATATGTAAAGACAAATGCAACTACAAGGAAAATGTAACATTACATAATTTTCAGTTTTAAAATTTTTTTAATTTTTGATAGATAGATAAAGTAATGAATTACAATAAAGTAATAAATAAAATTTCTTCCTAAAATAAAATCAATATTTCTTTGAATCAACACCCATAAAAGGTTAATTCAGCTTACATGTATTATAGGTGCTAGAGCATCACCTTTTTAAGAAACCGGGGCTTTAATACAAGTACTGACGTTATATAACAAAAGAACAGCTAGCGAAAATTTTAACAAGAGGCCCAGGGGCCACAGTGCTCACCTGAGCACATTGGGCTTGAATTTAACACCACCCTCCCCCCCGGCATTCATCATTTGAACAAACTAGAATCTACACTACCTGAGGATGATTCCATATAAATATCACTAATCATAGCTTTGAAGTACTTGAAAAGAAGATTTTAAAAGGTTTCCCTATATATCCTTTTGTAAAACTTGGGTCAGCCATTTTGGCCCCACCCTAGCCCCGGGGGTCATGATTTGAACAAACTTGAATCTACACTACCTGAGGATGATTCCACTTGAGTTTCATCTTTCCTGGCCCAGTGGTTCTGGAGAAGAATATTCTTAAAGATATTTCCTATATATTCCTATGTAAAACTTGGGTCAGCCATTTTGGCCCCACCCTAGCCCCGGGGGTCATTTTTTGAACAAACTTGAATCTACACTACCTGAGGATGATTCCACATGAGTTCCATCTTTCCTGGCCCAGTGGTTCTTGAGAAAAGGATTTTTAAAGATTTTTCCTATATATTCCTATGTAAAACTTGGGTCGGCCATTTTGGCCCCACCCTAGCCCCGGGGGTCATGATTTGAACAAACTTGAATCTACACTACCTGAGGATGATTCCACATGAGTTTCGTCTTTCCTGGCCCAGTGGTTCTTGAGAAGAAGATTTTTAAAGATTTTTCCTATATATTCCTATGTAAAACTTGGGTCGGCCATTTTGGCCCCACCCTAGCCCCGGGGGTCATGATTTGAACAAACTTGAATCTACACTACCTGAGGATGTCATCTCTCTTGGCCCAGTGGTTCTTGAGAAGAAGATTTTTTAAAAATGCCATTTATTTTTCACTAATTCATAATTATCTCCCCTTGGAAGCGGGCGTGGCCCTTCATTTTAACAAACTTAAATCCCCTTCACCTAAGGATACTTTGTGGCAAGTTTGGTTGAAATTGGCCCAGTGGTTCTTGAGAAGAAGATGAAAATGTGAAAAGTTTACGCTGACGCCGCCGACGACAGACAACGGACAAATTTTGATCAGAAAAGCTCACTTGAGCCTTCGGCTCAGGTGAGCTAAAAAGTCTACATTTATAAATGTAATTCAAAGATACATTAAGAGCTATTAAATTTGTACACTGTCCAAAAATTTTATTTAGTTTTGTAGGCAGCCAATAATATTTCTTCTTTCACTTTCAGCAATGTTCAGGCCTAGAAAAAAAATATGTTTGTTTCCGCTTTCCCGACCGACCCTAATTTATAGTGCCGACTCTAAATATTTTTTTAATGCTTTTGTCCCATGATGTGCAAGATTTCAACCAGGGAATTATAGCCTCCAACTTTGCAAGCTTTTCAAGACAGAAAGAAGTTTGGGTCACCTTTCTATTATAAGTTATGTCACAGTAATGCTTGAAAACACCATTTCTTTTATCATTAATGTTACTTCTATACACGTTTTGATTAAAGAAGAAAAAAAAAATTTTTCAAAAAAAAAAAATATTGCCTACCTACCTACCCTATATTTTTTCAGCCTGAAAGCGGAAACATATTTTTTTTCTAGGCCTCAGTAAATGATCTGCATAATTATCGTACATCTAAGGATTTCTTTTAAAGAGATCATAATTGTCAAAACCTTTAGTAAGTTGCTGGAAATTAAACAACTGAATGCCTTTAGAATGCCCTTTGTTTAAAATAACCTGTAAAAAGACATACTTTTACATGAATGACCTGGTGACCCAAAAACGGAAGATTTCTCCAGGTACATATGTACATTATTTAGCAACAAAAAATTGTGACACATTTTTTTTCATTATCTGGAAATCTAACCAAATTAATGGACATAGATATATATATTAAGTAAAAAACAAATAAAATGTTTGATTTAATTTGATATAAATACTACATGCAGCAAGACTTTTTCCCCTTCTCCCATTAACAGAAAGCATATTGCAATACAAGGATCCCACGTGGCACCTTATGTTCCTTCCTTCTTAAATCTTACATTTAATGAATATATAACATGTAAGACTGATATGCAAATGTGCTCAGAATATCTTACATGTACATGCAGTTACACCATGTTCATGCAAGTTGGTATACAGTGGTGTTCAAGAAGAAAACTGTTGTGACTGCAGAACAGATCAGAATAAAATGCAAGAAAGACAACTAGTATACTGTGAGCAGTCCTCAACATTCCTTTGTATCGATTGCAGACAGAAAGAATTTCTAAAGTTGTATAAGGCAAGCAGTGAAAAATACATAGATTGATAAGCAGTTTAAGAAACAGATCTAGCTCTCTTCTCATTGGTGGACTTGCCTTCTCTGCTGACCAATCAATTTAGAGATTCTTTCCGTCTCGGCTCCTTTTGGAGGCAGAGGAACGCTTCTCCTCTCAGACATAATCGTTAAGCCCTAACGAATTACTGAGACATAACAATAATTGGTAGGAGCATCTGAAGTAGGGAAAACTTATCTCTCATTCATCACCCTGAAGTTATCCTGAAGACCTAAAATGTACATATACAGGCAATTAATAAATACAGGATATGGTTTTATAAATGTGTACAACAGAACATAGTCTATACAATACAAATTAGCTGGGCACATAATGAGTCATTACTTTTATTTTGGTTCACATCAGCTGTTTTACGTCAAGGCCAAGTCTACACTAAATTCATGTAGTAAATTTGCAACATGGTTTCATATTTAATGTTATTAAAATAAAACACACAAAGATTCATTTTAAAAGGTGGCTATCGATAAAAATTTATAAATCATAGCAAATCTTCCCTATTTGGCAAATTTAAATTTATATCCTTAGTACAAACATACATTTGTACTCTTATACTTAACTATATTATTCCGAATTATTTGACAAATTTACAAAACCCTTGCACAAACAAGATTTGATAGCTACACAAGGATACATATATACAACGTGAAGTACTTGTCTATTTGTTGGCGTATCTGACAACATGTGACAGGAATTTTATGGTACTGAAATCTACAGCTTCAACTAGCTACCACTTCATAAATTTGTCTCCATGTATAATTGAAGCTCTCCATTGGATGAGGGATAACACTACAAGATCTGTCACATACTTCAGATCAGGCAATCGTATCTCACCACTTATCTTTAGGAGTGTGTACTGATTTATACAGATACATGTACATGTTTGTCAATGTACTCACAAAGTATGCTTTTGTTACAAAGGTTCCTAAATCTCTACATTTGCTATACATATTATATACATTGTATAATTGAAAATGTAATACTGTATATGTATATACATGTACTATTCTAGCAGCTTTTAAAATATGCCTATAACCTAAAAAAAAATTGAAATTGTTGTCATTAGACAAAAGTACATGTATGTACATGCATCTAGTTTTCTTTCCATTCATGTACTTTAATTATTACTCTATTTAGTTTATATGCACATAATGTCTAAAGAATCTCAGATTTCCGGACTGATGAAATCTACTAAGAATTATGATTTTAACAAAGAACCACTATTCTTTCTGAATAAAAGAAAATTCATTTGCCAAAGAGTAAGACCTATACATAATATTGATTGCAATCTAGACTGCTACAAAGCCTCTATACAGAAATTATAAAAGAGGTAAAAATAAAATACACATTTCACTGTAAAATGCATCATTTCTTTTTTTCCCTGACCTACTTTACAAATGAGTTGACCTTCAAACAGTAATCCATCACTTCAAACACAAAGGGTTTGCATGCACTCGAGTGTCACCCCAGTAAAGATCACAAGTTTTCATTTACCTCAAATTTCCTCATGTATAGTTAGAATACAAAGCCATTCACTACATGTGGGGCATTATGTAATCATTTCTCCCGAGGACCAGGAAGTTCTGACAACTCCTTACATGTATGTGTTTATTACAGTACCACATCCATACAAATAAAGATACGCTATGTCTAAGGAGCTAGTAAATTAAACAAGCAACAAGTTTCTTCATATCATGTACATGTATATTTGTTCTACTTAGTTCATTTTCCTACAAACAATGTTGAGTCAAATATCACAATCTAAATATTTTACTTTCTGAAGTTTATTTTAAATTTGACTTTTATCATATTATTGATCTTCATTAATCCTAATTATAGCAATAGTGTCATAAAAGTGCATGTACCTTTTATAAAAGGATTTATATTAATGTCAAGAAAATTTGACTCTAAGTCCGATATTTACAAACCAAAAAATGGATAATAATTATAAGCCTCAAACTGTACGTTCTGGGGTGATTGAAAAGTGTAGTTTTTCTAAGCTTTTGCAAATCATATATTTTTCCTCTTTCAACATGTTCAGTGATATTATTCTGATATCAACCTTGACTTTGACCATATTGGAATTAATCATGATAACAAAATTAAGACAGCTGAGGTATTAACATTTGTCATAATCAGATTTTCTATACCAAATTTCATTCTTGGGAGGAAAACATAAGCACAAGTATTATATGTTATTTTTACACCCACCCCACCCTTTATGAAAATTAATTATGTAACAATACAGTACTTTGTTATTAGACTAAATCATAAATAAAAATTAGAATATACTTATATAACAATTCTTACTTTTTAAATTATTTCCTTGGTAACTGAAATACTACAGATGCCTCGAAACTGTACACCTTTACATTGTAATCTTGTCAAATAAAACAAAGAAAATATAAGAAATATATGACCCCAAATCTTGTCACTTCCTGTTTGATTCAGTTCTTTATATTGTTTGTTTTTTCCTTAAAGAAATAAATTACATATTAAATAAGGAAGTTAAGCCAGATTGAAGACTTTATCAAGAATAAATGTGAACTCCCAAAATAATAACACCTAGTGAACTATATTATTTCTGTATCTCAACTTGTAAACAGTTGGAAGCCTCACATATCAAATGCAAATTTTCATCATTAAAAATTGGAGAAAGTGCAAAATGTTTACAGAGAGAAATGGACTAGAATGAATCAACATTCTGGGCAAATTTACTTTAAAGGTTGGCTTAGAAACACGTACATGTATTTAACAGTTGAATCACTAAGTGCAGTCAAATTTTTCTTCAGACATAAAAATGTTATTTAACAGTACAATTAAAGTTCTGGAAGAGAACCCTATCTTCACTCATAAATCTGTCACTATTTTCAATCTAATGCAATTTAATGCAATGGAAACAGACAAGTAGATGCTAAGGCCATAATAAAAATATTCCTAGATTCTCATCCCCGCCCGCCCCGATTTTATACCCCCGCCTCAATTTTTTTTATTTCTGTTTTTCTTCGTCTTAATTCTGATCGGGATCGATATTCATATACCATTCTACTTTCGTTTTAAATCCCGCGAAAGTCGGGTTTTCGGGTCGACATGATTTTGACAACTGAAAAGATAGTAATTGCTGTAATACATGCGTATATATATTAAACAAGGGTCATGGGTTGAAAAAGATTGGTGATGATGTGAAGTAAGAGATAATTGAACCTTTACTATGACTTTTATTTGGGTATTGTAGATGAAATTACACCGACTGATCAGGTCAATAAGAAATCTGCAAAATTGAAAAAATAAAAAATATAAAATAAAAGCCGCCCACCCGCCCCGATTTTTAAAAAAATTCGGATGAGAATCTAGCAATTTATTTATTATGGCCTAAAATGCACATTTTTACCTTCAGTGAGTTCTTGGTATGTGCCTAAACATTATTTTGCTATAGAAGTTTTGAATACAAAGTAATTCCAGAAAACATCTTATACTTATATTAAGTCTTCCTATTTCAAAAGTAATTGCAATATTTCATTAAATTATTGTGTGTTCTGCCTAAAATGCATTTTCAAAAAGTCTCTTTTTGTCATCTCAGCTCAGCTCCACATTCATGAAAATGCACAGGTAGAATTTTTTATTTGGTCTCCCTAGTGAACTAGCTTTTCTAGTGATGCAGTAGAGTCTCCCTCTATTTCTGAATATATCAGGCAAGTTAAGCAATGAAAAGCCTGTTTAATTCTTGGATGGGTGACCGCTTCACATTACAAAATTTGTCGCAGCGTAGTGGCTACCCACTTCAGGAAGTCTTGGAGCTAGGACTTTGTGTCCATTTACAGACTGTGTCTGTGGACAGCAGGGGTTGCCGTGACTGAAGAGGTTCCAGGCCTACTTCAGGAAGCTCTAAGGCTAGGCATTGATTGCCAGTACCGAAGAGGTCCAGATCATAGAGAACTAATGCTAAGCTTCAGGTCAAAGCTTCCCTGGGGGGGGGGGTGTAGTGGACAGTAAATAGGGAAATTATACTGCCTCACTGTCTAGTGATACAGTAGCTGTAGAACTGTACCTCTCTGCTTGAGAAAATTCGAACAGGTAAAGCAGAGACTTACAGATCCAAGCATTATTAAAACCTTCAATTTACGCCACCATTTTTTGGGGGGTCGCTACTTTAGGCATTATTTCTTGTAGTTTAAGCTTTCTCTGGCTTTTAGAATTGTATCATATAATTAATCAAAAGTTTAACTCTTATTTTGAATACTTTATTTACCTTTAAACGGTCCGAAACAGCCCTGTATAAAGTTTTGTAATGTCGGTGTAATTATAGAGTCCCATTTCAAAATCCGTAACCACAAACGGCCTTCTGTTAGAGTTATAACACATGTGAAAGGTAAGTAAGTTATCAGGAATTGGAGTTAAATGTATAATTAATTATTAAATATTATTTTTAAAGCTGGGGAAAGTAGAAAATACAAGAAATTATACCTAAAGTTGCGACAAAAATTGGCGGTGTAAATCGAAGGTTTTTACAAAGTTTGGATCTGTAGCTCTCAGCTTTACCTGTTCCAAATTTTCTGAAGCAGAGAGCTACAGTTCTGCAGCAAGTGATACGATAGTGTCTCCCTCTATCTCAGGCAAGTTGAGCAATGGAGAGTCTGTTTAACCCTTGGATGGGTGACTGCAGTATGATATTCCAAAATAGAATATAAATTTACAATGCCAAAAATTTCAATATTTAACTATTTTTAAGTACACACAAATATACTTGTCAAAATTTCTAACGCCCCACTTTTATTTTTTGAAAATTGAAGAAACAGTTATGATAATATTAAAGTCCTTAAAAACATCGTCTGCTATATGTACCCTTTCATGTCTGCGATTGAAAAAAATCGAATTCAATTAGAAATTATTCAGCCGTGACCGTTTTTGTTGAAAAGCGTGAAGTACGAGTTCGAAATGGTTTTCGGGTGTGTTTTTCAAAACGGTTTTTTCCACGTGTTCTCTGTCTCAAGATCATCTTAAAAAGCAGTTAAAGTTTGGGAGAAAATGCGACGCATGTCTGCACAAGAATGCGCAAGAGCAGTTGGCATGGTCCAAGCCGGGAGCAGTTCACGGGAGGTGTGTTTCTTTTCGCTTTGTACAATTTTTTTCTTCCAACATTTAAAAACTAATAAAAAAAAAAGCTAAATAAATTGATTAAAACTTTTCAGGTTCCTAGAACTTTCAACCGAGACCATAAAACCATACTTAGGCTCGTCTGGAAATTCAATCAAACCGGAAGTACAGATGATCTACCCCGGAGACCGAAACGTCGAGTGACGACACGCCAACAGGACAATTACATTAGGGTTTCGCATCTTAGGAACAGACACCGTACAGCACGCACAACGGCGCGTCAAACAATGGGAACGCATGGCAGACCTCTGAGTGACTAAACTGTGCGCAATAGACTAAGGGAGGATGGATTGCGTGCCAGGAGACCATATGTAGGCTTAGTTTTGTCGGACAGGCACAGGCAGCTCCGTTTGGCTTGGCAAGGCGCCACATCAGATTTACAAGGGCAGACTGAGGCCGTGTACTCTTTACGGACGAGTCCAGGTTCAACTTGCGACGATCTGACGGACGAAGCCGAGTGTATCGAAGAAGGGGTGAGCGGTACACTGACGCCTGTGTGAGGGAAAAAGGGCAGTTTGGTGGTGGATCGATAATGGTATGGGTGGGTGTGTCGTTACACACGAAAACCAGAATACTTCCCATCCGAGGAAACCTGAATGCTGCTCGGTATCAGACCGACATCCTTCAGCCGGAAGCAATTCCTCACATCAGAGCCAATAGAGGAATGATGCTGATGAAGGACAACGCCACTCCCCACACTGCCAGAACTACACAACAGATGCTGCAGGGACATAACATCCGTTTACTCGACTGGCCCCCATGTAGTCCGGATCTCAATCCTATTGAACAAGTGTGGGACGAGCTAGACAGAAGGATAAGACAGTTTCCCCAGCAGCAGAATTTGGCGGTACTGGAGAGGGATCTTGTTAACACATGGAAAAACCTCCCTCAAAGATTTCTGCACAATTATGTGAACTCTATGAGAAGCAGATGTCTTGCTGTCATTCGTGCAAATGGGGGACATACTCGGTACTGAATGTTGAGAATTTTGAATTGCAGGGTACCTATACCGGAACTTAATTTTTATCAAGCATAACAATAAATTTTGATGGAATAAAATGAAAATAATTTGTTTATTTATTTTTCCTTCATCTTACATAAAGGTTAAGTCAACATAATTGCGTTTAAAGGTAATGCTTTTAAAAATATCGTCTGCGGCGTTAGAAATTTTGACTAGTATACTTTAAATGCAAACACTTTTGACTGTATCTCTAAATTCTGAATTGTTAGACCTTTGAATTTATATCAAACCGAATGTAAATGTTCATTTTGCATCCTACAGGAACCTATCTTGGTTACTATGGGCAATCTTTATGGGACCAATTAAATAGGAAATGCATGCAACTTTATTAAAAAGGTTAAAAAAATTATTTATTAAATTATTACAAAAAGAATTTACATCAAATAATGACCAATACTTTTTTCTCAAATTATAGGCCTGCCACCTATGACATGTGCGAATAGATGAGTGGTACGATTATGTAATGTTCATCAACCACTCTTTCCATTGAGATTAATAAGTACGTTTCTGAAAGGCAACACACACCTAACTGGAAATGCATTTCAAACCACCTGTGGAAAACACTGCTTGACAGACCCTACAGAGATCGGGATCACTCAACAACATTCTGCCATAACCCGTGCAGCATATATCAATAAAACCTACATTATACCACAACAAAATGTACCCTGCTTACCGTCTTGATGTCATATTCTGTCCAAATTGGACCTGAGTTAAATTTCTTCATTCATCTAGGTTTACTACCGGAAGTACATTTGTTTTTCGGCCTCGTTTCCATATTGTGAAATTGGAGTTATCTCGCTTTGACCATGTTGACTGCTGTTGTATGGTGTTGTAGGCGAGAGGAGGGGGGGGGGGGATAGACTCTAGGTTTTCAGTTATTGTTTCGACAGAAAAAAAAGTTAAAAAGAATTATAATAATAGAATAAAATTAAAAAAAAGAATTTGAACGCAACAAATAGATTCAAATGCTCAGTTGGAGGATATATATTATATCCCAGCTTTGTTGGGAAAAATGACAAAATATTTTTAAACAAGTTTGAGTAGAGCCAAGGATAAGTCTACCATACAGTTTTTTTTCCTCGGAGGATATCATGTGCAACGTAAGTTATACGAGACAAATGTTTAACGTCTCTTTTTTTCTAGTATACTATATATATTTATTTGTTTTGATGGAACCCTCAAACACCGACTTACATTAACATGATTAATTTAATTCAATGTTCTATATATATATTCCAAGTTAGGGGACATATTCTAATATTTTATTTTTTTTATATAAAGTGTTTTATTTTCGAAGAGATCTTTGCAAAGATAAAAAATACATCTTTATTCAGAACAAAAAATAAGAAAAGAATATGCAAGTAATTGAAGAAAAGAAACACTTCGAGAACACAAGTACTTGGAAACTGAACCCATGTACATGTACAAGATTAGCGAGGAGTTACAAATGATCTAACTCATATTGTTTATGCGGTTATGATTAACTATACTAAATGTAACACGGTCATGACTATATTTGCTGTTTCTGTGTGACCAACACGCTAATGTATCATGTCTGATTAATAACTACTGTATTCTTATCACATGAATGTTCCCAACTACAACGCATCCGTAATATTAAAATATAATTGAAGTCATATACACAAGACAAGTTTCAGTCTGTTTTTACGGGTAACTCAAGTGTATATCTTGTCAGTGAAATTGTAAGAAAAAAAAGGCAGGGGAAGTGTCAGAGATGCAATTTCGTCATAAAAAATCAATGATTACGGCGACTGGTGACTACACAATGGAAATTGGTCATTTATATAAAAGTTTATTTTTTAAAAAAAACCACCAATTTATATTGTAGAATTTGCCTAAATTGTGGATTTATATAAAATACGAGGGTTGATCCAAAAGTAATGTCACAGTGTCCATATCTTTTATAATAGGCGTCATATTATCAAATATGATATACCAAAAGATGCACAAATATAAATCGAATTAAACTTTAATTTTTCATTCAATAATGTTTAACTGAATTTATTTTATAGATATTTAAAACATAGAACATGTGGAGGGTCGCCGCGTCACCACCGAACGTCTCAAATTAAGTGTACTTTTTTAAATTGAAAAAAGACAAACACATTAAAAACATTTATTAAAATCGCCTAATCACAAAATATTTTAAAATACAAAAATTTACATCATTTTCTAGTCTTAAGTTGAAAAGTATATGATATAATTGCTATTTTTAATTATAAAAAAAACATCATTGTTTTACTACGGTGCATTGCATTGAAAAAAGGAAATGTCAAAAGGAAGCCAGAGCAAATTGTAATGCATTTTTAGCTTCAAAATGGAGAAATCACCAGAAGAGACAGTTACGTTGATTCAACAGTCTCACAGAGAAAAGAATGTAAATAAGAGACTTGTTAAGATTGTTTCAGCGATTTTGGGTGGATGATGGGTCATTGAATGCTCAGCAGATGACAAGAAGACCAAAAGATGAGAGGACGGACGGAAACGTTCAATGGTGTGTGGCGTTACCAAAAAAGACAGACGGTAAGAGCGATATGAGAAATTTTAAGTTGGTCTTATACTACTGTTCAAAGAATTTTGACGGAATAATTAATTATGGAAAGAGTGAGTGTACGATGGGTACCAAGTTTTCTCGTCTAAGAAAGTGAAATTTGTGAACTTGTTCGTGGCTCTCTCAACGAAGGGAAGCGTTTAAATGTATGACGGCGCGTATCCGTCATATGACGTTATTTTGATGCGCGACTACCATAATCTCAATTTGTATATAATCCGATATTTTGAAAAGTATAAATCTTGCTGAATTGAAATTTTCAGGTCTGATTTGAAATTAATGCTTTCATCCTAGCTGCAGATCTGTAGCTCTCCGAAAAAAATTTATTGATAGACCGGAGAGCTACAGTGCCACCTATTGAAAAAACTGTATATTTATTGCGCACAAAAAAGTGCGCTCGATTTTTTATTAATTCTTCCAAATTCTTACCTCAATTGCAAAAATGGAAGATTTCAAAAAATTCCTCTCTCCTTTATCAAGTTCTGTATATAATATTGGACCGAATTATCTTTGAAACCAAAATGGCAGTATAAACAAGCGAAATGTTCGATGTTTGCAATATCAGGGCTAGGAGGACTATTAACAACAATTATGAGGAATGTTTTGTTGTGGAAAGAGTCAAAGAATATGTTAGGAACACACGGTTAGTAATATTTTGAGGTTACAATTTTAAAAACATGGAGAAAAACATCGAGAACCGAGCGCATTTTTTTGTGCGCAATAAATATACAGTTTTTTCAATGGGTGGCTCTGTAGCTCTCCGGTCTATCAATTTATAATTTTCGGAGAGCTACAGTTCTGCAGCTCTACTTTCATCCTTAATAATTTTGTTGTTTTACGTCGACGGGTAGCGATTTTATCGAAGTTTTGACATTACTTTTGGATCAACCCTTGTATATGTTGAAATGCCTTTTCGGGGAACTTATTTGGTAAATAAATTTTCTAATATATTGTTCATGTCCTTGGTATTTGATGATAAATCGACATAATTTTACAATTCATATATAATCAACATACCAAGCTATTTTTTTTAACTTTCAAAACTTTTATTGTTTAATTATGACCCCTTTAAATTTTGAAAGTACCAAGCTCGTAGCAAGGTTTTATGGGAGAAGTCCCCAAACTTGACAAAATATGTTTTATCGCACCAGCCCAGGAAGTTTTCGATATTCCCTCATGTATGGTCTCATCAGTCCGAAATATCTGAAGTTTCCCAGGCTTTTTTTTCACAATTTTGATATTTTACGTGCCAGGAAAACGTCTTCCTGGCACGTGAAATATCCAAATCGTGAAAAAGCCTGACTGCATGAAATATAACTGAGCAAATCATTGATAACAAGAATGTATCCCCCCATAATAAAGATAACAACAATATGCTGATTTGCAAAAATTGAATATCGCTAAAATTTTATAGGGTTCAATTTGTAATAGCTTCTTAAGTGAGCATTTCAAAATCCTAAAATTACTTGTCGCTAAAAATAAAATACCAATTTTTTTAAAATAAGAAATCGCTAAATTTGCGTCTCGCTAAAATTTCACTTATACAGTATACTGGCCAACTCTATCCACAGAGCAGAGATGCTACACGAAAATCACTGAACATTGTTCCTTGTTATACACTTTCTTTAGTCACCGTCTTATCAAGAAAAGCATTTTCTGAAAAAGTAAATAATAATTTTAGAAATGCACATGTTTCACAAACAGTCAGGTGATATTATGAAGGAAATCTTCATCTTGATACGAACAAATTTAAATATTTAATTTTAAAAATAAAAAATTAAGGTCTAATATGATTTTTTTAACAATCGATTCCATTCACTTAGGCAAGCAATACCTTTTTGTCCCCGTATATAAACTAGTAGTACAACAACAGAGACAAAGGCAGTTAGAATGATTCCAATAAACGTGGACAGTAGAGTAACCATATTGATGTTGTTGTCTGCTAGATCTTCAGTATTCTTCGGACTGAAGCATAAAGTACAAAAAATAAAACATCATTTCTTGTTTTAACAACTACAGACTGTACCATTTCCCCCCCTTTTTTTTTTGTTTGTTAAAAAAAAAGATTAGAATGAATAGATCAATACAAACATGTTCGTTATAATATTTTACATCTATACCTGTCGTTTGCCTCCTGGTTAAGTGATGCCGCAGTTTTCCTTGGAGCGTGGGTAGTAAAATCTGTTTTCCTAGAAATGTAGAATTTATCTTAAGATGAAACTGTCAAGAAATAATATTTTTATATTTATTTAAAGTATAACTAAGTTTTTATTGAAAAAAAAACTACCTCTGAAGACAAGCAGGATCTGAAATAAAATTTTATTATTGATTAATTACCAATTTACAATTATTAGTAATAAACACGATGCATTATAATTAGTTAATTGCCAATTTACATTTTTTTTTATTAGTAAACAAACTTAGGCTAAGATACGTTAATAAAAGAGAAATTGTTACATTTGTAAACTGTATTGGAAAGATAGTGTCCACTTGGATAGAGCGCGTTTTCTGGACAAAGTCGGACGTCAATGCTTCCAGTCTTTAAGTTGAGCATTGGACAGTAATCTGAAAGTTCAGAACGTCGTGTTAATTTTCAATATCATTTAACATTGTACATGTTGTACCGCTCTATAAATACATTTATTCTTATCTTTATGCAATATCATATACGTTGATGAGTCTAAAGTTTAAGTGTACTCAGTGTCGGATACAAGGGGGGGGGGGGGGTGCACTCCCTTTGTATTTGCTAAAAAGAGACAGAAAGAAGAGGGTCCACAATATTGTATTTTTTGTGATTTTACCATAGAAAATGTTCAGTGAAGGGCTAATTTAGAAATATATATATGAAAGAATTCGGTTGTGAAAACAAAATGACCTCGCTTACAAAACAGGACTTTTGGGTTCGGAGATTTATCACAGTTTTTTCCTTTCTTTGTCGAAAACTCTGAGGTTATCCATATATTTTCCAAGACTGACACCCTCCAACTTTTAAAACGATACTACATCCCTGTGGGAGGTCAACATTACCGCTACATGATACGCACCCATTCCTGTATCCTATTAAGTTGCTATATATGTAAAAGTACGTTATAACAACTCTTTCCTATTCAACCCCTCCCCGGGCAACCCCCTGCCCCTTTAACAATTCTAGATCAGCGCCTGATACTTATAAATATTTATACTTCTGAACTTGAAACACCGGACCACTTATAATGGCACTTAACACAGTTTAGATGATACCGAAAATGAAAGTGCAGAATTAAGTCGCACTCACGGGATTATATTACTATAGACCTTCCAACTTTTTTGCCCAAGCTTTAAATTCAATAAAATAAATCACTCTTTCAGGACAACCGTCACTTTATGGAACGTGATGCTTATATGTCTCATTATCATGAAAAATTATTAGAAATAAATGACCACAAACAAGGAACCACAAATACATTTGTAACATAGCTTCAAGGGGAAGAACTTGGTGAACATAAAAGGTTTTAGAGCCATTTATTAGCCTGTTTCCCTGGCCTACCCATAATGCTCCGCAAAAGTACTTTTGCGGAGCATTATGGGTAGGCCAGGGAAACAGGCTAAGCCATTTATAACCTTATTCACTCCCCTGTGATTTTCTTAACATTCCCATCGATTACTGCTAGATGTGAATAGAAATCGCAATATCATCGAACTTTAGCGCAAAGAAACAATTTAATAATTGATATTAATACATATTGATAAAATAAATAATATTTATTATTTTCAATCACAAATCGTTACAAGTTGAAACATTTACAAACCGAAACACAATCTCACAATTTGCTTCGCTTAACTTGAACGATAACCCCAAAACAAGCAATTCAAATTCAAAGACTTGCCAATATTCAGAAGTTTAAAAGTTTATCCATATATCATTTATAGTAGAACTTTAAATATTATATAACGCATTCAAATCCATTATAGATAACCATTTAACTTTAAATTAATAAATTCAATAACAAACGAACAAAAAAATATATTGTACCTCCTTCAATCCATGTAATTTCATTACAAAATTCGACAGTATTTCCCTCCTCTGTGAGCATACAGTGGTACTTTGTGGGGGCGGGGCAGATATACCCCTCCTCTCTCTGTCGCCATGCATCCTCTGTGTTCGGACATCGCCTTCTGTACTCATAAGCTATTATTCCTATACTCCAGCTCATCGTACACCGATAAAGTGTTAACAAGAGGTAAAAATTCGAATGCTTCATGGTGTACTTTAGTTATCACGGATAAGAGGTAAAGGATGGAAAATTATAAATTTTAAGGATAAATACGTTGGGGTCATGCGGTAGTCATTTGATACTTAAAAATTTTTTGATTGTTTTCACAATTCGTGTCTACTTATTTTGTAAGAGTGTGGTCTGGTATACGCGTGATCTGATTTTCACGAAGAGTACTGCTTGAAAAAGTCTACCTTATCATATAAATGCGGAGAAGTGAATACATTTTAATAAATTTAGTTTAAATTAGTTGCAAAGACTACAGATAGTGTTACATGGCCATGGAAACTTCGGTGGGGGCACGGAGGTTGGTGGTCTTGCACCCCAATATTTTTATTTGAACTTAGATATCAAGGTATTTATCTCAAATATGCTTTTGAAATAGGTGAAAGTGCTACAAAAATTATTTCCTTTATAAAATATACTTGTATGGTCTTATTGTATATTAAAACCTGTCACAATTAAAAGTTATATAGGTGTACTATACTTTTGTTCATATTACCAAATCCACTTTTATACTGATTCAGTGCTATAAGATGTATGCATGTCTATGTTTACCAAGTAAGCAACGGAGGCATGACAGACCCCCCCCCCCTCTTTCTCTATCTCTCTCTCTCACTGGCAATTGCAATATCCCTATTGTAAAACAAATTAAAAACCCTATGCATCGATCAATCGATCATAGCATTTATTGAAGTCTATAATATACAATCTTTGATGTGGCAAACTATAAGGGACGCGATACCACATTAACAAAATCTTCAAAACACTGAGATCTCGATAAATGAATACTGTACAGAAATTTTACATTTTTCTATAGGAGGGGGCTATTTCAAAAGAGTTTATAGTGATGTTTACCAATTGTACCATCGTTACTCAGGAATTAATGAATGTGATTTTTGAATGAATTTTATTATAGTTCAGAATTCTAAATGTTGTTTCAAATAAATCCAAATGAAAGTAGCCTTAACTTTAATTACTGTTGAGAACAAATTATATTTTTGGGCTCAATCAGGAAGCTGTGAATCAAGTATATTTGCCAAATACAATTTAATTAACACTATACCATTGTACACCAATTATAGGTTTTATGAAATTCATATTAAAAAAACCCTCAAATAATTTAATCAATTGATTGATGATGCATCACGACAACGCACGAGAAAAGGATGATATAAAACACACATTCCCATACATGTTATATGAATCAGATGCATGGCCTACATTTTCTCGTAATTACCATACAAGATTTATCATTTGAAGTAAAAGGAATTAGATCCAGTTGACAGCAAAGTCATAGAAAGTCATAGAAGAAACTTGTTAATATTTTTAATAAAATGTGTTAAAACAAACGTTAACCATATGAGATATTTGTCGATACTGATTAACATTCCAAGCATATCTTGTAGTAGTCCAAAAATCGGACGTTTTCCGGGCTTTTTTTCCCATGCGATTTTAATCGTTTTCCTGGCACGTAAATTATCAAACTCGTATACCTTGTAGTTGTGCTTTCATTTAACCCGTCTTATATACTAAGTTATTCAAACTGGAAGGAAACTTATTAGGAAAAATGCTTATTCTACACAATATGGGGTAAAAACTAATGTATTGGTAAGAATTGTAAATAAATGAAAACATACTGATTTTCTTGAAAGCATTACAGGGTCCTAATTTGTGAACACCATGTAAATTGAAGCAAAATCTTATTCTGATCATTAATTTTCATTTGAAATGGATGTATTTTCATATTTGTAAAGAAGATTCAATAATCTTGTTAGAGGGCTTTATATTGCATTGCTTGTATGGTCAAGAAAAGAAAAAGACGTTTCTGCTTTCCCAACTGACTGGGTCTCTGTATCACCAGTCCTTGTAAAAGCATATTTTGGACCTGTTTAGGAATTCACTGTTGAATAAGTAATTAGGTCCGTTTAAACCGGGTACCTGTAAAGTGCGAAACGAAATAGAAACGAAACGAAACGAAACGAACTGAAAAGAAACGAAATCTACCGAAACGAAACGAAACCTACCGAAACGAAACGAAATCAAGACGAAACGAAACGAAATCAAAACGAAACCTGCCGAAACGAAACAAAACAAAACTATTAATTTTTTTTTTCAAATTAAGGTACGTTTATATAATTATATATGTGTAACTGCATATGGACTTTTTTTTTCTACTTCAAATAAAATTTATATAGTTCAAGCACTTGTTGATATAAAATTTAATTACCGATAGATTATGCTCCTTTCTCAGTCTAATGATGTATTTACATGTTTGCCAGCTGCAAACATGCACGAGCGTACTATGCATGTATAGTTTCAATATGTGCAGTATTTTCTAATTTTTATATCTTACTCTTATTTTCAGTCCTTATTTATCTAGATACAACATTTCTATCAAAATTGATGTGTTACTTGTAAATGCTCGTTTATGTAAGGGTCGAAGTAAAGTCACTGTACTCTCATTGGCGTCAGAAGCAAATTGAAAGTGGGGTGGGAGGGGGGAGGTTTAAGTATAAGAAAAAAAAATTATACCTTCAAAAAAACACCTGACAAGCAAAAAAAAAGAAAAAGGAAATGTCCGTCCAAACACGAAAAGCCTATTTCGTAGGGAGAAGGGGGGGGGGGGGTTGAACTTCATCAGCAAAATTTTTCCAAACAACACCACTTTCCTCATTATTTTAACCTAAACTACAACGTGTCTGTGGAAAGTGGGGGGGGGGGGGCTAACCCTAGGCAGCGATGTTCAATGTCTATACTAGGTCTACGCCTATGCTGTTGTATTGCGAATGTCTTAAAACATAGGATAAACCAGAGACTTAGAGTATTTAGTATTCCATTCCGAGGTGTCTGCTTTTATCGTTCAATTATACATGTAACATAGGTGATATCACCTATTCGAATAAGTGATATCACCTATTCGAATAGGTGATATCACTTTTTGCCAGTAAATACCAAAACGGCGCCCCATATGTAACTCAGACCGGAATCTTGTGTATCCTTTCTACGTACATACGGTCATATTTTTATCGTGGTAATTGTCTAGGAAGAAATGAGTGGTTTGCAATAAAGAAGCTCGACCAGAGACGTTTAAAACGATTAAACTGACAAGAAAAAAGTCTCTCAAAGCCAACGATGTCACTTTTAAGTAGGTAAATGATTCAGTAAGATATTAACAAAATATGACATAGGCTTCGGAAGCGGGGGGGGGGGTGTTAGCCCCCCTACTTTTTTGCAAGGATATATATTATATAGGCATTGAAAATTGGGGTTTACCTTTTTTGTTGGTTAAGCCCCCCCCCACTTTCAATTTTCTTCCGACGCCTATGTATTAGCTTGAAGCGAAACAATTGCTTGTGGTGCTTGAACTATATAAATTTCATATGAAGTAAAATTAGACCATATAAACATTCTGAAAGTTTTCTTTCGTTTCGTTTCGGCAGGTTTCGTTTTGATTTCGTTTCGTTTCGTCTTGATTTCGTTTCGTTTCGGTAGGTTTCGTTCCGTTTCGGTAGATTTCGTTTCGTTTCGGCAGATTTCGTTTCGTTTCAGTTCGTTTCGTTTCGTTTCGTTTCTATTTCGTTTCGCACTTTACAGGTACCCGTTTAAACCTTGTCTTTGTCTTCAAATACTGTGGTTATTTTTGCTAAACTGACCTCTGCACATGAATTGCGTGGTAATTGCTCCTCTCTCTAAATAATGTATGATATTTTGGTTAAAATATAGAGGAGAACATGTTTTTTAAAGATCTCTTAATTTAAACTTTGAAATGCGTCTATAATACAACAAGATGATCCCTTGATGAATATAACATTTTAATTTTCATTTCATTGAGATATCTTCTCCAAAGGCGAGTATTCTTTTTCAGTTTACGTCACATTCGAATGTCAATGATTATTATATATATCATACGATAATTGTTCTGAACATTTTAGCGGACATTTCCCATTGGAGTACTTATTATCCCAGGATTTGGTCAGAAAACCCTAAATAAGACAAAAGATCAAATAATAATCCTTGTCACGTGATTGGAAGAAAGAGAGAGGTATTCAGATCTCCAACACTGTCCCCTATGGCTCTTTCCTGAATCTGTGACTTTTGGACACCATTTTTAAAATCACTGTAACTATTTAAACTTTGGTTTGCTACCATCTGGTCCTTAATGTCAACATTTCCCGAAAATCTCTTGGGGTTTATAATGTGTTTTATCCCTTGCTTAGGTGTAGATGTTCCGAGAAATTCCTCTCCAAAGAATATTCCAAAGTCTTGTGGTACTTTTTCATAACCATAGTTACGTTGTGGGTTATGTTTGCTTTCAATTCCATTGCTAGTCACTTTTGTGCAAGGTTTGCTGCTACTTTCACAAACTTCATGAATATTGTCTTTTTCATTTGACTGTTGCAGAAGTACATTGCCTGAAATAATTAAATATATTTCTTTGAATTAAAAGATCCTATATTTGATTGAAACTTTGTGTAAATATCGTGTTTTCTTTATAAAGTTCTTACTTGTCAATGATCCGTCCCTTCTCTGTAGACGGCGTCTGATACATATGAAGGCGAAGACGATGGCTATGGCACAAAATAAGACACAAGCAGTTATGACAGCAATGAATATAGATAATGGAATGGATGAAGGCTCGCCGTCTGAAACACAAAACCATATAGACAATTTTATTTGGTTTCCTTCATATGATTGGTTGAGATGCACATTTGTTTGAATCATAAAAGACAAAAAATAAAAAAATCAGTATAGTTGGTAATATACCATGCTAAGTGTGAATAGCTGCAAATATGTGACCCTCTTCGATTTTTAAACTGGGACCCGTTTTACAAAAGAACTTTTGACAAAGACCAAAAATTTAAGATGATTGTAAACTTCTACAAAATTCATTAATGAATTAAATTACCAGTGTAAAAATATCTTACTTCATTCCTTTAAAAAAAAATAAAATCATTTTCAATTTAATGTTAATTAGAAAGTTATACGAAGAATTAAAATTGGTCCTGAGTAGTAAGTTGTTTCAGGAAACCCCTCCCCCACTACCCCAAAGGGGATGAGGGCTAAATATTAATGCAACTGCAGGATGCACAATTCTTTTAAAAATATATTTTCTCTTACTTTTGCCTGCCTTTCATTGTTGTAAAATGCTACAAATTACGAAATTAATGAAAAATTACAAACAGTTTCTTTACTTTTGCATATGACCTCGTCATTTCCATTTCTGCAATCTTTGACATCGTTACAAACGAGGGACTTTGGAATGCATGTGTCGTCTGCGCAGCTGAACTCATCTGGTGTGCATGCTGCAAAAACAAGGCCAGAATATCATATGCTAACTTAGAACTATAAATTGGTTTAATTGTTGATTTTACATGTTTTAGTGGATAGTTTAACATGAGTAATATGTGTCCCATAAAGTAAAGGTCAATTAGTTACAAGTAATAATTATATACATCAACCTACATTATGCCTGAACTAACATGTGATCTTATTTTAGTACTTACGACAAGTTATATTGAGGGGAACACATTTCCATTGTCCACAAGTTTTGTATAATCCCGGATTCTGCTGGCAGTCTCCGGTCTCTGTCTCATACACGTTCATCCCGATATTCTGCTAGGAAAAAATAAGATAAAATGTTAAATACTTTTTATATTAGATGCATTACCTAAAATAGTTAACAATATGGCAATTAACAAAATTTCACAATCTAAGCCTTAAAAAGTAAAACATTAAAGCACAATTGATATAATTAAGAGAATTAAATACTTTGCGAGAAATTATGTTTGACACGAGAAGCCTTAGCTGTCACTGTCAAAGTTAGACATGTGCATATACTGACTAATATTAGAATAGAAAATTTATTTTAATTAAGCCTCATTCATTCAAAAAACTTAAAGGTCCCCCACCCTTTTACTGAATTGAATGTAACATCTTTGGAGGGAAGATTAGAGCAAAGGTTCGCGTTCATAATTAAGGAATGGAGCGTTCAAATTAAATTTTGATATTCTTTATCCTTCTTCAAATGCTGAAAAATTGTTCAAATATTTTTTTTTGTTCAAGAAATGCATGCATGATGAAAACCTAAATATAACATCAGGGAAAAAAATGTCAAAAGACCAAGAAAATTGAAATGCATCTGGTACACAAAATGAAGCAGGCATTTTGCCCACTGTTACCTTTACAGAAGTAAAATCCTCAACAAATTGTACATAAACCTGTCAGTCGGGGACGTTTGTTAATTGTGTGAGTGGTGACAGGAATTACAGGTCTAGTCCTATATAATACAAAAAGTAAAACTGACGAGAAAGTATATCCAGACCGGATGAGTAAGGGGGATCCAGTCTAGCATTGGATTAAATTACCCTGACAAAGAAGGATATACAAAGGGGGAAAACAAAGACATTATAATACAGCGGCCTCCTACGGGTACGATTTAGTACAATGACAGTGCTCCAAATGCGATTTGTGGCCGATAATGAAACAAGGGTGGGCGTGAGAATGGACCCGCACGTGCCAAAATAAACGTCCATTCACAAGACTTCCAAAATAAAAGTCTGTAATTATGCAGATTTTAATCAAGATTGAGTAATTTTTACCAAAGAAATTCAAGACAAGTGTTTTTTAAGCATACTTAATCTTTTTTCTGTTTCTTGAATTGTATGACATGTACGTATTCTGACATGGTTTAAGTGCCAATAAATCTTGATTTTTGCCAAACGATCGGATCTAAATTTAAGTTTTAAACAAATACTTATATATCTACTTATGATTAATTTTTAAAAATTCAATGTAACTTTAAATTACGATATCACACCAAGGCACTAGATTACATCGTTAAAAGCATTATTTTTCTTTATATAGAACATTAAATACGCATCAAATTCGCGAAAACATCCCAAGAAATTTCACGCTTGTATTATTTTAATATAAAATTCAAAGATACTAAATATTTCCCTACCTAGCAGAATAATCCTGTACATTTGTTACTGTCCTGCACATTTGAATTTGAATCTACCGTCAAAATCCAAAACTGGTATTGAAATACGTACAGGGGTAGTCATTTATTTCGTTCATTTTAGCAAATGCATGTATGTACTAAAATCTGTCCGTTGTACACCCTCGGAAAGCTACCTCCCCTTTGATTTGTGTATTAGTTATATGTTTAACTGTCGATCCCCCCTGGGGGCAACAGTGACCTGGATTGACGCACAAATTCCTGTGGATGTGAATCACAAAGTATAGATTTGTACATGTAGATCAGGATTGGAGCTCCGATAAACAACGACACAAAGACATTAAAAACTGGGAAATAAAAGATACAATCTGTTTGTTTGAATTATGAAGCAAAAAACGTACTCGTAATTTATGCCAAAATATAGAATTAAAATGCGCAAGGAAATCTTAATGGGTTGTATACTCCCGGGCATAATAGTTTGGGTTTTTTTTTTATCTTGCTGCACAAACAGTCCCGTTTTCGTTTTCTTTCTTATCGTTTTTTTTTTTTGTACTAAAAGTTCTTTTTTTTCTTAAATTATGCACTTTTTAATTTTACTTCACTTTCTAATTTGTAATCCATTTTATTTCTAGAATTAAAAAATATATATATAAAAATATATATCTATGTAAATATCTGCAAATACATGTATTCAAAAATGAAACGAAGTCGAACCTTCTGAGAAATGGACTTATTTGGAAGAAAGGCAATTTACTTAAGTCGAGGACAAAAGTCAATCGGTTTCTCAAAGAATGATTCATGTCACAGACAAAGGGGACAAATTATAGAGAGGCAAATGTTGAAAAAGCAAAAAATTATATCGGATTACGTCGGATTACGGATTAACGAGAGGAGATTACGACGTGATGTGACTGTCACCGATCATTTACTGATTAAAGATTATGAGTTATCGCTTCTTTTCTAATTCTTCGCAAATTAAATCTCATTGACAGGAGTTTACTTTTTTATATTATTTTTTGTAACTGTTCACATAACCTACATTTTTAGTATGTACGCAGTTCATTGACTTCAATATACAGGTAATACGAAGAATTATGAGCGAATGGAAATAATGTCTATGTATTATGATGTGTGAATTTAAATTGATATATGGAACGCCATCACTGCCTTATAGCATACAACTATGCATTTATTACGTCAATTTATCATTACGTGATGTGAACATATCTTTACGTTATGTCCATTTTTTATGGGATGAAGAAAATATATCTTAACATCATGTCAATGCTGCATTACATGAAGTAAATACATCCTTTCACTATGTCAGCACTTCATAACTTGAAGTAAAAAATTCATTATGTGAAGTGATAATGTGTTTACATTGTGTTAAAACTTTATTACGTGAAATGAATGTTTCTTTACATCATTTCATTTCTTTAATATGTGAGGTCAAAATTGCATTACGTCAAGTAAATTGTGTTTTAAAGTTAAACTTATCATCACATGAAGTCAAAAGCCCATTCCTTTTTGAGAGTGTATATTTCGATTATATCAAAGTATTATTACGTGTTATGGATTTATCTTTATTTTACGGCGAGGGCATCATGATGTGAGGTGAACACATCTTACCTTTATGTCAGTGCTTTATTACGTGGTGTAAAAAGTGTATAACATAATGTGAACATATCTTTATATTATATCAACACTTTATTACATTATGTCAAAACTCCATACCGTGATGTGGATATATTATAACGTTATGCCAACTCTTTCTTATGTGATTTAAAAATATCTTTATATTGTGTTAACTCTTTATCATGTGGATTCCAAGTTCATTACCTGATGCAAAAATACATTTACATTATCTCAAAGCTGTATATCTAGTATATAATAAATGTTGACGACCGTGTTTTAATGACTGGTAAGAACACCTGGGTCGTGATTGATTAGGACAAATTACAGGCACATAATATCAACCCCCCTCTTTTCCCAGACATAACTTTACTATAGAAAATGTAATGTTCATTGAAACTGTACAGCCCCCCCACCCCCACCCCCACTTCTTGTTGAAATATAGTCCACTAAGGGTAATATAATATATCTGGAAAAATTAGGATTGATTGAAGTTGGACCACTCTCCCCGACATAGGATTTTCGGGCTTTGACGTTTTTTTTCTTGGCTTGGTCTAGTTTTATTTCGGATAAATGATTTTTTTTACTGGCTGACCTCCTCTTTCAAAAAAAATGATGCTACGTCACTGGAGTTAGTAATTTTTTTAATCATTCCAGGGCCATAATTCTATTACAAAAATCTACCAGTCGCTCATCTAAATCAATTGAATATGCCTTAGTAAGCATGCATGGGTACATATCAGTGGCAGATATGGGAATCTTGAACAAGGGGGACGGTATATGGTTGGAGACCAAGGGCGGAAAGCGGAGAAGCTCTCAGGCTTTATAGTTTTATAGAAAAAAAGTTTTCAACTTAATTCAGCTAAACTTAATGTGAAACTAATGCAATGTCCTACAAAGTTTAAGACTTTTATAAAAAAAAAACCAATTCAAAATAAAAAGAAAAAAATGATTGCTGCACGACTCATAATATTTGATTTATTTAATTATCAGATTAAAGTAAACACCATTGTATTTCGACGTGACTTTAATTCACAGTCGCAGTGTTAAGGCTTTGCATGTTTCAAGATTGTCAATCATTTGTCGCTTAAAGTTTTCATTTAAAGATGTCATTCCGAAATCGCTGAGAATCTCTTCTACGACAGTTTTCTCTCCCGCCATTTTAGTGCTTGCGGAACGCGGAAAATACGTTATGCTCATATAAAGGCCGAGGATACCCGCGTTCGCATAACGTAATAGTGAATCGACATAATGTAGAAGAGTGCGCACAGTATGGCATGAGCTTTTCACATCAGTTAATAGAAACTAAGATTGTCATGAAAAGTAAACATAACGAAATGCAAGATAACGAAATAAAATTGTAGTATGTGTAAATGTCATAAAGAGTTGATATAATGTAAAGGAAAGTTAACACGATGCAATAGTAGTGTGGGTTAATGTCATAAAGAGTTGACATAATGTAATGGAAGGTTGGCACAATGCAATAGTAGGGTGGGTTAATGTCATAAAGAGTTGACATAATGTAATGGAAGGTTGACACAATGCAATAGTAGTGTGGGTTAATGTCATAAAGAGTTGACATAATGTAATGGAAGGTTGGCACAATGCAATAGTAGTGTTCTGCTATAAGGCAGTGACGGCGTTCCATATTGATATGTACTTTATAATCTCATAAGGAAAAGCCGGTATGAAAGGTAACAGAGTTTATTATAGAGAGAATCGTGCTTAAATCCCTCGTCATCTTTTACGCTTTATCCTAAAACAATTTATAAAATCTAATTTTTATCGAGATGAATGTCTCTTTTTCATGTCGGATTTTGCATTTTTCTGTGAAATCGTACAGAATGTATTGTACACTGTCAAGTGGTCGGAAATACTTAAGCATTGTTTTTTAAATATAAATGACGACAAAAATTTTCCAATGCAATGCTCTTACCTTTAAGCTTTCTTGGAAATTCTCTCTTCTCACCTTCAGTTATAAGGCAGGTAACAAAGTATATCAATCAATTCATTAGGAACATTCCCAGCAAATTGCACATGGTCAGTTTATCTCGGAGAAGCGATCATTTCCGGGGTGTTTTTCACAACTTTCTCGGGTTTAGTACACTCTCTATAGTGAACATCGCCACTGTCTGTCGGGCTTCATATTTTTGTTGAAGTCACCTTGAGAAATTCCTCACTAGAGGTTTATTTAAGCTAAATAGGATATTTTTATTCATACAGTTTCCTGCGCGTGAGTTATTCTAATCACACCTTTGCTTTATTTGAAGCGGTGTGTTAATACGGGAGAAAGAATTGCCCAACGGGAGTAGTTTTACAACTTATAAAGAAATGATTAGAACTGTGAATGGACATCTTATTTACTTACTGATCAACTTTGGTGTATGGCTTGATAATATCCACTAAGGACTAATACTTGATTAAAATATTTACCTTTTGACAGAAAATGGATTAACTTTAGACACTTCTTTTTAAAGTTTCATATCATGAAATTAATTCATTTATTAATCGATGATACAAATGTTGTAAAATAGTTTATAAATCTTGACCATATTTTGCAAATGAAAGAAATATTTCGTTTTTTTTTCTAAATTCTCACAATTGTTTTAAAATTTGAATCCATTCAAGAGAAGATAATTTACTTTTGATATACATTCTAATCATCGAGTAAAATAAGTTGATATTTTGTGTACCCCTGTCATCAAAGATTCGAATTTTTGCTCTGTGCATATCAATTATGTGTTGTCCGTAATGAGTAAAACTTTTAAACTTTCCCATAACGATTGGTTTGAGTATGGCTCTATTGTTTCACATGTGTATTTTTTTGTGACGGGGCCTTTCTTTTGGTAACATATTTGACCTTTTGACATATGACTGCTGCTTGACGATGACGTTGGAGTTCAAACACTTTTGCAAAACTATATATCAAACTTAAACCCTAGCTATAACTTTTGAACGGTTGGTGTTCAGGCTTTTATATTCACAACACCTGTACATTTTTTGTGATAAATCCTTCTTTTACGTAAACAATTTTTTGACTTTGACATTTGAGTTTGACCTACTTTTAAAGAACTTTAACCTTTGAACCTAAACATTTGAACAATTAGTTGTATGTGTATGACTTTCATATTTCACTTGTGTGTTTCTTGTGACAAGTCCTTCCCTTTGCAACATTTATAATCCCTTGACAAATATGTTTCCAATGTAAAAATGATTAATTTTTTATTCAGAAAATTAGCAAAATGCAAACCTAGATTTGTATTCGTCGTATATAATCTAATTAATTAGTCATTTGATGTAACATTTTAGGCACCACCTTTAAATTTGCTGTAAATGAATAGAATTGTGATGAGGAGAAACCCAAATGGTACTAGACGTATAATTTTGTGGTGATAGGCAACATTGTTGTGAATTTTATAGTCATAAAATTAGAGGTGTGAGGGGCGGGACAAACCATCAAATTAAGAGGGAATCAAGCAAACAAATTGCGTAACTTAATTAATCAAAACGGAATTATAAGTAGACATGATAAAAACCAGAAGTCTCTGTCGAGACTGAAGCTCTACTGGTTTGTACTTGTAGCAAAGGAAGAGGAAAGTACTTAAGCAGTTGGGAATTGAAACTTTACACTAGCAAAAAAGAGAATAATGATCCTTGAATAAGTTTCTTTATGTTCTTAGTGTAGTCTATTTGCATGCCACATTATATTATAATCAGACTAAAACTGTATTTGAAGTAGCATTTTGAGAGTAACAGAAATTGCTATTTTTATTAACCAAGGTAATAATGTTCATTTAAGTCAAAAACGGATATAAAGAATTACGTACCTTAGTGTAGTCTACTTGTGTGCCAAGTTATATTGAAATCAGACCAAAACTGTAGGAGGAGTGGCATTTTGAAAGAATTTCACAGAAATTTCTATTTTTAGTAACAACACCTACACCATTCATCGAAATCAAAAACCGATACACAGAATTATGTATCTTAGTGTAGTCTACTTGTGTGCCAAGTTATATTGAAATCAGACCAAAACTGTAGGAGGAGTTGCATTTTGAAAGAATTTCACAGAAATTTCTATTTTTAGTAACAACGCCAACACTGTTCGTCGAAATCAAAATCCGATACACAGAATTATGTATCTTAGTGTAGTCTACTTATATGCCAAGTTATATTGAAATCAGATCAAAACTGTAGGAGGAGTAGCATTTTGAAAAATTGTTTACAGACAGACAGACAGACGGACGGACACCGGACGCATTACTATCGCATAAGCTCTTCTGGTCTCTGACCAGTAGAGCTAAAAACGTGGAAAAGGTAATATTATAATAATATTCATATCCAATTTGTCCAAATACACTGTACATAATTTGTATTTTGTATGTGTAATTTGTATTTGATGCATTATCGGTAAGCGTCGGAAGCAAATTGAATAAAAGTTTGCGGGGAGGGGGGGGGGGGTAAACCAACAAAAAAGGTAAGCCCCAATTTGCAATGCCTATATTATGTCTATCTTTACAAAAAAGTGGGGAAGGGGTAGTGCCCACCCCCCGTTTCCGACGCCTACGTACATTAAGTTACAGAGGTACTGTGAGGACAGAGCTCACAAAAGGATACTCCTGCCTCCCATATAATTGTAATGGCAAAGTCCTTGTTTTGCAGTGGGAGACCTGATATAAGTGTCAAATCAAAAAGTAAAATTAACAGGAGGTGCACAATGGCACTACATAACAAAGAATCTGTGAAAGTATCATTTTAAAAATTTTATTCGGTGGTATAGGAGGAATTTCGGATAAGGGATGGGTGCCCTTCAATATGCTTTGCTACTGACAGCCAAAATGTGTTTTATCTAAAACTAGAATAATAGGTGCACAATGACACTATATGTAACAAAGATTCTGTGAATGTCTCATTATAAATTTCATTCATTGGTTTCATTCATTGAAGAGCAATTAATAAGAGACACGGGTACTCAAAAGTAGACGGATTCTGAAGACTGTAAATATAGACCTGTACAGTATTCAGCATTTTGGGCCCTTTAGCAGAGAGGAATCTTTTTTGTACAAGCACACCTACTACGACAAGGGACCTCGGTTTATATGATCTCATGACCGATGGCCACGTCCCGCCCTGTGATTCGAACCTATGACCAAGATTCGAAGATCAACTCTGAAGAGCAAACTTTACACTTTATAACTAATATATACGTAGGTGACTCAACAGTTTGACTACAGGATGTCCAGATTTAGAGAAGATTTTTGAAAAATGCATAATTCTTTATGGTTTTGGCCCCATCCACAATGGCACTATGTAACAAAGATTCTGTGCAAGTCTCATTAAATTTCATCCATTGATATGAGGAGTCGCGGACAAGAGATGGGTACTCCAAAGCGTAACAGAGAACGGACGTACAGACGGACATCCCGATCACTACATGTATATACCCTCCCACTTTTCTAAATTTTATAAATATAATATACCCCAGTCATATTCAAAACTGACTCAAAAAACTTAAGTCATAAATAGCAAAACTTGGTCTAACCAATACGAGACGAAAACTTTAAGATTCACCGTACATGTATTTCAGATTGAGTTATTGCACTTAAGAAAATAAATGTATTAGGTATAGGATTCCAAAAATAAACTTCTTTGGCAAGTATACTTAAGAGTGTAGATGTATAACCAATAAACTCAGATGTTATTCAACGAATTTATTTTGCTCTTATGAAAGCAATGTATGTTTATAAAATGTCATTGTCAATGCCTTATTTTAAGTAATAAAAAATATAAAAATAATACATTTGTTCCACTTTTAAAATATAAAAATACAATGTAGTTAATAACCAGAACACAGATATACTGGTATTTAATTAAGTCACAACCCCTTATATATGTTACAGGCCCCATTATAAATGTAACAAATTAACAAACAAGAGAACCGTGAATGAGTGAAATGATCTGAAATTTGCATTGAATTTCGATGCTTGTCAATTCTGGTTTACAGGAACAAACTCACATGTATATAAGCCAATAAGCTGCACAAGTTTTTTGATCTCTTTTATGATCAATGTAAAAATAAACACATGTTGTCAAATATATATACATGTAAAACTTAGTTATACAAATAACATACAAAAGTAAGAACCAACAAATGACATCAATAAATTAAAGCTTTGTCTTCTCTTGTTGGGGGATTGATTTCCTGTCCCTCCTCTCCATGTACTCCGTGGTCCCGTACAGGAACATCCCCACCACAAGGATCGTGAAGGTCAAGTATAACTTGACGTCAGTCCTCACAAAATTCCCGTAACCGAAGGCCAGGATAAATCCCATAGATTCCCAAAGACGATAGTTAGAGAAAGCTGCCTCCGAGTGCTCGGTAAACAGATAACCATAGTACGCTGGAAATTAGAAATATATCATTGTGTTACAGTATGCATTAAACATGGTTCCTTCTCAGAAAAGACATTGTCATAAATTATATATGTTGGGAAACTTTTGATGTAACACTTGGATTATGATTTGTTACAACACTAGATCACATAAATCAAATTACAATTAAGGTTTTGTATTTAGTTGTTCTTTTCCTTTTCTAGAAGATAAAAATTTGACAACAAAACTACGAATATGGAAGCTTACCATTGATCTGTGTTTGAATGACAGCGTCACCCATTCCCCAAAGAGCAGCAATAATAAAAAACAAATATTTAATATCTGGATCTGGGGTCCATAACATCAACGTTATCTGTATACCCCCGTGTACAAGGAATGCTGAAATATAATATAGACAACAATTATGGAGACATCATTTAACAAGTATTTTTAATGCATCAAATTAAGTTAAAAATTGAAAAAAAAAAAGATTAGCCTAAAAAAAAACCGAAAGAAAGCGATTTACCAATTAATTTTCTTTGCTTGAATCAGGATCAATATTTGTTATATAAGTTCTTCGCAATTTAGTTTAAATAGATATATTTTCTGATCACAGACCTCACCAAAAAATAAGAATTTTGGTAGTGAAAGACAAAAACTGGGAACTTCAACGTCAAAATTTTGAAGTTGATATTTCATATTATAAGGTATATTTTAGAGGAAAAGGGTAAAGCTTCTGAAATTGATTTGATTTAATTTCAAAATCTTGTATCAAGTAGTACACATAAAAAGCAGAATGCTTAAAAAAATACATTTGGATATATAAATTAAATCTTTAACGTTTAGGTATCCGTTTGTTTAAGGAATCTGAAAAAAAACAACAATCACCAATATTCATACAAGTGCAGAAAAGAACCTGTTATCAGCATGTTCTAAAAAATTACCGAGAACGAAGAAAGGAATGTGGCCAAAGAATTGGACCAGCCGTCCGAAGGTGAAGGAGCAGAGAGCGTCCACTACGCCGTAACAGATCATGACGTATCCTATGTTCCAGATACCAAGGGCACATCCTACATAGGACTGTAAATAAAACATTTGTAATTTTGACTGACTTTAAAATAATAATATGCTATGTTGACCAAAATAATGGACAAGAATGCATTTTTTAAAATAATGATTATAAATTTTCCAGTCGACCGTGGGTTTCCTACGATGCAATTTTGCTTTCTCAGCAAATATTACAACAACTGTGTCTTTCCCTGCTTGCAGCAATAAAACAACAAACTTTTCAAAAAAATAGATGGAAAAAATTACACCTTGACCAATAATTTTTTGCAGAAAAGTTACGTCTCTAATATTTTATGAATTGCAAATTAGCTAAGTAAGTAAATGTATATTAATATTTTAGTACAGGTATAAAAATTACCTTGGTGAAATCACTGGTGATGAAGCCTTGTTCTATACCACTATAAAATGTCAGCACCATAAGGAGTTTCTGGTAAGGGGACCTCCACCAGTGCTTAAAGGTCGCAATGACCAGGTCAAACGAGAACTCCCCGTACTTGTCATGGTTGTCCTTGTCTAGTTTTATTGGATCCAACAAAACGGATATGATGATTACAGCGATCACTGCGCATCCCGTGTATATCCCACATACAAGATACACCTAAAAATACAACATCCCGTGTATATTCCACATACTAGATACACCTAAAAATACAACATCCTGTAAATATCCCACATACAAGATACACCTAAAAATACAACATCCTGTCTTTATTCCACATACAAGATACACCTAAAAATACAACATCCCATGTATATTCCACATACTATAGATACACCTAAAAATACAACATCCTGTCTTTATTCCACATACAAGATACACTTAAAAATACAACATCCTGTATATATCCAACACACAAGGTATTCCTAAAAATACAACATCCCGTGTATATTCCACATACTAGATACAACATCCTGTAAATATCCCACATGCAACATACACCAAAAAAATACAACATCCCGTGATATTCACATTCTAAAAAAAAATACAACATCCTGTATATATCCAACACACAAGGTATTCCTAAAAATACAACATCCCGTGTATATACCACGTACAATGTACACCTAAAAATACAACATTCTGTGTATATTCCGCAAACAAGATACACCTAAAAATACAACATCCCGTGTATATACCACATACAAGATACACCTAAAAATACAACACGTACCCTGTGTATATTCCACAAACAAGATACACCTAAAAATACAACATTCTAAGTATATCCCTCAGACAAGATAAAACTTAAAAAATACACTATAATAAAATAAAGTAGTCACAGCCTCTATAGAAGATTCATTACTTTTTCCTAGTTTGTAGTAAAAGATGTTGACTAAAGATGCAGTGTATGGCACGCCAAATTCACAAAAATGAGCTAAACATAGTTTCACAGTCGATAAACTATGTTTATCGGTTGTAAACTATAGTTTACGGACTGTAAACTATAGTTAACAACGTCAATGTAAACCATAGTTAACATGATAATCTATGTTTCACAACGGTAAACTATACTTAACAACGAAAACAATCATATGCGATATATTTTACATTATCTGATAAATACAGTTTCACGTTTGTAACGCGATTAACGATCTATGTTTCACAAACTATGATTAAACTCTTATACTTAAACTATAGTTTACAAACGAAAACAATCATAATGCTTATTGCAAAACATATCATCGTAAACTATACAAGCGTTAAACATAGTTTTATCACGCCAAATTCACAAAAATGAGATAATCATAGTTTCACAATCGATAAACTAGGTTTATCGGTTGTAAACTATAGTTTACAAACCGTAAACTATTAAATTAGTTAACAACGTTAATCTATATTTCACATCTGTAAACCATAGTTAACGCGATAATATATGTTTCACAACCGTAAACTTTGTGAAAACAATCATTTGCGATTGCAAAACATACTTATCTTAAATACAGTTTCACGATTTGTAAACTATAGTTTACAAACCGTTAACTATAGTTAACGATCTGATAAATATAGTTTCACAATCAACAACTCTTACAAACGTTTACAAACGTGAATCTATGTTTATCAACAAAATCTATTGTTAACGCTTTATTACAGACAGAAAAACTTAAATTAACATTCGTAAACTATAGTTAACAACCCTTAAATATAGTTTTACAATGAAAACTATACTTAGTTAACAAGTTTACGGTTTGTAAACTATAGTTTACAGTCGATAAACCTAGTTTATCAATTGTGAAACTATGATTATCTCATTTTTGTGAATTTGGTGTGCCATATTTTACAGATGAAAACTATACTTAACGAATCGTTAACTATAGTTTACGGTTTGTAAACTATAGTTTACAGTCGATAAACCTAGTTTATCAATATCTAGGTTTAGCTCATTTTTTTGAATTTGGCGTGCCATAGCAGTGAATCTATTAGCTGTGGTAAAGCAAAGGTTGAAACAGCATTATTTTTATAGAGAGATTTCGAGTTGGAAAAATATCCAAAAATAATGTTTCTGTGATTTATATAGCCCTAATTAGTATTACGTGTACCACAAAATATGTATTCAATAAAAGTTTGATTTAAGGTAAGTAAATTTCAAAGGCTGTTTAACTGATTTGTAACACTGTGTTTTCTCGATGTGATTCAAATCCCTTTTCTGTCACAGAAAAGACTAAGATGTACTTTGGGTTCAATCTGTGTTAAAGTAAAATCGGGAAAACGAGGAGTTGACAACAAAAAGATATCTCTTATTCATATTTTACCTGGTCAAGTTCCGGTTTCTTCAGAGTTGTTTTATTTTATTCGATTGTAGGATCAAAATTAGCACCACAACTTGCCAGATCTTCACTACTAACATTGAGATACAAAGACTGGTTTTCTGGACGTTGACTGAATATTTCGGAAGAGATCAAGTTACCCCAAATCTGACCTGTATGAATAATGAAACAAATAATTATTAATTTAATTGGTACATTCTCATGTTTAAAAATCCTTCATCAAGTGGACTTGCAAGTGCTCTTCAAAATACATATATCGCCCAAAACACGCAATCTTTCGTTGAGATTATGCTCCGGTATATCTTCTTTCAATAAATGCATCCAAACCCCTAAAAACTTACTTGTTTGGAAGAACATGAAGAAGAATCCGAAAAATCGGTTGACAATATCGTCTTGAGTGGTTCCTGTCATTTTGGAGTACCACACTGATACTTGTGTCAAATATGTACATTTTGCAGACCACAAGGGAGCGGCACCCAGTCCAATAATAATAGATGCAGGGACCATCAAACCCCACACAGCATAGAAATTTGCGGCCATGTACACAACATAGCAACACATGGAAGCAGCAATTGTCCATTTGCAACCCAGTTTTCCTATGGCAACAGATGGCACAAACATGCAGCTGAAGACCAGGGCGGAGTACAATATGGCTAGGCCTCCTGTACCCACCCCCTCCTCTTTGTTCAGGGTGCTCTGTAAGTTTGACAGGGACTGAAAGGCCGTGAACAGGAAGCAGAATCCGAAACTAATGATTAACACATTCTTTAATATTTGCATCTTTGTCATGGGGAAAGTTTCCGTTTTCGACGGGTAACCGTCTGACTTCATTTCCATCGCATTCGATTTTTCCATTTTCAATAAATCTACAAAGAAAATGTATATAAATTATATATATTAAAAAATGAGATGATATTTACATTCTAAAACATTCAGTCCCTCGGTGGTCTTTGTTGTACTTGACTACTGTTATTCAAGATAACCTTAAGTTTGTTCTTTTAATCACACAAAAAACTTTGATAGCACACTATTCTTGAGGAAGGGTACCCTTCAGAAATCAATGAATTTTACCTTGTCAAGAATCACACAGTGTGTAAGAATACTTTTGTCGTTATTTTTGTATCAACCTGTAAGAGTACATGACTCGTTTTGTTTGCTGAACTTTTTATACCTACCCGAAATTAAGGATGTTTGCGCAGAGAATGACGCGACATTCGGAGGCATTTCGGAGGCAAACCCAGATTTCCAAGATGACTTTGGTATTTGCTGTTACTCTCCTATTCATCAGTACATAACTTATATGGTAAAAAAAAAACTATTAGGAAAGTTGGGACCCCTAATCCCTTTAAGATACGAGTATCCTTTTTTTTTAATCTGGACAATTTAATTTACATGTGTCAACTCTAAACAACGTCATTTATATTTTTTTCTGACCCCCCCTTTCTCTCTCTCTAAAATACATGTAATACATGTATTACAATAATGTTAATTGCCCAAATGAATAATAACTTAAACCTCCTAACAGATCATTGATTAATTTGTTGGCATGTAATAGGAAGCATAAAAATGATTATTGGTAGATTGTTAATAAGTTTCATGGCCACAGCGCTCACGTGACTCACCTAAGCCTTCAGTTTATCAAATTATCATTGGATTCTGTCTGAGACATCCGACAAATATAATTGTATGGAATATATGCGTTAACCTAGTTTGCTACTAGAGTATAAATGATTCAGCTGCAATTTTTAACTACGGAACCTGGATTTGAACCCCCACCCCGTGAATCTCCAACTAAGTGCTTTACCAACAGAGCTACCTGACCAACTGATATCGAACCCGTCAAACAAAGACACTGCCCCCTGCTTTAAGGTCGTTGACACCCGGAAGACACCGACCCAGGCTCTTACCCGGCAGGTCTTTGCCTGGCAGTTCCAGGACATGGTATGGTAATAAATGTAACGCAAGCAGGAAAATGCAACGGAACAAATATGGTTCAAATCCAGGTCTGTTCCGTCGCATTTTCTTCTTTTTTATTACAATTGAAAGTGGCCCAGTGGTTTGAAGAAGAGAAGCTGAAATGTGACAGATGTACAGACGACGCTCGACAGACGAAGTGACGGAAGCATACCAAACACTCTTCGATCGTGGGTTCAGGTGAACTGAAATTAAGACTTTTAAATCGACAAAGTTCAACTCACTGTCAGTTTCCATCCTAGCGCCTCCTACTTTAGTCTGAAGAAGGTTCGTGCTATGCTATGATACCAACATGATTAAATGTAGCATATTTTGTTTTGAGTTAACTTCACATCAATTAAATTCATAAGTTAACTTATGGCGGTTGCGAGGTCACAGCTGTACCAGATTCTCAGATATAATAATTTTCAATCGATCCTCAAAACTCTCACAGAAACATTAATGAACCGAGATTCTGCTCAAAGTTCCTTATATTCTCGCAAACGGAATAGATTGTTTAACAAATAAGCAATTGGTGGTAAGTCAAATGTAGATTACATTAGTTTAATAAACCCCCTACTTTTCTGATTAAACAAAAATGTATAGGACTCGATTAGTTCAATCATCAATGCATTGTTTACGTTTACTTTGTTGATAAGTTATATATATAAAGGTAAGCGACCTTTTATGGGCTCCTCCATCCCCTTCATATTTTCTCTCTCTCTCAAAAACCCCCGTTAAGGATATATAAGATAAATAATTGATACAATCAATAATAAAATTTTGATGCATGGATTCACATATACATGAACATGTATATCCCTTGACCGATTCTAAGCAGAAATGACATGCATAATAATTTAATAAACCCTTAAAATGAAGTTTCCCGGTAATAATATTTCACTGTATTTTTTTATGATCCCGTAATCGAAGATTCGGAGGTATTATTAGTTATCCAGGTTCAATCAAGGGTGTACGGGGATTTACCCCGGTTTTTTTTCCATACACCCTGAGGCCGCAGGCCGAAGGGTGTATGGAATAAAACCCGGGGTAAATCCCCGTACACCCTTGATTGGACCTGGATAACGAATTTATTTCCTCTGTACCAATAAAAATGCTTTGTAAACATCAGAGTGTGTCTCAGTCTATCGATTAGATAACTACGTACTGAGAATGTATGCATACATGACGTCACGTTTTATTTACACCCGGCTCAAGTCGGGTGCACGGATATTTACACCCGACTTTGTAACCAATCAAAGCTCGTGTTACAAGCTAGATAGGAAATAAATAGTTTTCCCTGCCCATCCGTCTGTCTGTTTACAAACAGCAAACACTAACCTTGCAAATAACATTTGATTGGTTGGGGCTATGACTTTCTTATTTCAGATGTGTATTCCTTGTGACAAAGCCTTCCTTTGGGTACCAACATATTTGACTTTGACATACTTTTGAAAAATATTTTGGCCGTTACTTTTGAACATTTGATACTAGTTAAAGCTTTTTAAATCTCACATGTATAATGATTGTGACCTTTTTAATCATGGCAATACCTTTTTAACAGTTTTTTTTTCTAGTGCCTTCAATTTCACAGGTGCATTCCTTGAAACAAGACCTTTGATTTGATTTCAACAATTTGGACATTTTGGCTTGACCTTGGAGTTAACCTACTTTTGCAAAACTTAAACTTTGCCGTAATATTTGAACAGTTGATGCATAGCTTTAATGTTTCACATGTATTTTTCTAATGACAAGGCCTTCCCCTGGGTACCATTAATTTGACCTTAGAATTTGACCCTCATTTAAAAAAATAATATGGGCAATACCCCGGTATAACAACTACATGTAAATGGTTGGTGCTTGGGCTTTTATTTTACAGGTTTTATCATTGCCACGAGTCTTATCTTTGGATAACAACATATTTCTTTTCTTTCTTTTTTTTTTGACAGTGGAGTTTGACTTGCATCTGAGAAACTTCGCCAAAAGCTGCCATGCGGGGGCATCAGTGTTTTACAAACACATCATGTTTTCTTTTTTTTCTGACAAGCCGACTGCCCCGCCTCTACCTTTTCCCTTTTGCTTTTTTCTTTATCATTAAAAACAAAAACAAAATCACGTACCTGACCACAAAGATTACAATTAATGATATTTGACATTAAAAGCACATTCCTTTTATTTGCATAATAATGCATGAATACAAACTTTTGGAATTAAGAAAACACGGATGTCAATCACCAACGTCTGCAATGTTTGACGTCAAGCAGACGATAAGGAAAGTAGCTTGATTTAAAAACTCCCCCACTCTCATTTTTCTTCTCAAGACATCCAAACACCTTTATTGTAAATCTACACCTGTCTTCGAAATGATGCATTTTCTTGACTTAATTTTGTATACATATCCAAATCAACCAACGTGAATTGGCGTTGCCTTACACTTTCGAACTTTATTACCTGTGATAAGGATGAATTATTCATTCGAACCAGATAAAAATTTCAATAGATTTGAAATCGATGAACTTGACGTTGACACAAATACAAATAGAATATTATGTCAAAACCTCATGTTTTGGTGTGACACAGTGGAAAAACTTATTTGGACTCCTTAATTAATGCCCAGTGACTGATAGGTTAAACTGCCATTGACAAGGTTTAGTGAAGAATAGCTGACACGAATAATATAATTGTAGTATTTAGCCGGTGGCTACATTAAGTTAACAAGTTGTGTATTTATTATAAATATGTACATATATATCCAGTCTCTGAAATGCATATTGAGGGAGTTTCTCCTACGTTCAAGTGTGTTGAGCTCCCCCATCCTCCACAATAGAATGTTGTTTTATCTTATATGCAGGTTTGTTTTTTCTCTAATTATTCTTTAAATACATCATCTGCAAAATTAAAAGCCAGACACCAAGAAAAAGGGCATATACATTATAATATTGCAGGTACGAGAATACCTGAGAAAAGTAAAGACTTACCTATTTAGAATTAATGTACCGATAAGCCCTCCGCCTTCTTAACAATTCTGAAGTTTGTTAGTTGGGCCCTATTCTTAAAAGAAGCCCACGTTTGTTGAGTCACGTGACATCGGCTGTCATCTAGTTAGTGTAGACAAGAGCAAACAGGAGTTTTGTTTGTTTCCAATATTTACTTCCTAAAATTTATACCTGTATTACGTAAAGCACATAAACATTAATAGGTGCAGCAGATACAATTCGAGAGGTCTTCAGGTGTACAACTGTCCACTGTTCAATTTGGAACAGTTTAAATAAACGAGAGCATTTTGGCTACATCAGCTTCAAGAATTTTTCTTTGGAAAGTTTCTTTCGGCAAAATTGGGCACAAGCTTGCTAAGCATTCCAGATGATGGTTATCTCTTTCTCCGAAACATCCAGTCCCACAGTTTTCATAACCATCAAAGTGACAAGCATGTGCTCCTAGATCTGACGTGTAGTTACGGACCAAATTCAAAATCGCTTTCAGTTGATACTGTTCCTGGAATATTGCAATTGATATATATATATATAGTAACAGGCTGATTAGAATGGAAGTTATTTGCTTTAATGAAGAGGTAATTAGATAAAGTAAATTTTCATTTCTTTTTAAATTTAAACTATGTAGTTAGTCCATTAAAATCGAGTTAAATTGCAGAGTTCACAATTCACGAGGGATATATACTCAACAAAAAAAGAAACGCATATTCAGATTAAACATGATAATCTAAGTTTTCAGTTTACTCCTTATTTTTTTATCAGTGATTTTAGAGGGTTTTGATAAAAATTAAACATGTCCTGTGTTGCGAGTAGTAAAGTTAAGTTTATGTCATTGTCGACGCCTCTTAATTCTTGGGGCATACCGTCTAAAATATCCATATGTCCTTTGCGACGTCTAAGCGCAACTGGATTTCCAATGTACGGATGTCATGCATAAATACCAGCTCCTCTCAGTCTCTTGCGAGCAATTTATGCACTTTTATGCTGATTTTTTCATCCAGCAAGTGTAGCAGCAGTTTTTACAGCAGTTCTGAATCGCGTGAGGTGCTGAAAAGGGGGGGTGTCTGACGGTCCTGCCTGGGTGTGGTTACCTGCGGATAGCCAATTCTTGGTCTTCCGACGTTAGTTTAATAACTGCATTGAACACTGATGTGTTCCAAATGCAGTTGCAACTTCCTGTTGCGTAGCTGCATTTAGTATCATCGTTAGCCTGGTTGTGTTCATCTTTGTTTCGGCATGGCATTGCTGCATCAACACTGCAATCAAATCTTAAATATGGGTTTAATAGGAGTGATAATAGTTTCTCTAAATCCAAAATATCAACGAAAATAGACATCCGATTTAGAAGAAATCGTGAGAAACAATACTTTCATAAATACATTTAATCAAGGGAGATAATTCAACACTTGGGTTTTAAAACCCCATGTTGTCCTTTAAATAGGTCACAGGTACCCAATGATATAAAATATAGTTGTTCCATGTACATTTTAAAAGATGCTTTGACGAGTAAAACAATATGCGTTTCTTTTTTTGTTGAGTATATTATACTAGTCCGCAGTATAGATCTGATGTGATAGAGATGCAATACGATATGGCATGGGTTGTTGCCATTGCAGCTTTTTAACAAACTTGTTTACATTCATTTAATATGTTTTTGTTCATGAATGAAATATTTAAACAAAGTCAGGTATTCAATGTTTAATGTTTCCTTAAGGTAGTATTATTATGGATGAGTAAAAGAAGTTTTCCAAATATTTGTCAAGCATTAGCCTACGTTTACCCCTAAAATTATTTTACTCCTGTATGCTTCACAGAATTCTGTTGATTCTAACATAATTTTTTACACCATCGGTGATACTTTGTTGTATGGATGATTGGTTTTATGCAAGAGTAACAGAAAAAAAATGAATTGGGTATACTTTTTTCGCAATATAAGATTTGACCTATTTGAAGCTGTGAAACCAAGGTCGTACTAGTACTCACATCTATCTGGAAATACCATAGCAGTGTATAATAAAGTATCAGTCCCAATTATGACAAATGTGTACCGCAGCCAAATTGAGTCTGGGGATGGTAGAAATGATGTTTTAACGTCTCAATGTCAGTGAGACTTTATTTCGTATGAGGAGAACAAAAAAAGGGGAGTTTTACTAGTATACACAAACAGCGTAATCTGAACAGCACAGCCCCTGTTTATAACTGTGGTAATTTACTGTTTAAGTAATATGAAAATTATTACGTGTAAAAGTTCCACATCCTTGTCCCTTTTTAACACAATTTCTTTCATTTACACAAAATGACATCAGATACATGTAACTGTTTCAGTGGTATTTTGATATTTAGTACAATGTACTAGTCGGTAGAATTTAAGATATTAACAAATATCCCACACGAAATTCAGAAGATTCAAAGATTATCTGGCCAACATTGGGACGGAATTAGAGAGGATATTTTTATTGGGCAAATATATTAGTACAACACCATGCTTGAATAATTGGGGCGTCTGTGAAACGGGTAAAAAGTTTTAGTGTGACTGACGAACTGTAGATTTGTATACATTTATATACTTTGATTGCTTTGAGTATATTTACGCATTGTAAAAGTAAAAATTATATTGGTCATGGCACAATAAATATTCTAATACTAGTACATTTTGCTCATTTTCGAGTTTTTGTTGCATGAATTTTTAGTACGAAACAGTGCCCAGACGTGCAAAAACATTATTTTGCATTCATTTACTACTAAAATTTATTTTCAGACGAACTTTTATGGGTGCACTAGAAGAATTTTGTTGACAAGAAAAAGTCTGTTTTCACCGAATCCTGGCACCGTAAAAATTCGGAACATAACAAGAGGGGAACACCTTAGATAACCCATTATATACTAACCAATAGCCATCGCCCACTATAGGGAACGAACTAGGAAGTTGAAAGAAGTAGAAATTATGACCCCGACACATATTCGAAGAATTATCGACATCGAATATTCTTTAAATCATTCATAACTTTATCAGACGTTCCATGGTTGTCCTGCATACCAGACTGTTGTATTTCCCCCCTTCTCTTTAATCTTTTATTGCAAACACCTATAACGGTATATGCAATTCTTATCTCGATTTAAAATTTACGATCGCGTGGGTGACCTTTGAATTTATTTTTCATAAAAATATACTGGGGTATATATATATATATATATATATATATATATATATATATATATATATATATATATATATATATATATATATATATATATATATATATATATATATATATATTTATCATGTGAATGTGAAATATTTTAAATAAACATGTCATTTTTATTTAGTTTTACATGCATGTATACCATTCAAAAAGGTTTTTTTTTTAAGTTTTAGGTTTTAGGTCTCCTTGAATAAATATTTAATACAACGTGTTATATCTATGATTTTGTATAGTATATACGAGAGAATATTTAATCAATGGACATTGAGATTTAAATCTTGGAGAAAGTTGTCAGAAAAAAAGTTTCCTGGCAACGATATCTGACCGAGACTACTTAATCCTAGCACACCCTTCTCAAAATGCCATCATTGATAATTATACGTCATGTCCATTTCCGCTTTTTATCGTCAGTACTGTTGCTCAAACATGCTCTGGACAATGAGATACTCTTCATTGTTTGCTTTGTTTAACTTTTCATATGTACGAAGATTTTTTGACTATTGAAGTATAGCTAAAATAATCTCTTTTTTTGGAAAGATTAGTAATCCCACGTGACTTTTAAGCAGGGAGACCACGATAAAATTGAAACTATTCTAAAATGTTTCATTTGACAGTTCGGGAGTCAAGCCTATCAAATGATTTATTTTATAGCGTTTATCTTCACCTCAAAGATATTTGCCGCAAACTGCACTATGAAGTGTGGTTGTTTTAAAATCGGAACCGCTTACAATACGTTAAGTTGTGAAATGTATGTAACACAACACACAATATGATTTATTAAGAATAAGAATTTTTGACACACTTCTTTATTGCAAATATAAACATCTTCTAAGTTTTTTTTTGTTTTCAAGCGATGATTTTTTAAAAATATATAATTTAAATTGATCCAATCGGATTAAACCTAAGAAAGCAGAGAGAAAGAATGTCTTTACAGTTAAATTTTCAGATTGATAATAACCGAACACCGTTCGATTGATTACTGATAATATCACTTATCGATGAAACACCTCGGGAAGTTTGATCGGTTAGTGATCGATTACTTTTTGTTCGATAATTGATCGAAAACCGATCATACTAAGTAACGCTCTTGAACAAAACATAAATTCTGTAAAAACTATTTAAGCCGCGACATTTATGCAATCTATTTCAATGCGAGTTCCAACCTTTATTTTCATTCCTTTTTCGGTATTTTTCATGCTCTTCACATTTTGCATTCTGAAACTCCGTGCTTATATATATATATATATATATATATATATATATATATATATATATATATATATATATATATATATATATATATATATATATATATATATATATATATATATATATATATATATATATATATATATATATATATATATATATATATAATTTGACCAGTGCGTGTCGGGTTAGGCAGGTTTCACTGTACTAGATTAACGCAAAAAATTTGGTACCTATTTTATAAAATCAATGTTCATAAAATTAGAGCCTAACTTTTCCAATGTTTTACTGAGCGGACGATGTTTGACCGAGGAGTGAGATTTTGGACCCGTCGATGAGATGTTAGACCTAATTTGTACGGGATCAATGTTGATTTTTTTTTTGTTCGGTTTGCGAGATGTTACGCTCCGAAATTCTGATAGTCGCTGTATATCTATGAGTTTGACTTTTAAAAAACATTGTTCTTGTTTATACATTTTGTTTGATTGTATGGTGTTTAACGTCTCTCTCGAGAATTTGTCACTCATATGGAGACGCCACCACTTGCCGGTGGAGAGCTGCAAATTTTGTCCACACTTGACACTCAGGGCAATTGAGCATTGAGGGATTTTTCTCGTGCCAGCACCTACTGCGACATGGGGCCTCATCCAAAGGACCGGTCTCCACGTCCCACAGTGGGATTCGAACCCACGACGTAAGGATCGACTTCTTATTTCGCGACTGTAGAGCCATAGGCGTCGGAACCGGGGGGGGGCTTTAGCCCCCCCCCCCCCCAACTTTGTTTTTGCAGATATATATACATAATATAGGCACTGAAAATTGGATTTTACCTTTTTTGTTAGTTTAGCCCCCCCCCCCCAACTATAAATTTGCTTCCGACGCCTATGAGAGCAGACGCTCTACCCACTGCGCCACGCAGGCGACTACACGTTTTGAAATGTTAGTGCTAAAGCCTTCATATTTCACAAGTGTATTTCTTGTGAAAAGACCTTCCTTTGGATATAAACCATTTTGCATCTAACCTACTTTTTGAAAATCATTAACCAAGGGCCATTATTTTTGAAAAATTGGAGCTAGGGCTTTAATACTTCACTTATATTTCTTATGGAAATGTCTTCACCTGGATACCTTTAATTTGACCTTTGAGTTGGACCAACATTTCACAAACTTATATATTTTTCACTTATATTCATTGGGAATTCCTTTCTTTTAGTAATAACATTTGTTATCCCTTGACCTTGGAGTTTTAATTGCAGTAAATATTTCAGATTAACTTTTATCTTCGTCAAAATCTGCCATATGGAGGCATAAAGGTTTTACAAACATATCTTTTTTTTTAATCATTAGCACTGAAGTTGTATGATCTCAAGGCAATATAAACATTCAAAACTCAAAAAACTTAGATTCATATACCAACATTTTAATTTCATGCTCTTCTTAAGCATTGTTTATAACAAATGAATAAAACATATACTTCTCTACAAAGTACTTGCCATGAACATGCATATATCTGAACTGATAAAAAAAATTGTCTTAAATTGATAACAAGACAGAAACATTGAATAGAAGATAAACAAAATTTACAACTGAACGCCAATACAATGTTATTTATCATTTCAAGACCATGTATTGATTTTTCTTCAAATCAAGGAAGTTAATCTAAAAGATTGGACGAATATGTGTACTTTGTACTATTTTGAGAGCAAAATGTTATCAGTTGTATGCCACAGTGTTCAATATGACATGTCATTTTTTTTTACGTTGATAAGAGAGAAAATATAAGCAAACAATGACATTTTGTAGCACTAGGTACACTTCAAAGTCTCAAAGACCACAGAGTTTTATAACTTCAAATCTTTGCACTGAGTTTTGTAGAAAAGTGTTTGAATTCACTTCATATAATAAATTGTACCTCAACAAAATACATGTAGAATTCCAACTGATTCATGATTTTACACTGCTTATGGTAATAGTGTACATTATTGAATATCTATATTTACTTTGTATTTTTCCAAATAAACTAAAAATGGAAGATTTCAAAAAATTTTTCTCCTGTATTTCTCTCGTACTTTGGACCGAATTATCTTTGAAACCAAAATGGCATACAAATGTCCGAAATATCAGGGCCAGGAGGACTATTAACAACGATTATGAGGAATCTTTTGTTTTTGAAAGAGTCAATGTTAGGAACACACGGTTATATATTTTGAGATTACAGCTTTAAAAACATGGAGAAATAAATCGAGAACAATATTAGTTTTTTCAAGCTATAAATAATTTTTTTTCGGAGAGCTACAGATCTGCAGCTAGGTAATAGTGTAATAATAATATCTATAACTTTGTATTAAATAAATACAATTTTCTATTTGACTTAATTCAAACAAAGGCAATCAAATAATTACTAAGCTCACCTCAATGCTATATACAAAGAGAACAAATTTGCTATAAATAGATGTTCTGGTACTTGAAGTGTGCATCCCAGAATGCAACACTCATGTAAGATTGATCAGAGATGGACTTTTGGTAACTTAGAATTGATTTTCCCTAAATACTGATGCTGCATCAGAAGTAGGTCTTGTACTGTGAAAAACTAGCATAATCCATTCAGATTTTTAAATTGCTCCAAGCTGGCTTTAGTAGGCTCTATACTTAAAAATAGAACAGTTACTGATTTATAAAATGTTAGGTGAGAGATACTGCACCCGCAATAGATGCAAGTGTAGTAAACATTCTTGGATGCATCATCCATGCAAGTTTGGTCCATGGAGGGCTTATACATGTAGTTACTTTGGAATGGATTTGCTCCTAATACTTTATCCTTTATTCTGATGTTAGAACAGTTGCCAATTCTTCAAGTATAGCTAATTTTTGTCAAAATGAATTAAATATATAATTTAGGCAAGAATGTGCTCTTTTTTCTAACAACAAAAAATTTTGCAAAAGGCTATTTTATGAACTATTTGATTCTATTTCACATCAAATTCAACTTTAAAACATACATAAATTGCAGACTCAACAATTTTAAAACATTATTTTAACATAGTAATTGATTTTCAATTTCTAACACAGCATAAAAGACATTATAGAAAGAGAAATGTGGCTTAAGCTTGCAACTGTAATTATTAAAGTTGGGAGAAAGACATGAAGAGTCCATAGAACTGAACAATACTTAAAACTGTGAAAATGATTCACAGGTCTGGAATCATATTTTCACATTATGTAATGTCAAGAATCTTCAGATGGTTGCATAGTGAATCCTATGGGATCAAGTTAAAATAATTCTCATTATTTAAAATTTTAGTAAATATATCTGTAAACCAGGTATTTATAAAAAAAAAATACAAAATACACATTGTATATTAATAAATATTCATTTATATGAATAAATTCATATTCATTTAATGTCATTCTTCAAAGCACACCATTAATTTCCCATAAATCACTGAGTACATGAAATTTTCTATCAAGCCTCATCATGCTCATACATTCATCTACACTAACAATAATGCATCTTAAAAATGAACGCTTAATAAGGGGAATAATCCTTCACAGAACATTGAAAAACTGTGTACAATAATTCATCAACATGTACATTAAACCTTGATACAACAGATTTGTGTATCACTGGGCAAATAATGACTGAATTCAAACAAGGATACAACATGGAATCATTAACAATAGGCCTGATCACAGAGTAGCATCTTGTTGTATAAACTTGTTCCCTTTCTCTTCACAATCATCATCAGAGCTTACGTCCATCTTCTTCATTTATACCAGTTCACACACAGGTAAAAAAGTGCACCATCTGACAAATATTTTATATCTCTTAGTAGCTTTAATATGATGATTTTGTTTTCTAGAGAAGCAATACAATGTACTGTATTGTGAATGACATTTTGGAATTTAATAAAGAAAAAAAAAACATGTATAACTAATAATAATTCTAAATACACTTTTGTTTGAAAAACTCTGTCTTATTCCCCTCTTATTCCCACCCCCAACCCCCCAGCACAACAAAACTGTCTGAAAATGGTACCTTATACAAAAAATTTATCCATTCACTCTGAATAAAATCAAAGTCAAATCTTGTCGAACACGATGGGACCAAGGAAAAAATTTGAGATATCCGATGATTCGAGATATTGAAGGTTAAATACTTAGAGAATAATTGGTTGGGACTTCCAAATCAGTTTGACATATCCATGGTATTTGAGATATTGATGTTTGAGAAACCAAAGTTCAACTGTATTTTGTTTTAGCAAATAGTGAGAAAGTATTGAAGATCTCCACTTTAATTTGTAGAACATGAAATATGTTCCCAACTCAAAAAGAAAAAAAGCAATACTTTAAACTCCATGTCTAAAATGTATGATATTCTGTATATTTATTTTCAGATCATTCATTAAATTTTATTTTACACTATGAATGGTCAAGTGTGTAAGGCTTTATTCTTTAAGGTATATTTTTTTTATTAAATAGAATATTTTCAAAATTGATATAATGATTCACATTACTCATAAATTTGATGTCCCTAAAATTAAATTATATCAACCACATTTCATCAACCCTAGAGTTGTACACAGATAACTAAATAATTTAATTAACCACAGTATTAATTACCATAGTGAGAAGAGATCTCCGGCTGAGGGGAGGGGGGCCAGACCCCCGTCTATGTCTGGCAGTTTGGACAGATCTGGGAGATTACGAATGTGAGACATCAACTCCTGTCTGACAGCACCCACTTTTTCCAGTCGCTGTTTGGACTCCTGATGCAGAAAAAAAGAGAAAATTTGTTCTGAGAAAATGGACTATTTACTGTAAAACGAGAAAATTTGGTGCATACCTATTTTAGCGCAAACACAAGTGGGAATGCATTGGCGTAAATAAATTTTAGTGCTTGCACTTGTCAGTAAAATATATAAATGTGATATTTTGGGTTTTTTTTATCCACATTCGTATTTGACCTTTTGGTTAGTTAAACATGGAAACACATTAATACTCCTGTATATCAGTAAACATTCGTTAACTTTGCCGCGGTACGTGTTTCTATCACAACGTGGTACATGGTACAATGTTAAAATTTATTTTATTTCTATTAAAAGGAATGGAATATTTACTCATTTAAATCATATCAAAACAATGCTTGCATCGACAGAAAATTACTTAGACTAACTTAGATAAAACGGTAATCCTAATCAGGTATTGTCTGCAAGCTCAATCGCCATGCTTGATTCAATGATTGCTTTGTTTACCTCGAGGCAATAGATGATTGCAGAGAAGCCAAACTTTGAAGGTGCTAATGATAATAATCGGGTAACAACTACCGGGGTAACAATAGTTTAATTAAATTATAATTTGGCAGAACTTTTTGATTTCCGAACGGTTTGTTCCCGTTTTGCACACATTTGAATTACATGTAATTAAAGAATGTGTGAAAAATGGGAATTAGACCAGGTGAGATAATCACTTAATTGTTATAGTCTATACCATACTAAGTATGTAGGTTAAAGGTGAACTTATAGTGAAAAAATTAGAGAATAAATACAAAGTTTATGTATTTAATATAGTCACTTTGATGTTATAATTATCTGATGATGGGCATTATTTTCAAATTAATTTTTATTCTCTATTTCTTTTTGGTATCTTTAATTCATTTAGGATTTTATCATGATTGAAAAGTAAAAAGATTGAAAAGTATCCTTTTCTTAAGAAATTGGACTTAAAAAAATAAATATTAATAATTTATTTTACAAAATATTCAATAAAATCAAATTTTTACCATGAATATATATAGAATTTTAATAAAATGCTTATAAAATTGTATTAAACTTCTTAAGAATACATTAAGCTAAATCAGGTATTCACAGGTAAATCCAGGTAAATCCTAACCAGAGATCAGACTATAATTGCTATCAAAACACACGTCACACCTATTGTTTATACCTAATTATCAAATGTGTGCAAAACGGGAACACACCTTCCGAACATGTTCAGTGCAAGTGTGTATATAAAATCCAATGAACCTTCGACATTACGTAATTGCGCGTTCCGGTTTACATGTACTTATGTAAAAGCTTTGAACACACACAAAAAATTATATTTAGAAATCCTTTAGCGCACAATAAATTTTAGTGTTCAGGGGCTCTTGCGCCAAAGGCGCTAAAATTAATAGTGCGCCAAATATTCTCGTTTTACAGTATTACTTTTATACACATTGATTCATGCTATTTATCTTAATTTCTGGCTATCCTATCAAGTAAGCATTTCAGTTTGAAGTATAAATTACAGGAAGAAAAGTTGAGGAGATTTAAAGACTTGCAGATGGACTACCTTTGATTCTTCAGTAAAACACTTAAATATTTCGGTAATTTTACATAATTTAAAAAAAATGACTAAAGTATCAAAAACTCAAGTGAGAAGAATTGTTCATGTTTTCAGTGTCTGATCTCACAATTTAATTAGCTGAACATCAGCAATATTTTCTACCTGTAGTTTTTCCTCCCCTTTGACAACCTGATCTTTTTGACTTGTAAGGAAATCCCTCAACATCTTCCCCACTTGTTTTCTCTCTTCCAGTTCTGCATTCAGGCGGAAGTTGTATTCTGATAACAAAATACAAGCATCTTCTACTTGTCTGAACAGTTTCACAGCCGTTTCTTTATCTAAATAAATAAAATGCATATTAAATATATATTGTATTCTTTCCAAGTGAAGTGAAATATATGAGCATTTTTAATGCATATTTCAAAGGTTGATCTTCAACTCAACAAATTATTAAATCTGTCAAAGCTCATTTTATTTCTTTTCAACAATACATGTAGTAAAAAAGGGCATTTTTATTGCATATTTAATATTTTCTCTTAAATTCAGCAAATTGTTATATCTCAAAGTCTGTTTAAAAATGTATCTCAAAGATTTCAAAATAACATTGTATACTGTAAATAACTTTTTATTCGCGAGAACTTTATTTTCACGTAATTACGCGAGACGGTGTGCTCGCGAAAATTTAATTATCGCGTATAATAGTATTCCTTAAGATTATATAGAGCAATAACCAAAATTCGCGAAAATTTTGTCTCGCTAATCAAGAGTCAATTACTATCTCGCAAAAATAAGGTGTCGCGAAAATTTAGTGATCCACAGTAGGCAAATCTACGTTCCTTTCCAGCCACATGAGATTTAATGAAGAGAAACTGACCGGTGATTTTGGACAGATGATTAATGTCTGAGACATCAGGTGGCAGGGCTGCAATCTTCTCTCGAACTGCGGCATCACTAGATGCTGAATGTTCTAAATCAGCCAATCTCTTCACCAGCTCTTCTGCCTAAAAGTACGACAATAAAGAAAAAATGTATTCTTATTCTATGATTGTAGCTTCTGAAAGCATTAATTTTCATCTTTATTTGAAGGAAAAAGATGTGCGCCATTTAAAAGTGTAAAATGTTAATGATGTGTCATTTCGTTTAAAATGAACTTATGTCCTTACATCTGGGACCACAGGGTTTTCATCTTTAGGCATTGCCTCTATTTCTTCTCTTAGAGACGGCATTTCATCCATCTTCTTCCTCTTTGCTGGGGGTGTGGCCTTTTCTGTATTTTGCACTACAAAACAGTTTCAACTTTTAAAGCTTGCATTTTTTATTACACATTACCATGATGTAATAGGAGATGCTGGAGTTGATCCAGAGAGATTCATGTACATGTATTTTAAAATATTTTACCTGTTAAAGTGGCAAATGAAAAAAGCATTAAAATTTACATAAGAAAAAATATTTTTAAATATTTTCTCCTTATTAAGCTTTATATAGGGCTATATTAATGTTTGGGGGTAAAAATCATACTCTGGCAGTAAGAATTTATAGATATATCATAAATCATGATCTAGAACGCTTGATTTCATTTCTCCTTAGTATTTCAATGAATGTCTTTAAGAAAGATCTAATTAAACAAAAAGTTTGAAAAAACTGTTAATAAAAACCCATCAAGTTCCATCATGCATATTTGAAATATATATCAAAGAAGAATTTGAACAATCAAAATGTGCATAACCTTCATTAAAAGCATACCTTTTAAATGTAGCGATTTTAAAACTTTATAACGGAATGCTTAAAAGATACTACCCTTAGTAGGAAATTTATAGGCATTTTTTAAAAAAGTTTATTAAAGATAAGTGTTCTTGAAAAGTTCATTTTATATTAAGTTATTTGTATGGATGAACCACATCAATGTTCATATTCCTACAAGAAAAACAATGCTCGGTGAAATGATCAGCACCTTTGAACCCCTTCTTCTTTAGCGTCACTACATATTCCTCCACCTTTTTCTTGCGTTGGGATTTCAAGTCAGAATCAGAGACAGAAGTGGCTACAAAGACAAAAATAAAATCCCTCTATACCAAAAGTTACCCACAATCCAATGGGTCAGTGTTGTTCTGATCATCTTTGTTGTGTCAGGTGATCTAGCAGCTCCAATCAGAGGCTCACAATTCGAAGATTGAGAGAACTTGTTATTATCGGTACCCTGAGTATCATGACACAGGGACAAGACAGATGTCATCAATTTCAACAACAATGAAAGAGAACAAATGAAAAATTCCTGTGAAAGAAATTTTTGATACAACAGAGATATTGGTAGATAGGGAAATATAAATAGCTTGGATATGGGAGTATAAAATACTTTTTATTAAACTAGCAAATAGAATGCTTCCCATTGTCATACACAGCTGCTTGATAAAGAATATTCCATGAATGCTAGATTAAGATAACATGCTCCATATCACAATAAAAACATGCTTGTCTCTAGCTGTACCCATGCAAGATCCCAAAGAAATAATCATTTTACATGTTTTAGTTTTACTTTACCCACTTAACAATTTATGACTTAAAAAATATCTGCACTTATGAAAATTCAGTTACAGAATTAAAGTTGATTCAGAGACAAGATTTAAATAACTAGGTAAAGGATATATGTTTACCTCCAGGTTTAGATAGGCGGATTTGATCAATGAAGTGTTTGCTGTACACAGCTCTTTCCTCCCAGATTCCAAGGATTCTGTCCACAGATTTTTTGATCTTGTCATCTGCATCCCTTTGGTAAAATTATGTATACTATGAACTAGCAATGCTAAATTTATAACCTACATATACTAGTACTTATATTCACATAATTTCCATACACTGAATTCTCTTTGTATTTTTTTCTTTTTCAGTTGATCTATTGTAAGAACAACTAATAGAAAGGAGTCTAAAAATTATTAATACCCCATTCTCACATGCAATGATGTTGAATATCTCTTACTTGGTGGAAATTTTGTATGCCTCTGGTAGAACTGTGGCAAAGTCTTTTGTAAATTCTGGTCCTTTCTTTTTGCTGTTCTGTATAACATCATTAGCCAAGTACATAAAGGTTAGTCTTTGACTGGGTCGAACTGAAATAATCCAAGTACAACCTGTTATCTCATATATAACATATCATAATTATACCTTTAGGCTTTAATGACATCTGTGAACACAGTGCTCTGTGTCATGTGCATCGAACTTCCTTTATTCACCTGCAAACTTTAGTTTAAATTGTTAAACTTTTAAATGTTGGCAAACATTTTAAAACACTTTTACTCATATTCTTGTTAAATGTGCCATTTACCTCCTACGAAATACTTAGGCTAATAAATACATGTAGGTATTTAATTTTTAACACCTTTCAAATACTGCAAATAACAGAGTTCAAGGACTAGAATTAAAAATTCAGACATCCCATTCTATTCTGTAAATTTAATAAATTTAGCTGCTCCTTTCTTTCAAGTAAGAGGAAAATGTTGTCCTTGTGAAAAACGTTTATGTCAGCATTCCATATGTTGTAAACAACATCAACTATTGTTGACAAACAAAATCTTACCTCTTTGCATTTCCCTTAGCCATACTTGAACGATTGTTTTGGAATGTTTGCGATGATGAATCAACCACAATGACAATGTCTGAATACTTTGCTGTGTATTATTCAGCTCTCCTAGCTTTTTAACAAAGTTGTTATCCGAAAAAGAGGACATTTTCCTCTAGACACCTGCTTCGCAAGAACCAAAACAAAAGTTATCTTCCCTGGCGGAAGTGAGAGAGATCTTCATAGGTTTTGATGAAGGGAGAGTTAGTTTATGTATGATTGTAAATATCTCAGGACTTGTTAAATAAAAGTCTTGAATGCAAAGATTAAGAAATTGATTAACGTTTTTCATTTAGTGTAAACCAAACTTTTGAAAAGCAACAAACTTTTTATTTATTATTTTGTGTATCTCAATCCTGTATACCCCTTCGAAATTTTGGACTCAACCTGTAAATAGATGGCACTTGCACCGGAAGTTGCATGAACACAGTGTAATAGAAAGCTGAGTCGGAGTTGTTTAAGAAACAATGCCGTATGCTAACCAACCAACCGTTCAAATCACACAACTATCAGAGGAGAACATAAAATATATTCTTGAGGATACAGATCTGAGGTATAAAACTGGATTTAGAAGTTGAGAATAATTTGTTAACCTTTCAGAGACTGAGAACTATGCATTACTATGCTACGGTGATAGGGCCATTTGCTAAAAGCTCAACAGCGCTTTCAGAAAAACAAGCCCTCACGCTAACACGCAACAATCTGTTACGCTAACACATGTACAAACAACACGCTGTCGCGCTAACGCACAACACGCTGTTGCCCTAAAACACAGTCACGCAAACAGCAGTTCATTCAACACGCTGTCATGCTTATTTTGACAGCACACAACTCACGACAGTGTGTTAGCATGACAGCATGTTGCTTGAAAGCGTGTAAGCACGACAGCATGTTGTGTGAACTTGTGACAGCATGTTTTGTGTTAGCATGATAGGGCATTGTACGAACTCGTGTTAGTGCAACAGTGCATTGTGCAGTCTCATGTTAGCTAGCGCAACAGCTTGCTGTGCAAACTTATGTTAGTGTGACAGTCTGTTGTGTGTAAGTGTGACAGCGTGTTTTTATGAAGGTGCTGTTGAGCTTTAGCAAATGGCCCTATCCTGACACTGTAAAGAACCCCAGTGAATTACCATCTTTCATTTTCAGCTTTTATGATATAGTTAAGTAAGCAGAGAATACTGTATACTAAAATTCATATCAAATGTCATATCAACCCTCAAGTGGTTCCATATCGCACAAGGGCCAAAGGCCTGAGAGTTGACATTGGGCATTATGTGGCCAATTTGGTCATTATAACAAGGTGACTTCCTTGAAGATTTATGAATATTAACTGATTAACTAGACTCTACTTGCATATTATTTGAATATATCTGGTGCTTGTTTCAGTGTCGCAAATGCTATTAGAAGAGTTTGCATTGCTGAAGTACCGACCATTGGTAAGTTTCTCTAATTATAACTTTGATGAGAATGTTGTAATTGCATGAATGCTAATCATGCCAATAGTATGAACACCTGTTATATATGATGATGTATCAAATGTTCAGTTTTATTTGGTGGTGAATTTATGATGTTTTTCAGCCATTGACTGGGTTCAGATTGAGTCCAATTCGACTGTCCTGTTTGATGAGTTTATTGCTCACAGAATCGGCTTAATTCCACTGACCAGCGATGAAGTGGTGGACCGCATGCAGTACTCAAGGGTTTGTTTAATGAATCACATTTAATAATATGCAGTACTTAAGGGTTTGTTTAACATGTTTAAAGATTGACATTTGTGTGCCTCTTGTTTTGATGATTACTAAAAAGATGTTAGTTTATAACAAAAGGAGTTTTTAAAACACATGTATATGGTTGTATTAAAGAAATTTGGTTAGTCTAGAAAGAATCAAGTTAAATATTGATAATTGATATGATATTAATGTTGCGTTGAAATTTTTGTTTGTGTAATAATTTATTACAATATAGAATCATTTATACAATAAGGCAATAAATAAAGCCTGTCTAATTTCAGGACTGTACGTGTGAAGAGTTTTGTCCTGAATGTTCTGTAGAGTTTACATTGGATGTGAAATGTACAGAGGACCAGACCAAACATGTGACCAGTGCGGACCTGATGTCATCCAATCCTAAAGTTGTACCTGTATGTATTCACAACTTATCACTTCTAGGATTGATAAATGTCAATTTAGACAAAGTACGTACATATCTTTATTGCATATTTATTTTACAACAGTTACAGCATAGTGAAATACATTAAATTTACTAAAAATATTCAGGATGATGTTTTTCAATGTCATGTACTAGGTGCGTATAGTTAAAACATAGTTATATTTTTTAATACATTTAAGATGATGCCAGTAAACATAACAAATTAAACCGATATTTAAATAAATCAATGTTAGATTACCATTGAAATTCAAAACAGTTAAAAGTTTTATAAAAATCCACAAAGTAAAAGAAATATATTAAAGCTTAAAACTAGGTACTAAAAGGGGCAACAGAAGAAAGCCTATTAAAATCAACTATAACAATAACAAAAATGTAAGCCTTTAGATATGCTGACCAACAACCTGATTGATATCCTGTAGGCTATACCGATCAGCAGGGTTAGTGAGAAGACAATGATTCACTAAATTTGTCAGTGATTCACTGGCAGTTGTAGGAATTTGTGGTACATTTCCCTGCATAATGTCCATGTAAGCTGAGAATGGGTTCTCCCCGGTTCTGTCATAGAAAGCTGGTTCTAAAGCAAGCATTTCATACACCAGACAGCCTACGTTCCAGGAATAAGCTTTCTCATCAGGATCCTGACGACTTAGGACCTCGGGGGCCTCATATATGGGGGCATTCATTTGGCCCTCCATGACTGTGACAGTTTCAGTGTTGTTAGCAGGGAGCATGTCTAATGAAATTTGACCATTTTTGAAGTATTTAATTTGAAGAGATGATATTCTGTTGATGGGAGATATATGACTATGACTAAAATAATGTATTAAACAGTTTAGTGTTTTCCATATGGTGGTGTGGTCCAAGGTGCTTCCAGATTCCTTGGCTTGGTTTATTTTCTCTGCTAAGGATTGGAAGGGCAGTTGGATACAGCACATGAAGTCACCTTCTTTAAATAAATCTATCACGCCAGGGAAATGGAGCACAGTATCTGAAAGCATGAAATTATGCATATAGTAAATGTGTCAAACAAAAGTGATTCATAACATATTTTAAAAGGATACCATCATGTCCTCTTGAAAAAAAATATTTCAATGATACTGTTAACATGAGCATTGCAGTTTTGACAGCCCTATTACTAGCAGGGCATAATGGTTCAATTTACCCGGTATATTAGTAGATAATAAATGATTATTTGATTTTAATTCTTTGAATCCTTACCTTTTGGTAAGACTCTGAAGATGACTTCCTCATTATTGAGACAACAGGTTGCTGGGTAACACTGCTGGACATGGTCCATAGGGCTGATACGTTCTACATCAATGATGAAGTCCTTTTTACTCAGGGTGCGAATCTTACTCTTTATAGAGTAAGGTAGTGGCAGTTTATAAACCTATAAACAGAGAACACAAGCATATGTTGTGGGTGACATACCGTTGATAATTTAAGTGCCATATCTGTGTTTCTTGACATTTAGCTTAATCTAAATATGGTCATTATTAGACAACAATAGACATACCTGGTTTATCCGATTTAGTGTTAGAGCCCGTATGATGACTTTTCTGCACTGACTTTGTAAGGTTGGCAGCTCCTCGGACCCTTCTTGCTCATAAACAGTTTTGGAAATAGGATCATATAATCTTAACATGATTGTCTTAACTTGTTTAACCCATGGCTGTCACAACCAATAAATAGCCTAGAAATTTGAAAACATTTCTAATCAGTAAACAATGCAGGAAATGAATGAATAACTTTGTTCTAAACAAAAATTCAGTCGTAGATTTAAGGTCAATGTCTATCTTAACTTTATTATATATCATTGAAATTTTGAAATATGACACAAATGGATTATTTTTAATGTTTGAATAACATTTGTTGAGTAGGTAACATCCAGAAATAAAGAAGAAACAAGTGAATATGAAGACACTGATGGTATTTTTTTTTACTTCTATTGGCTGTTTGTTTTGTCTTCATAAGTACTTATTTGGTGATAAATTCATATTCTATCTTATTCCTTATACACATATACAATAATATTCTTTAAAATGTAATATAAGCAAAAGCAGATGAGTTTAGAAAATGCCTAGTTTAAGACATTTGATAAAGAGGACAAATATTTAGGACATATTTTCATCATATTTTTTTTTCTGTAGAAATTGTCTTTCTTGGAACATGCATGATAAAACTGTGATTCTTGTATTTTTGCCAGATATTCTGATTGTAAAACTCAGAAAAGGTCAAGAACTGAAAGTGCGAGCTTTTGCAAGAAAGGGGTTTGCCAAAGAGCATGCCAAGTGGAACCCCACATGTGGTGTGGCTTTTGAGTATGACCCGGACAATGCCTTACGACACACCCTTTATCCCAAACCTGAAGAATGGTGAGCTATTTCCTAATTTTAAGTAACTTGATTTACTGCGGTCATTTCGTTTTGATTTAGTTAAAAGTGCCTCATTGTGACTGAAATTCTTGCAGTATTAGCTGGCCCACTCCCCCCAAATCTAAACAATCAGTCAATTTGTAATCAGCAATTAGTGATTCATCTAAAAAGGTTCTAAATTCATTGTCCATGAAATAAAATGTATATGATTCTAAGTTAAGGGTATGGGGGATATGTTGAAGATGCTTTTAACTGCATATTCTTTACCAATGAAAATCCAGCAAAGAAACTGTTCTAAAATTAAGGCCCCAGTTACAGTTTGTTTTCATATGCACTTCTTTGAATTCTGTTGTACCATGAAGTTTTTTGGGGGAAAACATGGACAGAGTATCTTCTAATGTTAAAATTTTCTGTGTTCAACAATTTATTTCTTTGATTACAGGCCTAAAAGTGAATATTCAGAGCTAGATGAGGACACACGTAAGTATTTTTCAACGGCGGCAATTTCAGAAGCCACAGGGAGATAAAATTTACCTTGAGTTGGTATTCTGTATTTTTTAATTAATTTCTTTTCTAGTTAATTGATATAAGGATAGATTTAGTGTAATTCACAATGGGGTATATTGAAAAAAAAAACATATGTCATCCTTGTTTTATCTTTTTACATTTTCTTTACAGATGAAGCCCCATTTGATGGTCTTGGACAGCCAAACAAATACTACATCAATGTGGAATCATGTGGATCATTGAAGCCAGAAAATATCATGTTCTCAGCATTAGCTGTTCTCAAAAAGAAACTCAGTGACTTACAAACTCAACTCAGTCATGAAATCCAACAGGATGTGTTAGCCATTTGATTTTGTTTTATTACTGTATGTGTTCATGTGATGAAAACATTTCTTCATTTAACACTGTCATTTCATATTTTCATATTACACAAGTCTCATTTTCATAAAACCGTTTTCTTGTGACATGGAGTTATTCTAGACACAATCAACATCCATATTTCCAATGTAAATTTTATTCAAAGTTGAAATAAATACATATTGAACATAATCTATTTTTCAGAGATTATTTTGAAAATTATATTTCATTTGTTCATTTATTGAAATTATTGAATTCACATATTTTTAATCATTGCCTTGTTACTGGAACTTTGCCGGATGTGTTTACTTTTACAGTTGATGGCTTACTTTGATATTTAACCCTTTGTTATATACAGAGGTACTGAATTGAATTAGTCTTTCAGAAAACCATAATAGTGGCTATACATATGGTGTAGGGGCAGTAAAATGATTTACCAGCAATCAACAGAAGATCAGATGGGAGACAGAATACAGGGCTGAATTAAAATACCTCACTGATGAGGAGTAAGGGTTGTATTTTCTTTCAATCTTCCTTTTTGAAGGAATCAAAGAAGGAAGATAAAACATTTTGGAAGGTAAACTAGGCAAGAATTGGTCAATTTTTGAAGAGTGGGAATGGAGTGTAGGGTGGATACCGTTAACTTCTTAATAGAAATATGCTTCGAAATGACTTACTGTTGTTTAAATAACAGTTAAGCCACATATTCACAGCACATACTGGTAAGAGCTTCTGTTTATTGTCATAGAGTAAAAGATAAACCGTTGATTGTAAAAGGCAGTGTTTATAGCTAAACACAGGAAAGGGAAAGCGGGGTCAGATTAAGCCTCTTTCCTTACAAGTACAGTAAAACATGTTTAAAGTCAACATGCTTGCAAGGAACTGTTTACAGCGAATTGATTTTTATTCTCCAAGATTTTAACTATATATCTTAAATCAATGTTACAAAAAAACAATATTTATCACAAAGAAAATTTATCTGTACCTGGTAGTGTATTATAAGCATATTTTATTGTATATGACTTTAAATTTCAAACTATTTAACCAGTTCTCCAAGTTTTCATAGGCGGGAGAGGGTCAAAGGTATTTTTATAAATTTATTATATAATTGCAGTAACTCTGAAAATGGGGAGGACGGGTCCCACTAGACTTTCACAAGTTTTAGGTTTCCAAAATTCAGTTGCATTTTAACCCCACTTAATGTATTATAGAATTGCAGTTCAGTATAAAACATTTATCTTCTATGTTATTTAATTAATCAGAGTAGGTATAAAAATACGATAACATACTTACCTTAGGTGTGTTTTCTCAACTGTGACGTCAAGGACTATGATGTCACGATTCTTTAACTTCATTATGACGTCATAAATAGTTGCAATTTTTTTTTACAATGAACACCTAGTAGTTTACGTTGCGTTTGCTAGCCAAGGTTTTGTATGTTTCAACTGTTTGTGGTAAGCTTAGCTAGCGAAGATGGGAATGTTTTAATAAGAAATTAGGGATGGAAACAGCTGGTTTGTTGGAGAGACAGATTTTCATACTACCGGGTAGTCATCACAGGCACTTGTTTCTGAAGTAAAGAATGGGTGGACTTAACGCCGCATTTTGGATCTTTTTGAGATTCCTATATCAAGCTCTTGTTGAGATAAATCCAAGATATTTTATAAGCATTGTGAAGATCTATGTATGCATGATTGTATTAGGCATAAAACTTTTACATAAGCAATACCTGGGAGTCACAAATCAAATTTGAATTAACTACACATAAGTATTGCCATCCGGAATTTTACATTTACCCGGTGTGGTTTTTAGGTCACCTAATCAATATTTATAGGAGGCGGGGCTATCGATTAGTGTCACATGGATGACGGCATTCCACAGCTTATTCTCTGTCTTTCTCTGTCTCTCTTTTCACTTTATATTTTTTATTAAAAAATGAAAATGAATGAAATATCACTAACTTTAAAATTGGAATGACTAGTTTGATTATTATGTTTATAATTTGTTCATCTATTAGAGAAAAAAAATGATATAGTTGACCCGCAAAAGTCAGTCGGCATTGCTGCATGTAACTGCATTCTATCCTGAACAAATACACATTCATGTCATTGTGTTTTATATATTGACAGGGATTCTGATCGAACAACTTTTGTTGTGAATGTAATTCGGACATTATTAATTTATATTTTATAACATTAAGTTTGCAAGGTAAAGTATTTCCGCATAAACTAAATACTGAAGTCATTAAAATACCTAAAGTGAATTTTACAAATCCAAAAGTATAGAAAGAGTGGTGAAATGCATTTCTTTATTATTATTACTATCATAAATTTTAATAAATTGTTTTAAACACTGCAAGTCACATAATGCATGCCGTCGAATAATACATGTAATTTAAAATAAAATCATTCGTTAACCCATGATTCATTGGATTAGGTCATATGTGTAATTTTTATTGGTTTTTTTGTTTTTACTGTAAACTTGTAAAGGATTGAAGAGTGATTGGGATATTGATATGAAAATTGCAGTAAAAAAATTGAATGGCATGACAGTTGTCTTTATATTTATATTGTCTATATATTTATATATATAATACAATAATTGCATTTTATAAATCTAATCCTGAATGTTGCAATTTTAAGTTCTAGAATGATAATTTTGCTATTTGTGTACTTTTTGGGAGTGGGTGGGGGTATGTTTCCTGATTTTACCACATCTGTCTGAGGAATACTTGATATACCTGAGTTTTTATTTACCGGTATTTTGATAGTCAAAACAGATATATAAATGTAGGATCGAAATAGAAATAGGTAACTAGAAATTTTATTACTTTTAGCATTTGATTTTCTTATCCCCTGCCTTGAAGTTTTTATGACCCTTCGAAGAAGGGAGGACATATTGCTTTGCTGCTGTCTGTCTGTTTGTCTATCTGTCGGTCCACCATCAGTTACCGTTCATTTTCTTTGCAGAGGTTGCACATATTGAAAGATTTAGTACAGATTTATCTTACTAAGAAAATCTAGATCACGTTTTGTTCCGGGTACAACCAAGCCATCTAGGACAGAGTAATGCCCCTTGGACTTAGAAAAATTTCAATGATTTGTAGTTTCCGATCATTTTCTTCGCAGAGATTGCACATATCGAAATGAAATGGTATACAGATTTATCATAAGAATATCTAGGCCAAGTATTGTTTTGGATACAATCGGATTGTTTTGGACAGATTTATGCCCCTTCGACTTTGAAAAAGTCCAATTATTTTTAGGAGGAGGCATACGTGTTTTACAAACATCTCTTGTTCTTTTTTAGGAGTACATTGTAGTAACAAAATTGTTGATTCATTTGTTGGTGACGAAGTTGGGGCTGTCTGTATTTATTTTAGCTTAGAGTATGTTATGAATAGTTGCAAACATACCGCATCCACTTCAGAACTTCTATGCTCCTATTTTTAACATTTAAGGGCTTTCAAGTTATAA